GCACCCTATGGTGTCCTGCGCCCCCTCCCAGTACCCGAGAAGCCATGGCAACACATCTCAGTCGACTTTGTCACTGGCTTACCGGCCTCAAAGGGGTTTGACGCCATCTGTGTTTTTGTTGACCGACTGACCAAGCAACGCCATCTCCTACCATGTACCACGACCATCACCTCGGAAGGACTGGCCGAGCTGTTCTGCGACCGGATTTTCAGGTACCACGGGTTGCCAGAAACCATCGTCTCGGATAGGGGTCCCCAGTTTGCCTCGAGATTCTGGAAACACCTATGCTCATGCCTCAAGATCGAGCCACGCCTGTCGACTGCCTTCCACCCCCAGACTGACGGCCAAACCGAACGGATGAACGCCGTCATGGAACAGCACCTCCGCGCGTACGTCAGCTACCTCCAGGATGACTGGGTCGACTACCTGTTCTTGGCCGAATTCGCTGGCAACAACCAGGTCTCCGACACGACTACCCTGTCCCCATTCTTCGCTAACCTAGGATACCACCCACGGTGTGACTTTGAGCTGGATATCCGTGTCGACACCAAGGAGGAACATCAAGCTCAGAGTGCGGCGGAACGGTTGCATCAAATCCACGACGTCGCCCGCAGCGAAATGCGGTACGCCCAGGCACGGCAACAGGACGACTCCGACCGACACCGAACCCCTGCGCCAGCCTTCCAACCAGGCGACATGGTATGGGTGGATGGTCGGAACTGGCGCACCGAGAGACCCAGTCGCAAGCTGGAAAACAAACACCATGGTCCCTACCGTGTGATTCGGACAATCGGAACCCACGCCTACGAATTGGACATCCCGGACACCGTTCAGAAGCACCGAACATTTCCTGTATCCCTCCTTCATGCCTCCTCCGATGATCCTTTCCCTGGACAAATTCCACTGCCCCCACTGCCGGTAATCGTGGACGACCAGGAAGAATGGGAGGTTGAAGAGGTCCTCGACAGCCGGAACCTCAGGGGCAAACTCCAGTACCTGGTGAAATGGAGAGGCTACGCGGCACCATCATGGGAACCAGAGGAGAACCTTACCGAAGTACAAGCTGTGGACGACTTCCATCGACGATACCCCATGCAGCCTGGACCAGTCGAACTTGCTCTCGTGGGAACTCGAGCCTTAGGAGGGACTACTGTCACGGCTCGCGACGGAATGACGAAGGGAGGGTCGGCACAAGGATCGGGAGAGTTGGGGGGCAGTGCAGAGGCAGTGCACCGGCAGTGCAAGGATGAGTCGCAGAGGATTGGGGGCTGTGTGCAGGGAGCAGGGATAGCGCAGCAATGAGTCGCAGGAGATTGGGGCTGTGTGCAGGAAGCAGGGATAGCGCAGCAATGAGTCGCAGGAGATTGGGGCTGTGTGCAGGAAGCAGGGGTAGTGCGGCTGCGCAGGGTGTGAGTCACGGAAGTGGGGTACTGATAAGGTGGATTTCTCAGGGTCTGGCACACGCCCACCGTCATTGTCAGGTTGCGGGAAGAAGTGGAGGATTTTCTATATAAACGGGCCGTTGCCCCTCTGTATTTAGTTCTTCACGCAACAACTTGTTAATTCAACCACTGTTACCTCTGTCCTTGCCTCGGCTGCCGTCTGCGCCGTAGTCCTTGTCCCTGCCTCTGTTCCCAGTTGCCGTCTGCACTGAGCCCTGCCTCACCTTGTCTCCTGAACCCGTCTTGCCTCTACCGAACCCAGAACCCGATCCCCAGCCCTACTTCGCTACCTGGAGCCTTGCCCGACCGTGCCGTTACAGCACCGGCACATCAAGTAGGAGACTTGATAATGCTTAACGGGCGGAACATTCAAACCCGCCGACCATCGCGGAAGTTGGACCACAAGAACCATGGTCCCTTCCAAATCAAGAAGATCGTATCGCCGCTCGCTGTCAAGCTCACTCTGCCAAGGAAGTGGAAGATACATAATGTCTTTCACGTCTCGCTCGTTGAACCATTCCGAGCCGGCACCCGAGCACCACCGGATCCCTCTCAGATCTTACGAGAGGCCGATGATGTGGAAGGCAACGAAGAATACGACGTCGATGAGGTTATGGGCAGCTCGAAGAAAGGTCGACGAGTGCTCTACCTCGTGAAATGGCTCAACTACCCCGAACAAGGGGACTGGACGAACGAGCCATTTGACAACTTCTCAGTAGGCGGTCGGGAAAAGCTACGTGAGTTTCACGCACAAATCCCGATGCGCCGAGGGACTACCGGCTCACAGATGAGTAAGAGTTTTTTCCCATGTGGTTTTCTCGAACTCGGGCAGGTAGTAGGATGAAGGGGATGGAGGACTTCATCCCCAGTTATCAGGTGAGGATAAAGGCGAGGACTTGGGTGCTTCGGGCTGAAGCCTCGTGGGAGGGGAGATGATGTGACACCCCGATAGGTATCGGAGGTCACCACGGTCGCAAGAGATGTGATTAGATAGTCCGGGTGATTAGAATAGAGTTGCGAGCCGAAAGGATAGTTAGAAGCGATCAAGGACAAGATAGGAAGGAGGAAGCAAACGGATTCCAGAGTCTAGACAGTGATCGGAGATGCGGGTGATCGGGATAACAGTCCAGAGGACTTTGAGATCTCTGTTCATAGCGCCCCGCAGTAGGAACTCCGATCCAGGGAAAAACTGTTATGACGAGAGAATCGAACATCGACCTATGGGGGCAGAGAACTTCGAGCGAAGAACTCTGCCGGCGCATGAGGGAGATAATTGCTCGGAAACTCCGATCTATCTTGGGCACGTGGTGTTTACCACCTGCCTAGTCAAGAAGACTATCCGAAGAGAGCTGACGACGACTCAAGGCTAGGCCGCGGAACTCCGATGCAAAGGAAGCAACGGAGCTACGTTAGGCCGCACTCTAGAGGAATCCCGTGCTGAGGATCGGGACGACTATAAGTCGAACCGAGCGGGCAACTGAACCAAAAAACACAATGATCGCACCGAACAAACCATCGAAGAAACACTCTTAAGATTATTCCGTTGTGAATTATCGAAATTCCTGACTTTTATTGTACACTCGATATTACCATAGACTCCGACGACACAAACTCGTTCCAGTATCACAACGGGTGATGCACGGTAAAGTCCAATACAGCTGAGATCGCATGAGGCAGTGCACCATGTAACCGCGTACAAAGGTAACGCCGATTAGGAACCTGTTATGACGCGCGATTACCCATGTATCGACATTGACAAATGACAGTCTGTAGAACCGGGCTGGTTTTCAGTGCCGAGATGAAGATATGTACTGCTTACTCTGACCTACGCTTGGGTAGGCAGTGGTAAGCACTTCTTGCCTAGTCGGAAGCGGCTATCCCTACGACAGCGTACGGCTAATCCACTGCCTAGACTCAATGGGTGACTCTCCGTAGCACTTACGCCACAGCATGACTTGAAAGGCGTTTGTAACGGAGTTCCCCACCACAGAGTTTTCCAATCACGTTCTTCGATGTACGAGTAGACTATATAGTCACTCGACTATCGTCACGGAAAATCCCAACACCAGCACAATCAGAACACTGAACACTGCCGGCGATACCCCTTAAGATTATTCCGCTGTGAATTATCGAAATCCCTGACTTTTATTCTATACTCGATATGTATCAAAGAGTCGACGTCCTGAAACCGTTCCAGTCTCACACATCCTGCCTCCCAACGCTTTCGATCCTTGCATCTGCCCTTCCTTCGTCATTCCATCCCGAGCCGTGACAGCAACAGCTTACACGACTCTACGGTCTAGACTCAGTGGGTGACTCTTCGTAGGGCTTACGCCAGAACATGACTCAAAAAGGCATTTGCAACGAAGTTCCCCACGGCACAGTTTTCCGATCACGTGCTCAGGTGTACGGGTAGACTATATAGTCACTCGACTATCGTCACCGGAAACCCTAACACCACAGAACCAGAACACTGAACACTGCCGGCGATACCCCTTAAGATTATTCCGCTGTGAATTATCGAAATCCCTGACTTCTATTCTATACTCGATATCTATCCAATACTCCGGCGTCCCGAAACCGTTCCAGTCTCACACCTGGTTCCCTCATATATGGTATATGACATACTCCTTCATAGAATATCATGCAATGTATTCTCCATCACGGAATATTATGCAGTACACTAGGCATGGTGAACTGTCACGCTTATGATTGGTCACCATCTATCACTCGCATGTTGACGTATCCACCAATTGTAGCCACGAGTATGGAACAGATCGACACAGGACCACAACACAATCGATTACCATGCATAGTAGAATGTTTTTTGTCATAGAAAGTTATGTTACAGAGCAGTATTGAAGGGTGCTCTTGCCAGCACGCCCTCAGGCACGCTCGCCGGCACGCGCTCGGGCACCCTCGACGGTATACCCGTCTACACTCTGCCGGTGATACACTCGGCAAGTCTCTCGGTCTCTGCCTCAGTGATGATTACAGAACTGCTGGCCAGCCGTCATGCTCACGCTCTGCTCGTCGGCATGCTAGAGAGCACGCTCTCGGTCGTGCTCTCGGTCATGCATTTGGCACGCTCTTGGCGTCTGGGTTTCGCTCGGCGGCAACCTCACGGTCTTGCTGGTCATCTGGCTCTCCGCCTGCTGGTCGTCATGGTCTCGGGAGTGATCTCGGTCATCCACTCGGCATGCTATTGGAATTCAGGTGCCGCTCGGCGGCAACCTCCCGGCCTTGCGCGCCGTATTGCTCTCGGTCTGCTCGTCGTCATGCTCTTGATTAGACATTCAACCATGCACTTGTTCTTGCTCGCGAGAACGCTTGCCGGCACGCTCTCGGCGTCCCTGCCAGCTAGCCCTCGATAAGGCTCTCGAGCAGGCTTTCGGCCACCTAGTTATCGGTCAAGCTAGGTATCTCACTCTCCAGAAAGCTGTCGACTAGACTCGCGAGCACGCTTTACACGGTAGCGACAGTAAGTAAGGAGACGGAGCAGTGTCCTCGCTTTCAGAACATTCCCGTCATTTGATTCAATCAGAACAGTTTATTCCCCTGCTAAAGGCTCTTCCTAAATACATAAAACAGGAGATAATCTTTCATATACTTCCGGATGTTAGTGACGCCCACAGAAGGATCCCTTTTCATGCCAGCCATTCCGGCTTCCTCTTCGTCGCCGAGCATACTATCCTTTTCTTCGGCGCCGGCTCGATGCTCCGCTACGAACGTGATGAAATGGTAGAGCACAAGAACTATCCCGGTCAAGGCTATCGCGACCACGGCCCATATCCACCATGTTGAATGGACAGCGGTGTGCTCGAAATATGGAAGAGCGAATAGAGCCTGTTGAGGAATATATGGATCAGTTACCGCAGCACATCCGAAGAGCTTGGAAAGATTACCGCGACACTGGTTCCAGGCAGAAACGTCATCGTCATTATGGCAATCGTTTTCATCACTCGGCTGTTCTTCGTCGTTTGTTTGACCTCGTTTTGGTTGGCGACTGAGATCTTTTGGAGTGCTTTGCCATTCGCGATCTGTTGCCGGTCATTTGCAGCTTGGATGGAATGGAATAACTGTTATTCTGGTAATCAGTATGCCGTTGAGAAAGATGCTGAGAGAGAGAGAGAGAGAGAGAGAGAGAGAGAGAGAGAGAGAGAGAGAGAGAGAGAGAGAGAGTCAACACTTACCACGGTCAACAGATTCCGTATCCTTCTCTCCATGTCCTCCTGTGCCATGGTGAGGGCAGTAGTCTCGGCAAGCTGTTGTTTGAACGCGCTCCCAACACGTTGGGCTTCATGGACATCCAACTTTAACTGCTCAGACATGACCTTGTGTTCCCGCATCATCCCAACAATCACTGCTGAGATCGTTGCAAGCTCCATCTTGTAGCGTTGGCAATGCGCGTCCATGGTATGAAGCTTTTTGTATTTCGCTGACGTCGTGTCCTCTACCACGCGAAGCTGCGCTTGATTTACTAACATGTGCGCGACTTCTTTCTCCTGGATGCCGTCAGTCAGCGTTTCCGCTGGGCCCCCTCCCTCGGCTCACAGGTGACCAAGATGATGCACGTACATCGCTATTTAACTCCGACGCGACATACTCAAATGTCACCTTCCAGAAATGCACAGCCATGCTTATGTAGACGATGTTTACCCAAAGGGGGTTCCGATCAATCATTCCCATACCACCGTCGTCCAATGCATGTAGCACTCGCTGCTTGGTGACTTCCGCTGACTCGAGTAAGCCAGAGCACAAGTAGACGCAAATGACGGCCGTCGTTTTTTCGAGAAGATTGTGTCTGCAAAATACGGCCAAGTCAAACTGTCCGATGTCGGTTTTCTGTGTGTCAAGATGTAGGTAATCGGAACCCGGATTGGCGTCTGAGTGTTCTCCGTGATGATTTGTAGTACAGTCCCGTGTGAGATCGGCGACAAGTTGTTCTCCGCCAGCCTCTGTAGTACAGTCCAGTGCAAGTCGGATCGGGAGTGTGTACCAGAAAACTATGTTTCGTTAGTATTCTGGCGCTCTCTCACACGCCTTGGACGGTCAAGAATACCTTGTATTTTTTCAGCACGCGGCGGCCTACTTCCAAAGGCGGTATACCGAGGTTCACCCCCGTAGTCAAGTACTGAGTTGATGAATGCCACCGGGATATCATAGCACAACGCGAGTTCCTGGAACACGTCGGCGGCAATGTGAAGCGTTCCGGTGGCGCTCATAGTAATGTAGCTGCCGAAAACGTATATCAGCATTGGCAACAATTGAAGATGCTGATGGGATCCCGAGATCATCATGTCGCTCTTTGGCGCATAGGAAGGGAATTGCGTACAATAGTTGAAACTTTGGTGCTGTCGATTCATCCTACGACCCATAAGTCTTTGTCTCACCATCCCAGCATCAAGTGCACTTACCCGGGCCGCCTCGATACACTTCTGCAGTCTCTTCTTCCCGCAGAAGCTAGCCGCTATCAAACCATTATCTTGGGTTCTCATGACCGCAACAGCTGTAAGTTTTCCGAACAGTGGTGGGTCGTGATCTTGGCGACGCTGCTCAGCCTTTAGCAGCAAGCGTGTATCATCCCTATTAGAACGTGACTGATTAGCCCTTGGTGCTGCTCGTCAAGTAAACCCCGACGCAAGGTGTATGTGGTTCCCACAATTCAGGCATGTGAAATTTCAAGCGGGAAGGCCAGTGATCGGCGTGTGGGCCCACCACATCTCGAATGGTAGACCATCGGTTTAGGATTATTCCTGTCGCTGTCGTGGAGGGCTTGAAGCCTTTTTCGGTTGACGGGTGGCTGGCGTCAGGTATTATGTCTGGTTCGTTGTCGCAATTAGGCATTGGAATTGGCGATTCTAGCAAAGGATTGCCCTGGGTCGCCTTTGATACATACTCGGAATCCCGGTCTTTCGGAGGGTTGATAGAGTGTGACGAGTCCTGGGATGCACGCATGCTCGAATGAGTTTCTTTCAACGCACTGCCGTTATGTAATTCCCCCGATACAGGGTAGGGAACGACCTCCGGGGAAGGTGCCTCCACTGGCGCAGGTATTCGACGACGAGATTCGGCGGAAGGTCGCACTCCGTGAGGTGCGTCCAGCATCGGAAGTTTGGGGGGCGGACCTGCCGAAGGAACAGCTATACGGTTATCTCGCGATTGGTTGCGAGCCTTAGGTCTACTAGAAACTAGTGGCATCAGGAAGTCCTCATCGAGCTCAGAGTCATCGTCCATGGCGTCGATCTAGATTCAGTCAGCTCTGCGTGTCCGAGAATGCTATACGGCGACGTACAACTTTGTATAGAGCTCCAAGCATAAGCTTCCAGAGCTGATGATAAGAATCGTTAGCTCATGAAAACTTATGATCGCGCAGGGATGAGGGATCCAGATATTTACCACATCCCAGTAAGGCCGATGACCATACGGACGGAAATCTTTCAGGCGAGATTCGACTAGATTGCCCAGTTAGTGAGATTTTAGGTAACCAAACGCTTCTCCACTTACCCGGTAGGCAATCAATCCACGCTCCCAAGATCTGATCGTTATCAAGATCTTTTACGAGCTCCTTGCCAGCCTGATCTCCGCCGACTCGTGCAAACATGAAAGCCACAGCTGAAGATATTAGCGACTTGACTCCGAACCAGGAAGAATCGTTGAACCGACCATCTTCTGTTTTGGTAGGGTCTTGGGACAATTTCACGAGACAGTTGTTGATGGCCGTCTTCAAAACATCCTTAGTTTCCGCCTCAGGCTTGTACTCAGATCAGTAGGGCTCGGAGTAGCTGACAATTGGGAATGGCTTACATTGCCGTTCGTAATGACGATAGTGAGTAAAGGCCTGATCATGGTTTTGTGCTCGACAAAAGGCCTCAGAATGCGTTTCTTCAGCTGTCCACCAACTTCGGCGGATTCGCCGTATTTAATTGTCTCGAGGATTCCAGAGACCTCTGATCTTCGGACGTCTTTATGATCTGTACATTGGTCGTGGAGATTGCAGCACCGGACAGAGACCACACCTTTGTCATTGGCTAGCTCGTAAACATCGACAATTGCATCCAACAATGTCTTTAACGTCTCTCTTCGAGCATTCTCGGCTTCCGGTGAATCGCTGTTATCTGATCATTCGCGTATCCGATTAGGCCTCTTTCCCATCACGTGCGGCAAGTTTGACATCACATACCAATCAAGATGACCACATCATATAGCACCAAAACAGAGAATTGTTCCGCCATTTCTCTGGGACAGCCTCTCGAGATCAGGCTGTTGACGAGTTCCGCACCTTTGCCCCCGTAATTTTTGAAGTCGCTGTCGGAAAACAAATTGAGCAACCCCGGCTTCTGACGGCTGCTGAATGCCTTGAGCTTTTCTGTGCATCTTTCCGGTGATATTGTCAATATCGGATAACTCGGAGTTAGTGCTCCTTTGCGAGTTGCGCTTCCGTTTGCTGTTGCCATGGCAAAATATGGTGAGGTGGGGGATGCTCCGCCAGATGGAGAGGGTCGATGTGAGAGATGGAGTATGATGTCGCGTTTCCAACAGTCGGAAGGAGTCCGTCCCCTCCCCCCATTTAAGCGATATCATCTGTTGTGGGACCCGGACGGTGAACACGATGTATACGGCTCGATGTGGTCGCCAGTGCGCAGTTCCGATGCCGTGCCGGCGCACGATGGAGGGCGAACGAGTGTAGGAAATGAAAACGAGAACCATACGTAAACTCCACCCACCCGCATGATTTTCGAGGTTGGCCAGCTGAAAACTATTCTCGTTGACCCGATGCGCGTTTCCTGCAGATAACTGGGCGGATGGACCATTTCCGGGAAAGTCCGTCCCGTGATTTAGGGGGCCTCTGGATTCGGTGTCACATGGTACTTCAGTGCTGTCACCACGTCACTGCATGGTGGGAAATGATTCGCCGAAGAGTGAAACATTGCACTCCATGATTGAGTATCGTTGGCTGTCCATATGCAACCTCGTGCAATGTATGGTCTGCGCATCATGCACTGCGCATCAATAGGGAAGAAGCTCCGGTGGCTCACGATGTGCTTCTACTTAGGACTGCTGTCGGTTACGAATACAACGAATGGCTGCGTTCATCTGTCGGCGAGTCCGTGTGCAGACTGTGCCCGCCCGCATGAAGCACATATCTCGTAACCACAACAACCACGCAAGACCAGTAATCTCTCCGTGCGTCCATAGAACTTCTTGCCGAGTCGACCCGCTCTCATCGGCGGTGCTCATTGCTTTTCAGTGACACTTGCCCGATTCCGCGGAGACATCCGTTACGCAGCCTGGCTGTTGCCTAGAAGCACAACGGTGAAGTAAAAGTGTTTCACTCCTATCCACCTATCCGCTAACAAAAAATAGCGAGCGTAGGGCGGCACCGCAGAACAAGGCCCTCATGCGGAGTACGGGCGGGCCACCTTGCTTCTGGTTCCGATAGGCAAGTTCAGAGGCAGTCGAATCTACTCAAGATTAGCAGTGGCATATCAGCCTGCCAGTCAGTCAGATGTATTCAAACTCAGCAGCAAAGGTCGGATTCGGGTACCTATGTCCGACTTATCCATCAGGTTTCATAGCTGTCGTAGATGTTGGCGCTGTTCAGTAGTGTAGATTCATGATCGCGCGTGCAGAGTGACCGTGGGGCTAGAGGACTGTATTCTCGTAATGAGGAGACGGAACCCTCTCCCACCGCCGGTCTCCGCCGGGACCAGCGTACCCAAACTCCGCGGCACTGAGACTCACTCGCACGACCTGCGATAAGACACATCTTGAGGGGCTGGGCGGGAGGGTGGTGTACTATGGACGTGTGCCCGAGCGATGGAGGAGCTTTTGTGACGGCTCTTTCGCCAATGCCTCTCCACGCCGGGAAGCGAGTCGAGAGAAGGTGAACACACAAGGGAAACAGGATGTAAATATTGATCGTCTATTCTGCAGATGATGAGAGAGGGGATAGAGGTTGATTGTCTATCCCGTAGATGATGATCAAGAAGGATGAAGAGGATGAAGATGAAGAAGAAGGGGAGGAAGACGCTGCCATGCCCGCCAACGTTGAATCCCTCCAATTCGGACTAACGATATTACGCACTACTAACCACATTCGTTCACTCCCGCCGAAAGGAGGCCGCCTTCACGTCCTCCTCTCGCCGACAGCCTATCCTCCATCACTCCGCCACAGCTGCGTATCGTAACATTCACAGGTTCTCATTCGGATGACGGCGCCATAGTACTTGACTAACAGTGGAATCTACGAGTGATGCGGTATCCAGTACACGGATGGTGTGTGCGCATTTTCGCGGCCTCGCGTAATGGGAGCAATCAGCCCAACCTGCACGGAATCGGCGGATCATCAGGAGAAGGCTTCAAAGCCAATCGATATTGATGGCCGCCATACTATGAAGTTGTTCTTCTGGGTGTAACCCTATCCCCCAAATCTAGGGGCGGGGTAATGCATATGGTACTACAGCGGACTGAGCCGCACAAACTTATTCCCCACAACGGAGACTCCGACGCGGGGAGGACGATCTACTTAAGTGGGGTTAGCGGACCGCCCTGTCTAATAGTTAATACTAGAAGATCGCCCCACACGCCGCATCGCCCCCCGTCCCGCATCTCGCAGCCCAAAGCTCCCACACATTCAATTCCACGCGATGGCAGCCTCTCGAATGCACGCAGACAAGTTCTCGTCGAAGCTGAAGCTGTTCGTCGAGCGGCAGAAGCCGGGACTGGTGCAGTTCTTCCCAGACTACAATTTTGACGAGTATTCGCAGCGCGGGGCGGACATGGTCGAGACGCTGGTCGATCGGGCGTGTCCGCGGGAGATCGCCGAGCAGTTTGCAGTTCTGGCACTCTATGATCTGGTCATTCTCCTTGGTGGGTGACGACTCCGACTCACGGCCAGGCGAGGCTGGAATGCTGGAATGCTGGATTGGTGGATTGGTGGAATGGAGGGAAATCGGCCTAATCCCCCGTGCCCCAATATAGATGATAGCAGCTCGATGGAGTACGAAGACGGCGGCAATCGAAAAGATATGCTGAAGAAGGTTTTGGAGGCGATTGCCGATGTCTACGAGCTAGCACGGGAGGAGGGCATCGTCTCCGTCCGATTTCTCAATAACCCGACGGGGCGCAAAGATATTAAGAAGGCAGACGTTGCTGGGCTTCACGCAGAGATCCAGTACGACGGAGTCACTATGACGGGCACGGAGCTGCAGAACAAAATCTTGAAACCGTTCGTCCTCGAACCACAAACTCCCATGCGCAAGCCGCTGCTTACAATGATCATTACCGACGGCGATGTAAGCCTCACAACCACGGTGCTGTACTACCGCGCGGCCTGCGGCCATCATGCTGATTCGGTTTCCAGATTGAGGGCGAGAAGCAGGGGGTGCTGAAGAGGAACATCAACAACTGTCTCGCAAAGTTGGACAACGATTCCGAAAGGACGGTTGACTGTGAGCCGCCGGTTTTCTTTCTCCCGTCTAGCGTCTCCTCCAATCTGACATCTTTAATAGCCGTTGCATTCATGTTTGCACGCATCGGAGACGATCCGGCGGCTAAGACGCTGATCGAGGCCCTGGACGATGACGACAAACTGGGCGCGTGGATCGACTGTCTTCCGGGTACAGGATGAATTAGCAGATGTGAAACCCTTGTGAACATACCGCTGCTGACTGCAGGATCTAGTCGACTCTCACCTGGACGATATCGATATCAGCACTAACGGACGGTCGCACTGGGACGTGGTAAGCGGCATCTTTTTCCTTCTGAAGTCGACATATATTAATAACGTCAAACAGCTGCGAAAACTTATGCTCGGAGGTCTCTATGAAGACGTAAGTTCGCATTGAAATTCACATCCTCCGAGGGTTCCCGTCGACGCTCATACATGTAACCGTCATGACAGGTGGACGAAGACGACGACATCTATGATGAGTCGCTACCATTCGAACCGCATGGGAAAGGCCCATGCGTAGATGTATAGGAAGGGCGGCTTGACATGGGTTCGGGTGGAGCTTTGTTTTTGTTTGATCAGTGATTGCTTGCGACCTAAGTAGATCATGGCAATATAAGTACACACTCCGTTTCCTCGCCACTGTCCGATCCGGGTTCGGGTGGAACTGGTTGCCGACGGACTGGGAGCGGGTGACAGAGCATGAAGAGCATGAACTTCTGGTACATAATAAAGAAAAACACGCGCAATCGAACCGTCGCACTAGTGTCCCAGTCCATTAGGCGCCCTAAAGGGTATGCGTTCTCACCTTGCCGGCCCACCGTCATACTTTGAGTCATGAATGTGGGTTTCCGGAATCAGGATGGAGATTTGGTACGAGGTCTGTGAGGGTTAGGTTTACTATAGCTGGGCCCAATCTCTCAGATCCATCAACCGGTGAAACTCAATGCGGGTATGTATTCTCGACTCACCCGAGTCTCGGATCCGTCGGGACGACTACTAAGCGCGACTACAGTGTTTCCATACAACTGCGCAACACATAATCGTGGACGTTGCAGATTCACGCCACATGCCACTTGTCAAATCCCACTAGACTAGTATGTAGGTAGTACACTCAAATACACGCATCACTCCTGTTTCTCCGGATCCACAACCGCATTCTCCTTCCTGTGCCGCTCAGACGCGCCCTTCGAGAGCAGATGGTAGAGACCGAGGACGATGCCAGTCATCGCTGCTGCCAGCACTGCCCACAGCCACAGCGTCCTGTGGGCTACCGTGCTCTGGAAGTACGGTAGCGCCAGAATAGCCTTTACATAACAGTCAACACTCGGGTGTACGAAGAAAGATGGTGGCGGAAACGGTGGAAGGACTTACGGCGATACTCGTCCCCGGAAGAAAAAACATTGTCATCACGGCAATGGTCTTCATCGCGAGACTGTCCTTTCGCGTCTGCTTCACCTCGTCCTGGCTGGCGAGAGAGATCTTTTGCAGCTCGTCGCCGTTGACGATCTGTTGCTGGTCGTAGTCGGCTTGGACGGAGTGGAATAACTGGTTTCAAGACCTTGATGAGCGCGCAACAAACAGAAAGACCGGCGAGGGCGTGAGTTGATGACTAACCAACGCTAGCGTATTCTCCGTCTTCTTCGCCAACTCCTCCTGCGACCGTGTGATGGCGGTGACCTCGGCGAGCTGTTGCTTCAACGCCCTCCTGACCCTATCCCTCTCGAACTGTCCAAGCTTTAGCTGTTCGGATATCTCCTCATGCTGCTCCATGACAGCCACGACGACGGTCGCGACGGTGACGAGCTCCGTCTTGTAGCGCAAGCAGTGGGATGCCATGGCGTGCAGCGCGCGATTCGTCTCCAGCATTTCCGTCGATATCCGCGTCTTTTCCAACATCTCGTCCGCCAGCATCTGTGGTGTTTTGCCGGTTGGTGGCGGTCGCGGCTTGGGCTTGGCTTGCGCAGTCATCTTGTCTTCGATCTGCTTCTCCTGTTTACCTCAGCAGCATCAGCTTCTCCCGCTATTGCGCGTCTTTCTAGGTCGCACATACATAGGTATTCAGCTCCGCGGCGTAGAACTCGAACGTAACCTTCCACCACTCCAGCACCTGATCGATATACACGACATTAGCCCACAGCGGATTGCGGTCGATCATCTGTGTACCGCCGTCTTCAAGGGCACGGAGGACGCGTTGCTGTATGACTTCGATCGGGCCGGGAGTGCGCGAATGCAGGTTGACGCAGATGACGGTGGACTTCTTGTTGGCCAGGTCGTGCCGCGAGAGGATGACGAGATCGAAGTGACGGAGGTCGGATTTCTGCTTGTGAAGGTGCAGGTGGTTGAATGCGTTGATCTGGTAGATCCCCGTGTGCCAGTCTCGGTGCGCGTTCTCCGGGTCGGTGCACGCCATTGGAAGACGGATCGGGAGTGTGTACCAGAAGTCTAGAGACGTTAATTCCCCCAGGGGAGGGGTATTTTCACTCGACTCGTGCTGTTTTTTCTCCGCGCACAGGCAAGGTAGGTACATACCTTGTATCAGGTCGCCTGCCGGTCCGACGGGCTGCAACCTGCTTCCGAAGCCAGCATGAGGCGGCTGCCGGCTGTGGCCGATCAGCATCTTGATGAAAGCCACCGGTAGCTCGTAACACAATGCGAGTCGCTTGAAGATATCGACTTCTATACGGAGTCTTCCTTGCGCGGTCATGGTGATGTAGCTGCGGGAAAGGCAACATCTTAGCATTCACAGCGTCGGGTGAGCGGCGAATCGAATGATCGCCAAGATTATGGTGTTTTCGAGGGTGGGGGAATGCGTACAAGAGTTCGAACTTTGGTGCAGTCTAATCATTGCCCCCCTCCGCCCGTCAGTCTCTCCATAGTTATCGGAGGATTCCCAGACATTCATGACACTCACAGACTCGAAACATTTCATGAGTCCCCGCGCTCCGCGGAAGCTGGCCTCGATAGTATCGTCCGGAAGGGTTCGGACGACGGCAACACCAGTCTCCTTTCCGAACAACCAGAGGCCGCGTCCCTGCTGACCCCGCATTGCGCTTCTTAACTGATCAACATCGTCCCTACGAGCACGACGAATTAGCCTCCGAGTAGCACCAGGCGGGAAAAAAAAAGGAGAGATATCTCGCACAATTCGGGCATGTGCGTCTTCAACGCAAACGGCCATCGATTCTGGGGCTCCTTGATCAAAATCCGAGTGGTAGTCCATTTGCGCGCGGCTGGGCTCAGTACACGACTGCGAGACGTCGGCCACGGCGGCGTTGCCGTCGACGAAGGCGGCAATCTCGAGTCGCGGGACCGGTTGCGCGACCTGGGCCTACCGCCAGCAGGCGATGATGCTGAAGACCGTCGCGAGCGATTGCGGGAGTGCGGCCTAGCTGGTTCACCATCCGTTGCCGTCGGCGGTCGGAGATGTTGCGAGGCTTGCGTCGTGTCGGCGACGTTGGTTGGTACCTGAAGCTGTTGTGATGCTTGCATCGTGTCGGCGACGTTTGTTTGTATCTAGCCACCTAAAGCTACAGACTCGGACCGAAACCATTGACGAATCACAAGGCGCGGTGCTTCGTTATATGTACGTGATGAACTTGAGGCTCCGGCTCAGGGACCACGGAGGCTGGGGACAGGGATGAAGTCGAGCGGGGTGTCCCTGTCTCAGCGTACTAGCAGTGCACCTACATACAAGTGGAACCTTCCCTCAGCCACGGTGATCCTACGCACGTTAGTTGATGGTGTGGGGGTGAAGAATAATATGAACACTGCCTCCCTATTGGCTCCAACTAGGTAGTTAGTGGGTAGTCACGGCTGCCTAGAGTGCGCACAGCTCCCTGTACCGACAGGACAGTTATCGCTTAAACATAGTCGTCCGTACAGCCGTGGCTGATGAGCGAGGATAATGCATGCAGACACACAGCCCGGTTGACGTGTCCATAGATAGAGGAAATATACATAAACCCATCCTGCCCTTCGAGTCCGCATCGTCTAGGTAACAAGTATGATTCCAACCGCTCCGATTTTTTCTCAAGTGCCGCCGCAAGTCCTGTATATCCTTATTTTCGAGCCAGTAAGTCGTCTGTTCTATCGTACGCCCAAGTTGAGATCTAGTAGTACTCACCAAGTCCCCGTCGGAATAGGAACTTCCTGTTGGCCACGACGGAGGAGTACGACGGCGCCAGCCTGCACACACTGTTCCACACGACAATACCGCCGTCGAACTCAGATACGGAGAGCGACTGCCCGACACCAGCGATGGTTCACGGCCGGATCCTTACCGCCCTCCAGGATACGACCCCGGAGTGCGGAGTTACGGCTCGCCCTACGGGACGCATGAGGGGCGAGGCTGGAATGAGCGCCGGCCCAGTCGGGTTTGGACACCGGGCGGGCAGAGAAATCCCGCAGACAGGGAGAATACGGAGGAATACTCTGAGGACTTTTTTTCAGGACGACGACGATTATGTGGACTACGACGACAATGATAGCGTTTGGGCGTATGTGCGGGTCGGCGACAAGTTCTCTTACTGGATGCCGCGTCCCGTGACGCGGAGAACGCCGACGCTGATGCCGACACCATCGCACAGTCGCGACGTGGACCCAGATGAACGCCACTACCGAGTTTCGTCGGCTGCGCGGAATGGCGGGGAGTACGCGGACGCCGACGGAGAGACGATCGCGATCCAGCGCGGGCCAACACAACACCACCATCATGCATACACATTGCTCCACCACCCGTTCCCAGATGTCAATGAAGACAACAACGACGGACCAGACCCGCACCACCGCCCGCTGGACTCGCGACTACGGTCCTCGCGGCACCGCGATGCAGAACGGGTCGAGATCCTGCGAACGCCCTGGCCGCGCGACGCGTACAACTCTTGGAGGCATGGTTACAGGGAAGGCGGGAGTGAGACGGATCATCCCCACACGCGCCGGAGCGACTCGATACGCACGCACTCCGGTGACGTGAACGAGGGGCCGGTCGCGATCCTACGCGTGCCGGTGCACAGCCACCGGTACCGTCCAAACAGCCAGAACTACCGAGACGACCGGTACGACGACGACCGCAGCTCGTTCGCACGAAATCACTCGGGCACCGCTGATGAACCGCGCGTTCAGATCCTGCGCGGGCCGAGAACGACGCATTGGCACGGTGGCAACGACGGCGACCATAACAACCGCACGCACTCGGGTTGCGTGGGGGAAGAGCCCGTCGCGATCCTGCGGCGGCCGGAACCGAAATGGCAGTCACATGGTTGGAGACTCCTTAAACCGACACCTTTGCGACCCATTTTGACTCCCGGCTTTTCTCCACCACATCAATAGCTAAAATTAAAATTGCGCTGGGGAAAGGTAGAGCTGCCCTTCAAGGTCACCCTAGTGTCAAATCAAAATAATGGTCGTGGTTAATTAGTATGAGTGACTTTTGGACGAGCATTTTGTGTGAGGAAGTTTTTGAATTTCGCCTCATTATGTTGTGCGCAAGCATACAAACTACCGTATCTCGGATATGTAACCGTCCGCCCAGTGAGAACAGTGAGCGCTGTTACTCTACATACGGTCTTGACTCGCTTTCTAACTGGCTTGTGCCGTTACATACCGCTTTTCGGGCGCTTGGCGCTTGGTCAGTATAAAAGTTACTAGCGCAAAATCATCGTAATGTTTCTACACATGCAGAGCATCCAACTTCAGACCAATGCGTTCCAACAGACTTCAATAACGTTATCATCCTCAGTATTGCTAATGTGAGGCAGCACCTCTACAACCACATGCTGCCTACCTACTGCTTCCAGTCGCTTGCTTCTCCTGGCTACTACTGGTTCAATTGGAACACGCATCTTTTTCAATGCGCGATGAGAGCGCGCCCGCCGAGCCTGGCAAGAATGCGCCCACTAAGTCTGCCACGACCGCGTCCACCAAGTCTGCTGCTCAGGACATGTCAACTGAGTCTGTCGAGAGCGCGCCCACTATGCCGTGTGGATATCTTTGACCAGCGATCAGACTCCTTGTTATTCTCCGTTATGGTTTTCGTGATTTCGGTTCACTTGATATTTGTATGGTGCACTGCAAAGCTCTGCATATACCATTCCCACGATTCTTCATGAGCTTCTGCCTCCCCAACCTAATCAACTGATGTTCCATTGCCACACAGCGCGCGGAGTCAGTCAGCGCGCCAAGAGTCAGTCAGCGCGCCAAGAGTCAGTCAGCGCGCCAAGTGATGCCTTAAAATGGTATGGTGGGAGTGAGGGTGTGGCAGTGCTAATTCCTTTGAGTGGTTAGTGTGCACTAGATAGCGTTCCCAATTAGCAGAGTATCCCGTCCAAAGTCCGCAGGCAAGGATCGACAAGTGCCCACAAGACGTCAGTTCAAGATGTGTCCCACGGCACCACCTTACAGCTGCCTCGAGTGCACACACAGCCCCCTGCAACCGCCGACAGGACAGCTATCGCTTGAAAATAGTCGCCCGTATATGTATAAAGCACTCAGCCATGAAGCCGTACAGCCGTGGCTGATGATGCGGGGGTATTGCATGCAGACACATAACCCCAGAAACACAGCCCGGTTGACGAATCGGTAGTTAGATGAGGAAATAGACATAAACCCTTCATCTCCCTCGAGTTCGCATCTTCTATAGTAGGTAGTGTGAATCCAACCGCTCCGATGTTTTCTCAAGTGCCGCCGCAAGTCCAGTACGTCTCTGTTTTCGAGCCAGTAAGTCGTCCGTTCACGCCCCGCAACTAGCTTGAAAATGTGATTGCAGTACTCACCCAAGTCCCGCCGGAATAGGAGCTTCCAGTGCACCAGGACAGAGAAGAGGGACGGCGCCAGCCAGCATCCACCGTTCCGTACGCGTACAACGTTACCGCCACCGAACACAGATACGCAGATCGCCGGCCCATTCAGGTTGGGACACCGGGCGGACAGAGATATCCCGTAGACGGGGAGGATATGGAGGAATACTCTGAGGGCTCATATTCGGACGACGACGACGACGACTATGAGGACTACGACGACAATGATAGCGTTTGGGAGTATGCGCGGACCGGCGACGACCTCGCTTACCGGCAGCCGGATCACATGAGGCGGGAATGGCCGTTGCCATCGCACACTCGCGACGTGGAGCTGGACGAACATCACTACCGCGTTTCCTCGGCTGCTCGTCGGCGTTGGGACTACACGGACGGGGAGACCATCGCGATCCAGCGGGGGCCGGCACTGCACCACCATCATACATACACATCTCGCCGCCACCCGCTCACAGATGTCAATGAAGACCACGACGACGGAGTAGACCCGCACCACCCCACACAGGACTCACGACCCTGGTCCTCGCAGTACCGCGATGCAGAACGGGTCGAGATCCTACGAACACCCACGCAGCGCGACGCGTACTACTCTCAGACGCACGGTTACAGGGATGGCGGGAGCGAGACGCACCATCCCCACACGCGCCGAAGCGACTCGAGACGCATGCACTCCCGCGACGTCGACGAAACGCCGGTCGCGATCCTGCGCGCACCGGTCCACAGCCACCTGTACCGTCCAGACAGCCAGAACTACCGAGACGAGCGGTACGACGACGGCCATCCCCACCGCAGCTCGTCCGCACGATTTCACTCGGGCACCGCCGATGAACCGCGCGTTGAGATCCTGCGTGGGCCTAGAACGAGGCACTGGCACGGCGGCAACGACGGCGACCACTACGACGGCGATCTCGGCAACTACCGCAGTAGCTCGCGACGCATGCACTCGGGTGGCGTGGAGGAAGAGCCCATCGCCATCTTGCGAAGGCCGGAACCGAAATGGCATTCATACGAGCAAGGAGGGCGGAGCCGCAGAGAAAGGTCACGGCCGCGTGTTCGTGTCGGCGTTTTGGTGGAATCATTGACTAAGACGGCGGATAAGTTTTTGGAGACGAGCGGTGAGGCAGGACGTCCTCGTGATGGGTATGGGAATCCGAAAGGCACTGGGTGGCGACGGCGTAAGATTGGGATAGCTATGTGAGGAATAGAACTACTGTTGACTGAATTCAATATCTATCGGTTTCTACCACGCATGAAACAGATATTTATACAAAGCTCCCGCTTTCCGCTAAACGTCCCCTACGTGCGGCGGGAGAGCTCCGCCAAGTCCACATACATCTAGACAATATACACGCGTGTGCACGTGATAACACCAGTGCCGATCCAATCTGCCAGTAGTTACCACAACGACCCGGCATTGATCGTTCGGGCCAGTACCGATTCTAGTTGTGACCCGTCGCCCGCCTGGAAAGGCAAATCCAACCTACATACTTCCTGCGTGGTTCGTTCCGCGTTCATTGCCACAAATGTCGCGCCGCTAGAGTGAATAAAGCTTTAGAATAGAAACGGTCTTCCATCGCTCCAGTGCCCATCAAACCTGCCAGAGATGCTGGAGAAACCGAGTCTCCGCCCCCACTATTAATCAAGCCGTTCCACATGGTGGCTTACGGATACTGGATGCCCTGCGGCGATTGCTGACACGGTCAGGGTGGGTAGGGTGGGGGATCGTCCGTTGGTCAGAGGGGGGGATGAAGCGACCGGATACCCTACAGGTAACTGTTAATCATCCGTTCGGTCGGGAGAATCAAACGCCTGGATACCCAACGGTGCCCACAGGTGCTTACTGGTGCTTTCTGGTGCCCACAGATGCCTATAGGCACCTGCCAACATCAGCGTGCTGTGCTGATTACCTAGATTACCGGTATTACGGTAGCCCGGTGGCCACCGGCATTGGTTTAGAGTTTTCCTTGTTGAACAGACAGTTTTATATACTCGTAGCCAGGACAGTTTATGCCATGGGATTTGGAAAAACAAACAAGTGATATGTAAATGCATGGAATGCAGTCCACGGGAAATGGGGTGAAGGTGGAGCTGGGGAAGAGACAGTGGTGGGAATACTAGGCACGGGGAATGGAAATTTGTGGGTGTAAGCACGCCGGGGAAAGTGATGTGTTGGAGAGTTCTGTGCAGATCGGAAGATTTGTACCGTGAGAGCTTAGCTGGAGTACGTTTGACACTGTCATGAAAAGCAGCCGTGTCTCACGGCCATCGTGGTCTTATATACAACCGTGCAACCCACACAGCCAGCCGGAGAAATACCATCCGTGTTAGCGAACCCCAAAGACTTACTGGACACCGTATTGGCAGCCGCGGTCCCTGGACACCTGTGGTGCAAGAATCATCAATTTAGTGCTCGTTTTATTTATGCTCACCGGGGCGAGGCAACTCGTATTTCTCGTCATCTTGGGAACGGACATCCCGGTACGCTGGGCTGGCACTGCAGACGTCGGTCGATCGGTGCGCTAGTAGGTAAGTAGTCTATATGTCGTCGGGTGGCCCCGTCATTGGTTACAAAGCCACCAAAACTGGCATTTATTCCGAGGTATGTACCACGCGATGTACTTTGTTGGTAGCCTGAATCCCGTACGGGATGCCTGATAAGGATGTCCGATTCGAAGGTATGATGTGGCCGTCTTCGTCTCTGGTATTATATATAAACGGGCCATCCGCCTTGTCTACGCTGTTGAGTGAGAAATAACTATTACCAGCAGACGGCGATGGCAATCGACAACAAGACGACCAGAGTCTGCGTGATTGGCGCAGGTAACACCGACCCCGAGCCAAGTCAGTAGCAGTAGCTAACAAAACCGTCGGACACAGGCTTCTACGGCCTCGAGGCCGCCAAAACGTGAGATCGCACAGCTTCCCGCGGTTCATATCCCGACGGCTAACGTCCTATCCTAGATACCTCCAAGTGGATCCTACAATCTCACTCACGGTCCTCGAAGCGGAAGATTCGCTCGGCGGGACTTGGAGCCGGCGACGAATCTATCCGACACTCCGGGCACAGCAGAAATACGGCGTGTATGAGTACTCCGACTTCCCGATGGACACGACCGGCGTAGCCGATCCGCACACGACCTTCATCCCCGCCGAAAAGCTGCAGGAGCACATGGAGCAGTACGCCGTAAGGTTTGGCATCAAGGAGCGCATCCGGTTCAACGCCAAAGTGACTAAGCTCGAGCGTGCCACGGGGGGCGGATGGAATATATGGATTCAGGGGGATACTGCGCCCTCGACCTTCGACAAGGTCATCGTCGGAACCGGACTCACTTCGAATCCGTCGCTTCCCGAGCTCGACACAACCGGCTTCGAGCCCCCGGCTTTTCACACGCGCGAGCTCGGCGCCCACTACGCGTGGCTGACCTCTCCGGAGGTCAGCACGATCACCATCTACGGCGGGGGAAAGTCCGCGATTGACGCCATGTACATGTGCGTCAAGAACGGGAAACAGGTGAACTGGATCATCCGGCCGGACTCGGTCGGCAACGGCGCGGCGCCGCAGTTAGCGGCAGACATTCTCGGAAGGAACACTAACGACGTCATCTCCTCGCGCATGGGAGCGATGCTGCAGCCGCAGCTGGATAGTTGCGAAGGCTGGTGGTATCGGTTCTTGCATTCCGGGAGTGGCCTTGGATACTGGCTGCACTGGAAGTACTGGGGTTGGCTCAGCAGCATTCTCATGGCGTACGCGGGATATGATAAGAGCGAGAATATGGCTAGGCTTAGGCCGAAGAACGTCGACCATGCGTGCGTTCACATCTTTTCCCACGGACTATGTACAGGGTCGCATGTTTCTAACACGCAGCCTCTTCAGTGCTTTCTGGGTGAATGTACCGAGTATGTGCAACTTCATATCACCAGGTCCATTATCACGGATAGTCGGAGCCGCTAACATGTTGCCAACGGCGTCTTCTTAGCCTCGATTACCAACCAGCCCGAAAGTATCGCCTTCATCCACAGCGGCGAGAAGGTGAAAGTGATCCGGTCGGAGATCACCGCACTGGAGGGCACGTATGTGGTCCTTTCGGACGGTGAACGACTCCACACCGACGCCGTCGTGTTCGCGACGGGATACAATAAGAGCGAGCCGATATACTCCCCCGAGCTCGCGGCCGAGCTCGGCGTAGTGACGGATCTTGCGACGTATCCGCCGCATCTCAGGGAGAAGTGGGATAATCTCGACATGTTGGCTGACCAGGAGGTCGTTCGGTTGTTCCCGCGGCTCGCGAATCCGCCGATGCCGAATAATAAGCCGGTGAAGAACGCGCCGTGCCGCCTCTACAAGGATATCCTGCCGCCGGAGCTAGCGCGGAAAAACGACCGATCGCTGGTGTTTGCCGGCGCAGTTGGAGTCGCGAGTACTGCCATGTACGTACATAGTTAACCCCACTCCCATGCCCGATCAAGTACTCCGCAGCTGATACCCGCGACAGTTTTTCCGGCCCGTCGGCGCTCTGGGGTGTCGCATGGCTCACCGACAACCTATCACTCGACGAGCTCGGGGTATCCCAAGCAGAAATCGAATGGGAAATTGCGATACGCGTCGCCTTCGGTCGGCGACGATACACGGTCGCGGGTGTGTATGGAACGTACGCTCTCTTTGAGTGGTTGCCGGTATGTTCCGAAGCGAGCACCTGACGGGGTTCGAGCCAGCTAATTAATGCGGTGATTATTAGAAGATTGATGCGCTGCTGATGCAGTTGGGTGTGCAGCCGCGGCGGATCAAGAGCGTGTTGAAGGACTTCTTTCTACCGTATCAGGCCAGTCATTATCGAAGAATTGTCGATGAGTGGATGCAATTGCGAGGCTTGAAGTAGGTCCGGCTAGTAGACGGATGACCAGGAGGGTTGGTAGTAGGGCTTCAGGGATGCGCCTGAAACTGGTGGCTTGTGACTTCATAGATTCGAAACAATATTGAACTCAGGGACATTGGAAGTGCTCGATTCTATCTCGTGTAGTAATTCCCCACACGCGGTCATAATGTGTCACCTATCTCATCGGTGGCGTGAAGTTGTGGCGTTGGTGTGGCGCCTCACGTGTAGGGAAGACCGCGTGCATTCACGATACCTCACCACCGCCGTTGGGCATACCAGCTGCCAGCCGGAGAATTAGCCGCAAAGACTCTATCGTAAGAGCCAGGACGGACAGGTCAACGCAGATCTACGCGTCGCAACGCACACGAGAATAAAAAAAGTCCAATGGATCTGGAGATAACCGACCACTCAATCGCAGCGTATGTTCGGTGACGAGAGTTTAGGTACACCAACAATGTTATCTATTTAGAGAGGTTTAGAGAGTCCTGATAGAGCATAAAAGACTAGCATTAAGAAGTCCAAGCCCGAAGCAACGAATTCTGCCAAAACCCCCCGCACCCCCGCACCCCCGCCACTCCCCAATTCTCTGTGACCTCAGAACATCATCCGCTGCCTGTCATCTCCTGTAAGCTCCAGGAGACCTAACGTACCGGGCAACGCGGCTTGAATACCAACGGGATGTCGTCGTCGAAGTCGCTTTCCTCCAGCCCATTGATCTAGTAACAGTCACAGTTAGTAAACGATCTGCCGTGTTTAGGAATATTATCGACACTTACTTCATCATCGAGAGCGCCTAACAAAAGCTTTCTGATCTGATGGCAAATTTTAGCTAGGCCCCATGACGACTTCGGAGGTGGGTGAAATTTTACCATCAACCAATACGACGGAGCACCATGGCTAAAATCGTCAAGATTTCGATCCACTGCATCTCCCGTTAGCTACGTTTGTGTAAGATAATTCATCACAACGCACCAGGCAGACAGTCAATCCAGCTGCCCATTATTGGATGGTCATCCAGCTCCTCCAGGAGCTCCTTGCCTTCGGGATCTTCTCCGATCCTCGCGAACATGAAAGCCACCGCTTTAAAAGTCAGAAGTGAAGCTCGAATGTTGGGTTCCTCGTACTAACCGTCCTCTGTCTTTTCTGCATCCTTTTGCAGCCTAGCCAGGCAATTGTAGATATTCTTCTCCAGAAGTCCCTTCCTTTCACCCTCGATCTTGAAATGGTTAGCATATCTCGGAGGATGGTAGTAGGGAAAGCGTACATTGCCGTCAGTTAATATTAGAGATAGTAAAGGTTTCCGCATCTGTTTCTGCTCGACAAACGGTTTCAAGATCTTTTTCCGCAACTGTGTGCCGAGCATGGTGATACCAGTATACCGAATGGTGGCATGTACCACCTCCATCTTATTTTTAGTGATGTCTTTGTGCCCCTGCCGACCGTTGAGATACCGGACGGATACAACTCCCCCATCTCGGGCCAGCTGGTAGACTTCCACGACCGCTTTCAGTACTTTGAACAATGTCGCTATCCGTGTGCCACCAGCTTCGGTGACCATCGAGTGACTATCGTCTAATTCCGGACCCTCGGTTAGACTATGCTGCACGAAGGATCGCCGCGACATCACTCACCAAGCAGAATAACCAAGTCGTACAAAACCAGAACCGCAAGCTCCTGCGCCGTTTCCGGTGGACAGCCCTTCTTGCGCAACTTCACGACCATATCTGCTCCTTTGGCCGCGTACTCGCCGAAATCGTAATCCGGAAAAAATCTTCGCAGCCCGGGCTTCGTGTCGACGAAATTCGAGAAGGTTTCTTCGCAGATTTCGATCTGCGTTAACGGTCGGAACTGCACCAGCATATGTTCCGATTCTCGTGTGTGCTTCGTGTCGTCGCACTGCATCTCTGGTTGTTGTGACAGCGTCGTTGGTTTCGGCTCCGATGGTTGTAGCCGTCGAGACTCCGCCGGCGAATCTGGCAGCTCCGTCTGTTGTGGCAGCGGGAGCGGCGTCCGCAACGCTGGCTCCTCCGACTGTTGTACCGCCCGTGGAGCCGGCGTCCGCAATTCGATATTCTCCAACTGGTCTGACCCCGGTGACTGCATCGGCATGTATGGCTGCGCCAACAGCTGTGACTGCGGGAACTGCTTCGATATGTCCGGCTGCTCCGAAAGTTGTAACGCCGTTGGCGATTGCGTCCGCACGAATGGCTGTTTCAACTGCTGTGGCTTCAGAGACCGCACCGGTGCGACTGGCGGATCCAACTGTTCTAATGGCGGGGATTGCATTCCACTGGTTGACTGCTCTAACTGCTTTGGCGGCCGGGGAAGTATCGGTGGGTTAGACTGATCCGACCGTTGTGACGATATGGATTGCGTCCGACCGAATCGCTGCTCCAACTGTTGTGGTGGTCGGGACAGCATCGGTGGGTGAGGCTGATCCGACTGTTGTGACGATATGGATTGCGTCCGAACGAATCGCTGCTCCAACTGCTGTGGCAGTCGGGACGGCATCGGTACGTTGGACTGCTCCGACTGCGATGACCGTGGGGACTGGGTCGGTATGTCAGGGTATTCTAAATTTTGCGACCGTGGTGATTGCGTCCGACCATATGGTTGCTCCAACTGCTGTGGCTGCCGGGCTAGCATAGATACGTATGACTGCTCTGATTGTGCTAACCGCGGGGATTGTAACGGATTGTGTTGCTGCTCTGGCCGTTGGAACGGCTGGGCCTGCGCCGACCCGTAAACTATCTCCGACTGTTGAAACTGCGTGGTTTGCGTCGGGAAGTATTGTGTCTCCAGCTGTTGTACACGCATTTTCTGCGCCATCATGAACTCGGGCTCCCAGCGATGTGAAGGCGTGGGCGACGTTGGCAACCCCGTGCCATGTGTCGTCATGTATTCCTGCTCCTTCTGTTGTAAATCCATGGAATGCGCCGACATGTTTGCTGGTTCCCACGCTTGTACCGAAGGTGTGGATGAATTTCGCGAGTATCCCCTATCATAGTTACCTCCGTCGTCCGACATTGTGATGAGCTATCTCGTGAGGATGTTGGATCCGACTCGGCCCGTAGGTGATGGATGTGAGTTCCTTGATCATTTCGACGGCGACATGTCTCCAGACCCACTTAAGTAGGTAGAATCGCCTACATTAGACCTGTACACAAGATGTATGAGCGAGCGAGTTTGATACCCACCAACCGTACCCCACATTTACCGTAACGCCGGAGTCCATGCTGCAGTTCCTCTAAGCAAAAGAGTGGGGAAAAAAAGAAAACTTTAGACTACTCTGCAAGTGAGCCTCACCGGCATCACGCATGATCCTCCATTCGCATATCCGATGACGGTATGAAGTTCTAGCCAGGTGAATATGGAATCATTGTCCGTAAGGACTCAATCGAATGAAATCTGAAACGTCAATGCTCGCTCAGTCACGTGAGACCGACAGCTCTGCAGTTACCGGGAACCGGAGCGGCGAGTTGAACGCATTGGCATGGGCTATACCGCAACCTATTATACGGTGTTAAGCATCCCTTATAGCTATACTTTTGTGCTCGTGGTGCCGGAACAGCTGTAGGCATTGCGTTTTTGCGGGGCATATCCTGTATGACTTATTTAGAGTATGAGGCGATATTACGTCCCAGATTTGCAGCTTGTGCTCCTACTAATCAAGATCCTCCCGACTCCCTTATTGGTGTCGGCACGGGAGTGTAGAGTACTTCCCGATGTTGTCCGTCTAAAACTAAGCCTTTACGCAATCCACGGGGGCGGGAGGGAGTAAACTTCAAATATATGGATGGGAGCGAGTTCTGTCAAGGCTGTCCTAGGTTCTGTCAGAGCCATGCCTGCTTCTGATTGTTACTCCTGAACTCCAGATTCACCTGCACGAGAGCTGTATCAAGTGCCATCCGTGTCCACGTCATATCATTAGCCTATGGGAGACATACAAACGATGCGTGCACAAGGACTTCAAGATCTATACGTATCAATCTACGCTAGACGAATGCTCCGGACACGAAAGACATCTGTAGTAGGATCGTTAGTGTTGTGGCGAAGAGACCGCGCCACAGCTGTTGAGCCGCCGCCAAGAACCACAAACCCTTGACGACTGTTACCGCGTGACTACGGGTTTCGCACCGGATAACTAACGCAGGAGAGGGATTGTCCATGCACTCCGTCTGGTTGTCCGGTAAGAACTAATCAACGTGCATACATGATAGCCTTGTGCTTTTGCGCGGGGTTCCTCAAGCTATGATGATTGAGTAATAAATCATGAGTCGGTCCATGTCTCGCGTATTTAGCACTACAGGAACAGATACTCGGTCCTATTTGCTAATACATATTGCTCTTTGAAGAGAGATGATAATTGGCAACGGACTTTGTCTTATACGTCTCTAATTGTTATATATTTAGCACATATCGGCATTGCGTATCTGGTAGTTCAGCCGCAGTCAACCGTGCGGGGCAGCGGGGACGGCGAGAGTCCCGATTGCGGGATCCTGACATTGTCTGTGCGATGACAGCTTTAACTTACGCTTGCGTCCAGCTGCAGCAACTCGCCTCAGAAAGTCTGACCTCATGATCGCGATCAGCAAGTTGCTACATCGCAGCTGCCCGGAGCCCACGTACCAGCGACGAAGGTTGAGCTATGAGCTGCATGCGATAACCCCCCCCCCCCCCCCCCCCAATGGTAGGTCTGGACTTTCGACCGTGAAAGGTCGGTCATGATCCACCGCCTTTTTTACGGGTGGGAGAAGGGCCCATCTGCACAGTGATGAGTGCACGGGTGTGCATGAGGCCTTTGTTTCATTTCGGCACTGCGTATTGGGCGGACACGGGTGGGCCAAGATCGGCACTGCCGGAGGAGTCGTAGCTGTGCTCGGACGTTCATACGGACAGGTGCCCAGATACCTCACGACGTCAGGCTGCAGTTTGAGGTATCGTTCATAGCTGAAACCATTGAACCTAGAACAAGTAGCTAAAGGGTGCGGTATTTACATTCCCTCTGGATTTTAAACTTACTGCTGCCGCGGCCGTCCACAGTCCACCAGTGTTCAGTACTAACATGCCGCACCAATTATTTGGCTACCGTGTTAGCGAAGAGGCCGAAGTAGCTTTAATTTCCCCACCGAGACGGTCCAGACTAGGGTCGGAACCGGGCCTGTTGCCATTTTATGACGCGGCGAACCTGGGAATATTCAAGACTGAAATGTTCCCCTACAACGAGTGATATATACCCCCACAAATTGAATGCATCAGATGGACCTAGTCGGATTAAAACTGAAAATATTCTCGGCCAGTGTGCCACCATGCGGGCGTACACCTCCGCACTGTGCACGCAACCCCCTCACATTTTCATTCGTAATTTCTGGTCGCCGGTTCATATAGTTGCGCATCGGAGTCAGACTGTGCGCATATCCGGTGACCTCGTCAATGGCGTTTCGAGAAGCTGCACAACTATCGGACGCAGAAGATGAGGTCAACTAAATGTGCAGATCAAGCCGCTCAACCTCCAATTCATTTCATTCTTATGTACTTCGGACGTTGACGTTCGATCCGCTCGCAAAGCGCACTCAATAGAGGACCACCAAGCCCATTAAAAGCCGTCTATTAATAGTCATCCGACTCGTTGCCGTCCGACTCGTTGCCGTCCTTCACCTCCGGCTGGAATTTCATAAAGTCCTCATCCCTGACTCCCTCGTCTTCGTCCATCTTGTCAATCTAGTCACCGGTAATGAGCATTGATAGTCTGCACGGAGGTATAAAAACTTACTTCCGCATACAGAGCGCCAAGCAGAAGTTTTCGGACCTGATGGAAAGTGTTAACTGAATGACTCGGATAACTTGATTTCAGGAGTCGGAGACACCTACTACTCCCCAACGCGTGAGCCTACGTATGCGTCGCTTCTCAAGTTCCTGGCTGTCGATACCTTTCTGGCTACTGTTTTCTTCCAGGCCGTCAAAAACTCTCAGATCACCAATATCTTCCAGGCTAGAATCCACTTAGGTGAAGAGTCAGCAGATTCTCTGGACAGGGGAAAATATTTCGACACACCCGGTAAGCAATCGATCCAAGGGCCCAACTTCTGGTCGTTGTCGAGTTCCTCTATAAGCTTCCTACCACCTTGATCCTCTCCGATTCTTGCAAACATGAAAGCGACAGCTAAAGAGGTCAGAAACGGAATCCGAACCAAGGAAAATGATTGAACGAACCGTCTACCGTCTTCGTTTTGTCAGCATCTAATTTGGCAAGGCAGTTGTTGATATATTTCTTCAGAAGCCCATCCTTCTCACCCTCGATCTCGAAATCTAGTCAGCACAGCGAAGTTAAGACCAGGGTAGTAGTAGTAACCTACATTGCCGTCGGTCATGATGATAGTCAGTAATGGCTTGGCCATTATTGCTTTCGGCGCTTGGACGAGTTTGGTCAGGATCTTCTCCTGCAGCTGTGTACCGATCATGCTGACACCGTTGTACTGAATATTTCCATGTAACTTCTCGACCTTTCCACGAGTGACGTCCTTCCGCCCCCGCGGCGCATTGAAGAACCGAACGGTCACAATTCCCTGATCCCTGGCAAGCCCATAGACACTCGCAACCGCGATCAACACCTCCAACAACATATTCTCCCGCTTTCTATCAGCGCCGGAACCCATCGAACTGCTATCGTCTGATAATGGCCACACTGATTAGAAACTATCTTGACAGAGCCGGTTAAAGGGAATACCGTACCAAGCAAAATCACAAGATCATACAGCACCAAAACTGCAAACTGTTCCGCCATTTCCCGAGGACATCCATAGCGGACCAGCCCTTCAACCATCTCCGCACCTTTTAGGGCATATTTTTTGACGTCGTAATCCGGAAAGAATGTAAGCAGCCCCGGCTTTTCACGTTGGATGAATAGTTTGAGTTTCACAGCGCATTTTTCCGCCGTCATCCGAACCACCGTCCACGGTTTCTCCGATTGGCCGTTCGAACTAGCTGGTATCTTCGAATCTGCAGATCCGTTCAAGACTGCGGATCCATTCGAATCCGGACGTCCGTTTGCGCTTCTAGGCTCGGCGTTCGCGCTTCCAACTGCGTTCGACTCTGCGGATCCGGTTGAGATTGCGGATCCATTCGAATCCGGACGTCCGTTTGCGCTTCCGGGCTCGGTGTTCGCTCTTCCGAGTGCGTTCGACTCTGCGGATCCGGTTGAATTTTCCAATCCGTCCAGGTTAATGGATCCGGCCGAACCTCCTGCCAATGCACTCGGATGAGCGGATTCTGGATCGGAAACTACGGGGGCAGAAGGTGTGGGGATATCCCGTAAAACTTTAACTGGAGGTGTATCGAAGACCGTGACTGGATCTCTATATAAAGCACTAAGCAGAAACCTTCTGAGCTTTACAAAGTGTCAGTTAGACAACATGGCAGTGATCTCAGTGGAGAAAAGAACACGCACAACCGTCCATTGGGTTAGGGTACGATAGCCGATTTGTTCCAGGCGATACGTGACTTCAACTAGAAGTCAGAAAAATTGGAACTAACTTCTTTTCAGCCCCTACCTGGCAGACACTCGATCCACCTGGCTATATTCGGGCTGTTGACTAGTGAATCTAGGAGGTCCTGAGCGCCCTGATCTTCACCAATTCGTGCGAACATGAATGTGACGGCTAAGGACATCACATGTCAGCCCCATCTCCTCCCACGACCATCGTACATGTACTGACCATCTGTCGTCTGTTCAAGATCCTGCTCTAACCCCAAGAAGCACTTTTCAATATTTTTCTCTAGAAGCCCTTCATTCTCGCCATCAATCTCGCAATACAGTCAGCACAGCCTTAACCCGGAACGAAAAATAATAGATTTACATTGCCGTCAGTTATGACCATCACCAGTAAAGGCTTGGTCATAGTGGACTTCACAAATGGCTCTAGGATCTTTTCTTGCAGCTGTGTACCAATCTTCGTGAGACCTTTGAACTTAATCTCGTCACAAACCGTTTCAATCTTGTCACTTGTGATGTTTGAGTGCGACCGCCGTCCATTGAGATATCGGATCGACACAATTCCCGCCTCTCGCGCTAGCCCATAGATTTTGGCGACCGTCTCCAACACCCGGAACAACGTCGCTGGCCGTTGGCCACTGTCATCGGTTACCATGGAGCTACTGTCGTCTGATTAGAGAATGGCGGGGGAGGACTGGTCAGATCGTCTTTCAGGAAGAGCCGCGAGTGGCGACTAGTAGTAGTGAACTTACCAACCAGAAGTACCAGATCGTACAGGACCAGAACCGCAAGTTGAGCGGCCATCCCTGGAGAACAGCCATCGCTGACAAGCTTCGAGATCATCCCCGCTGCTCTGGTCGCATAATCATCGAGCGTGAAATCAGGGAAAAAACTAAGTAGGCCCGGCTTGCTCCCAATGAACTGTTTGAGGATTTGCTGGCATTCTTTCAACGGCGGTGGCACGTACCGCGCCCTGTCGGAAGAAACTCTGGTGTTATCCATTGGAGTGGAAGGACGTCTGAGGAAAGTGGGATGTGCTTCGACGAAGTGATAATTGGGAGGTCTTTCGATTCCTCCGCCAGCAACAGGGCCCGCTTAAGTAGATGAAATTGCTACCATCAAACCTGCGTTGAGGCCGAGCATGCAGCTCCAGGAGAACCTTCCTCAGCTGCGGGCTTCCCTACCCACACTTCCGATTCCATGAGGTTGTGGTTGCAATTGCTGCCATTTTCCGAACAGTTTGAGAATAAAATCGCACGCCTCAGAGAATGAAATCTCATACTTCAGAGAACAGACTCTCAAGACTCGGAGTCCACAGAGGCTCTGTCATTTCACATCCGACAACAGTGGAGAATTCGTGTCCCGCTACTACTAACGGCATCACCGGACATCGGGACACTGAATGCACTCTCTAACCCCCCTTTTCAAACCTACTCATTCAAGCCTAGATTTAGCAACTTTCAGGGTTGTGGATGTTGGATTTATGTCACGCGTAAATGCCGAACCACACTTCTCCTACGGCTTTCGGTGGATTAGCTTCGAGACAGACACGGTAGTTACGAGGACACGTCAACTTTGCTCGGTGCACGGCGTGAAATCGAACGCTCCGGTCAATATCAATGGTCGACAACGGTCGTCCGTAATACGAGCTGTGCTATAGTGCCAGGTACGTCAGCACCGTCAAAACTATCAAGCGCCTCCAAGTTTCCAGACTGTTGCATGGTTTACTGTCCTGTCCTTACATTCGACAGCGGCTAGCTTGGGTACTACTAATACTACTAGTGCAGGTAGGAAGTGGTGTGGAACATCGCAATCAACTTTAACGATTGGCGCATGGCCTTACAGCTCAACTCACGCCAAGTTTCGCGTAAACTCCATGACGGACACCACGAGATTGGTAGATATTGTTTCAGCAGCCTAAAAAGCTCCAGGGTGGGGGGGGGGGGGGGGGAGGGGGGGGGGGGGGGGGAAGGGGATTCTAGGCGGCTGCAGGACGGAGACTCAGCACGGTGATGTGTACATTCACATGACTCGGTGTATTTTCAAAAATCTGCGTGATGACATCTGCAGATCATTCCAGATCTTCTCGTGATCCGCTTGGACCGCAATAGAGTTTCCCCACTGACACCATTCTTCAGGTCAATCATAAGCTAGCCAAAATACCGGACGGTCGATGACTGGATTGATGCAGCTAACAGGCCCGAGGAATGCCCCAGTACAAGTCGGTAACCAGGGCGCCGATAAAATAAATCGCCACGACTGGCTGATAGCAGACTGTGTCTATGGGGTCGGAACTGCTGCAATTGGCGATGTTGGTCCTTGCTATTCAGGTGATGAGTAACGGAATGGGTCTGAGATACTGACATCACGCGGCTCGATTTCCCCTCCCTATCGATTCCTACAGCACCTCCGCACGCGATGTTGCACGGCTATGTGCACTGTCAGTTGTGCCGTGGCATCCCGATGGCGCCTCCAGATCACATGAAACAATCTACTCTACACAGCGATATCCTCTCCGGCGGGAGGTGACACCAGGTCTACGGAGCGGGCCTGTGGTGCGCCAACCATGTGCCCAGTATTGGTGTGGCTTCTGGAAGAGCGGATCTCACGGCGCATTTAGCACATTCGAATTATCGAAAAGAGTCTAATTTTCAATTCTCACCGGAAACACTCAAGACAACCAGATTTCTGCAAACAGCGATCAATAACGAAGTAACCTAGGCCACCGTGTGATCCCACACCAATGATGTTGTTTCCTTGGCTCCCAGTAATTTACACCTTGAGTTCTTCTTCACACTTGACGACGACGATCGTCGTCGTCGTCGTCGTCGTCGTCGTCGTCGTCGTCGGGGTCGGGGTCGTAGACGAGTGCGTATTCGGCGTCCATAAAGTCTTCAGGCCTCACAGTCTTCGGCTCGAATTTTAGCTCCACCTCTTCCTTGGCCTCCTCCTTCTTTCGATCCATTTTGTCAATCTAGTGGCGGTCAGACTGATTACTTTCGAATCATGAGAAGGACATACGTCTGCATATAGAGCTCCAAGCAAAAGCTTTCGGATCTAACACGAATCGTTAGATCATTGACACTGGGGGTCGCCAGGAGGTCACCTGCCACATTCCAACGCTCCTTCAGTTTCTTGATTTCTTCCTCGCTTTGTTCGCCTCCATCGCCAGATTTGCGGAACTCTGTCAGGTTGCCAATCTTCTCTAGGGCATAATCCACTTAATCAAGCAGTCAGCAGAGTCCGCAAACAAAGCAATCGCGAAGTACCTGGTAGGCAATCTATCCACCGGCCCAATGTCTCGTGGTCGTCTAGCTCCTCTAGGAGATTCTGGGCGCCTGCATCATTTCCGATTCGTGCAAACATGAAAGCGACAGCTGAACGGGTCAGAAACGGAATCCTAATTAAGGAGGACCGAACCGAGGAACATCGAACGAACCGTCCACCGTCTTCGTGGTGTCAAGGGCTAATTTGGCAAGGCAATTGTTGATGTTTTTCTTCAGAAGCCCATCCTTCTCGCCCTCGATCTGGAAACGTAGTCAGCACAACCAGGGTCAGACCACGGTTGTTGTAGTAACCTACATGTCCGTCGGTTATGATGATAGCCAGTACTGGCCTGACCATGTCTTTTTTTTTCAGGACGAATCGTTTCAAGATCTTGTCCTGTAGCTGTGTACCGATCATGGTGACGCCGTTGTACTCAATATTCTTGATGACCGTCTCAACATTTGCTCGCGTGAGGTTCTTTGCCGGCCTCGAATTGTTGAAGAACCGAACCGCCACAACTCCCTCGTCCCGGGCCAGCCCATAGATATCAACGATTGCTCTCAGAATTTTTGATAACGTCTTGATTCTGTTGCCATCCTCCTCGTATTCCATTGAGCTACTATCGTCTGATTTGGGGACGGATTTAGCTGTTCATTCAAGTCTAGATGGGCGACGACTTCCCTCACCTAGCAGGATCACCAGGTCATAGAGCACCAAAACCGCAAACTGTTCCGCTATCTCTCGGTGACACCCCATGCCGACTAGGCTTTCCACCATTTCGGCAGCTCTGTCTGCATACTCAATGGGTATCTTCTCGTCCAAACTCCCGAAGCCGACCAGCTCTGGTTTTTCCTGCTTTATGAAAGACTTGAGCTTTTTGGCGAACGGTTTCTCGTCGACGTTGGCCATTATGACGGTGCTGTGCGGGAAGGGACAACTTCTTGGAGCGAGGTGGTAAGCAGGCCTTCGTGGAAAATAGGGATCCGCTTGATCTTCGAGCACTCGGAATTCTTGAAGGTCACTTAAGTAAGACCAGCCGCACGACCTTGCAGCTGTAACTACCCCGCCTCTGCTCTGCGCTCAGGGTTGCCGTCTTTCGAGTAAACGCGTGGGGAAAGAAAAAAGAAAATACAAGTAGTCTGCACTCTAGTGGCAGTGAGGCCATGGTGCATCGTGCATGGTACACTAGCTCGCACATTTAATCAGTTAAATACAGAAGCACACGGTCGGTCAATTGGCGTCCTAATCTGCAAGAGGCGAACGTCAACGTCCGCGCACATTAACGATTACACTTATGGATAACATCGGCGATAAAATGATTCAGGTTTCACTCCGGCCTGCAGTGAATCAGTACCATCACGAAGTATCATTTGTTCGTGAAGCGCATCAAAGTTCCCATTGGTACCTCATGGCACATATTCCATGCATTCTGCAAACTAAGGAGCACATATGCTGGTCCCAGACGACGTTTTTACAGTATTGGTGCACGGTATGTGAGGAGCTTTGAGGCTGGCTACCTATTTGACCATAGCCATCGACACTCCTCTCCAGAGTTCACTGTCCACCCCGAAATCGTGCAGTCCTAGGTGTTATGCTGTGGGCCTCCCCTTCCGTCCAGAACTGTCCCGCAGGAGTAGAAAGCTAAGGAACTTACCTAAAAATGATAGACGTGATGCACTTCGTCCTTGACTTTCACGTTTCATTTGTCCGTACTCTTCCAGACTCCGTCCACAAATCTAAATCCGAATCCTTCTCCGTGTCCGCGTATATTTCTGTCTTTCCCACCTTGGCCCAGGCCGACACCCTCACCGCCATCTCCGGCGGTGGTTTATTCCCGGCCTCGCCGACTCCTCTCATCTTCGTGCTTCTACCCTCGCCGTTAGTTCCAGCGACGTCTTGATTCAATTCGGTGCTGAAAATTTCAGTGTTCTACATAGACCAGTCCCGACCAGATTTGGGTATGGTAGGGTCGGTCGAGATATATCCCGACCGACCATCCATAGGTCGGGATAAGTCTGGCTGATAAACAACATACGACGTCGTAAATTCTCTAACAACCGCTAGAAACTAAGGAAATGTTTTCGGCTAATAGAATAAATAACTATTTTATAAATTACTGTTCTTTAGACGTACTATCTAGTATACAGTTATCGCCGATATATGGCCGTAATCAAGGGGCCACTCTTTCCCTCTTTACTCTCGTTCTTCGTTTCTTCCTTTCCCTCCATGTCCACAGTCGACGCCCCCTCCCCCCTCCCCTCCCCTGCCCTCGCCTCAATCTCCTCCCTTCACGATGGCGTTCTCCAGGATAGCACTCTCTCGGATTATTCCTCTAAATCTAGAGATCATTCACCATCCATCAAATAAAGACCACCCAGTGCCCGGACTATCGAGTATCGTTAACCGTCATCATACCTCCAAGTCTATCGCTCAGGGATTTCTTTTGTGTAGCTTTTGCAGCAGCCGTACAAACCAACGAGTATCATCGTCGTATTCACCACTGTGATACTTCTTGCGCAGGATTATGTACAACGTAGTCGCCGCAAACGCAAACGTCGGTACCGTAGCAATTTTCCAAAAGTCGGCATGTGACTTGACAGTTTTGTCACCCGGGTTAAGTGCAAAGTACTGGATCTCATGTTAGCGTGTACTACCCAAGTGTGCTGGGGAGCGGGCAGATTGCATACCGAAGTAAAGAAAGTCAAAGGCAGAAAGATCGTGGTAACCAAAGTAAACATCGACATCGTTCGTGCGTTCATCTTGGCCTCCTCAGCATGGCGCTTCGTAGTGTCCTGGACTTCGGTTTGGGTCTTAAACAAATTCGCAAGGTGACCCTGAATAGTTCTCGAATCATCTCGGGCAATAGTGCCACCGCTGGACAACAACTCCTTAACGTGATGAATCACAATGGATTTCTTTCTAACATGCTGGTCAGCGGCTGCAATACCTCTACAGAGCAAGAAATCCACTCACTCGGTTATCTGGAGAGTTATTCTTGCGTGTAACCTATTCGTAAGTCCCTCGAGGTCACATAACAGCTAGTACAGGGGCTCATCAATCACTGCCATCTCCTGACCGACTACTAGATGGGATACTCACAGACTTCTGCGCCTGCTTCGCCACCTCTAGTAACCACTTAACCTGCTCCTCAAACTCCTTCCGCTCCCCAATCACCATCTTGATTGCATCCATAAGAATGATATTATGTTTGCCCTTCTGCAACACAAATGGTAGCCGAATAATATTCTGGTTGTAACCCTTGTCGTATACGTCCGGCGCGTTGTTACTAATTATCTCTGCCAAATCCGCGAGGACCTGCAGTTGTGCTTGAGTAAGGTGTTGGATGGCACACAGGTTGGAGATGTATGAGGCGAGCTCGATGCCTAGCCTTTCACCTGCCGTCAAGTGTGCTTTCATTACGTCCAGTGCCTCCACGGCATCCTGGTAGTAGGGCGCTTCCGAGACGTGGATGTGGACCCTATCGCTCTTGGTTCTATTAGCAACGGCGATGGCAGCGTTTCGGGCGTGGCTGTGAGTGATGTGTACCAGGTCCCATGACGTTCTCCGGAGGTTGTCGAGGACATCTCCACTCGAGAATTGCAGGGCCGTGCCGATCATATGGACGAGCAGGTGCAGTGCGCTCACGCGATGTTGATATGGAAAGAATGGCAATGGACTGGACTGCTCGTTACTCGCCGTACGGGCCATCACGATCATGTCTACCGAGCGCAGCGTCAGCAAAGTAGTGATCGGGGGGAAGGTAAATTCCACATACCACTGTTTATCACCATGAATTCCGACCGATGGACGAAGATTGGACCATTCCGAGCATCTCCGCTCGTGCCAACATGTGTAAACGCGTGTGACCTCAACTCCGCGATACTGTTGCGGTACTCCTCGAGCGTAGGGTTTGTCGCAACATTGCCTCCGAAGGTGAGGTGTGGAATTGATACCATCAGACGAAATCGCCGCGGATTTCTTATGGCGAGGAGGGAGAGGGTAGGCCTGGTTCCATTGCCCGTAATCCAACCAGGACCAGGGACTGGAGCTGGGGACTCGTCGTCGGAGATGTCGTCTACCAGCTGCTTTGTGGGTACCATCTCGGATGGGAGCCGGTTGATGCCATCGGTAAGTGTCGCGTGCTGCATCCCTTCATTTGTCCTGAACTCTCTACCGTCTCATTAGTCTCCACTTCGTGCCATCTTCCATGCCCTTGGTGGCAGGAATACATACAGGACGTGCACAGGAGCCAACAAATCGAGAATAGCTTCATCCTTGGAGATGTATACGTCCTCCGGTGTCTGCCTATCAGGTGGTAAGATCTCAGGCTCCGGCGCTGGAGTACGCTCGCCGAGCGAATTGGCGTTTATATCAGTTTCGGAGTCGGCGGGCTGTTGGTGGAGTAGATAGACATGGCGCACGCAGTCCGTCTCGGTTGGTAATATAGGCGAATAGCGATGATAGAACCGAACCGGTTTGCCGCCTTCGATCTTTACGAGAGGGTGCAGATCGGGATTCCGAAACGATGTGGCGCCAGCCGCGGGGGGAGGTGGTTGGGGGCCCGGTTGTTGATCAGCCATTTTGCGGTGGATGATGGATGAACGTCATGTCGAAAATAAAAAGGACTGTCGAATTACTTATGCATCTCGTTGGGAGGTCGCGTTCTGTCGGTTTCGGGGCGGGTACGCGTTGCTCAGCCGCAGCTGATAGACCGCGCCGTCTGTTCAGTCCACCTCCTTTTTTTTCCTGCAGCTTGATGGTTCGACTTTCTAGTTGAGTCACCAGGCTCGACATGGCTGGAAAAGCAAGTTTCGCGTCGGCCGCCTGCATCCAATGATGCGGGATCGCGAAAGTTCATCTCTGAGTGAGTCCAAACCGAGATTCGAGGCCGAATCCACGAACGGTCTCGAGACAATGGCAAATCTCGGACTTTATCGTCCACCATGACATGGACAAACGTCCCGGCATCGTGCTTCTCATGGATTTTTCCAGGCGATTTTGAATTAAACGTGATTGAGTCCAGCTGTGGCCATTGTCTCGGAAGGTACACACTCACCGCCTTCATGAATACATAGGCCTGTGGCGGTGGGGGCAGATGGGGCTAAGCGGTGATCCGCCGCTGGGGTAGTCGTAGCGAGGCGTACTGTACTGTAACTACATACCTGTCAGAACGCCTACGAGGGAATTGGCGGGATGCACTGCCTGTTCGGACTGCGAATACATATGTCTGCTCAGCTCTCTTCAAACCTCCATAGCAGTGCGTGATCTTTGTTCTGATTGACTGCTGACGTCTGCTCAAGGAGGCTGGAGCACCTGTGTATTATTTTTATCGAAGCTTGTGTGTGAGATAACTAACTGTCCACACGGTTCAGACAACTCGCCTATTAGCGAATCCCATCGATTACTAAGGCTGGAATCAACAGCGGATGTCACCAGCGGCACATCCTTATTTCAGACGATCGCCGATCGAGCCGGCAGAGTACATTGTGGAGGAGTAGCTCCGGAGTCATGAGCTGCGTAGAGAACCTAGATCCTCCGGCGTACCAATCATGTGAACGAGGCATGACAATAATCGCACTCTCCTATTGTCCCCGGCTGTAACTTGACATGTAGCTTTACTAGTTCGCCGGGTAGGTTAGATTGATAGTAAATCGGTAGTTACAGAGAGTCCGAGGGCAAAGCTGGGTTCTTTCCATGGTGGGAGGGGCTGACCGGTGTTCAAGCCCCCCCTATGATGGACCGCCGAGGCGCTAGGGGATTCTAGGCGGATAGTTGGCTTTTCTTTTTCGAGGTTCATCTCTTTTTCCGAGGAACGAGGAGCTTCAACTCAGAAAAAGAGCAAAGACGTGCGACCATCCATTTTCAAAAGGAACCCGAGCATATGTGTGGCGCATCTGGGTAAGACACATTTAGCTGGGAGCGATCGGTCAATCTGGAGATGGCAGTGAATACTCACAGACCATCACTCGTGTGGAGAAAAAAATATCATATCTTGGAATACTTATCGGCGCTCGGCTTTTTGCTGTCTTTCTTCTTGTGAGATTCTAGGCGCCCAGAGAACCAGGTCGGAAGACCGCCGGCTGGCGGAAGACTAGTGGAGAGCCGGAAGACTAACGGCTAGCGGGAAGACCACCAGCGGGTAGGAAGACTACCGGCGCGGGAGGACTCTCGGTGCCGACAGGACATTTGGATAGCTTGTATAGATAGATGTCTCTTCTGCTGATTATATTGTTAGTATTATTGATCATCTATCCATCTTCATTCAACACTTCTTCTGCTTTCTTTCCCGCCAATCTTCCTTGTCTCACGATGAGGCTGGGTGGAGAGCAATAGAAAACCGGTATCGAGCAGCCAGCGGTTGGTGACAGCCGAGTGGAAACGGATAGGTCCCTTATGTACTTGTATATCTGCCATCATCTGTCAAGTTTGAATAAAAAAACGAAAACTTGACTTAACTACCTGGCAACCTCTCTGGATGCTGCTCGGTTACTGCCACCATCGCTGTCACCGCAAAGTCAAGCAGACTGAAACTGTGGATACGCAACGATGTGTGTCTAACAGTTACGGCACTTCTTTCGCAAATGCCTCTCCAGGCCGAGAAGCGGGTCGAGAGGAGGAGAACACCCAAGAAGGGAGAAGAGTTAGGGAAGACGGCGGAAGCGAAAGGTGATGAAGAAGTTAAGGTTGTACTCAACTTCGAAGAGCCATCTTATATGACTCTCCCCCGTTACCTACAACGTTTGGCGCCACCCGATCCGGCTAGTCCGGCCATCACCACCACTCGGATCCACTGATCCGACTAGCTCCTCCTTCTTTATCTTATCGGATTCTCGAAACCATCATCGTCCTGACGAAGGCAATCACGCACATACATCACAGCATCCAATTCACCTTTTTCAAGCTCGCTATAGTATAAATAAGTAAGTACTTAGCCGTTCTCTATTCTTTCGTCGCCAACGGTATTGTGGTGTACTCTACGTAGAAGCGCTACTATGACCGAATTTTCACTACCCCCCCCCCCCCCCCCCCCCCCGGCCGTTCTCAGGAGATGAACGCGATGCCCGCACGCCCGCCGGCATCAAAGTTCGTAAATACGCGCGCGACAGCGGTTATATTCAGTTGGCGTGAGCGGATATGTATGGCTTGACTGCCACTGCCGTTGTTACTGCCGGGAAAGAAATCTCGTCGGGCTTTCCTCACGACCCCACACTGATCACGGCCTAATCCTAGATCCCACCTTACTTTGCGTGTGCCTGTTGTATTCAAACTATCTCTCTTCATCGTCATCGGATTCATCTTCGTCGGAGCCAGAACTGAAGGAGTCCGGCGATTCACCGTTGAACCTCGATTTATCCGGCTTGAATGGTAAGAGCGTGTCCTCAATCTCAGAGTCTTCATCCATCTTGTCAATCTGGTTGCGGACCTGCGGTCAGTTTTGGTACTTGAAAGCATATGGAGAACCTACTGATTCGTATAGAGCTCCAAGCATGAGCTTCCGTAGCTAGCAGACGTGATTAGCATTACTTTACAGTAGAGTTTGTTGAGACGTATACATACCACACCCCAGCGTGCCGTTCCTTGGCTACAGATAGCTTCCAAACGAGAGTCAACTTGAATGCCGAGTCAGCTGTGCAAACTTTCAAAACGAAGGTACCCTTCTCGACTCACCCGGTAGGCAGTCAATCCAGCGGCTCAGATTTTTGTCGTTGTCCAGATCCTCGAGGAGCTTCCTGGCACCCGGATCCGTTCCGAGACGTGCGAACATGAAAGCAGCGGCTATTGAAGCGCGCGGGGTTAGCAAGGAGAGCTGCGGCTCATTAGGGTTCCGCGAGATTGGACTTACCGTCGACAGTCTTGTTGCGATCGGCTTTCAATCTCGCATGACAATCGCTGATGGTTCTCCTCAGCAGCCCATCTTTCTCGCCCTCAATCTTTCCACACTGTCAGAAAACTGTGTGGCCAAACGCACTGGAGTCTAGATTTCGGGGGTGCTCACACTGCCCTCGGTGATGACGATAGTCAGTACCGGTTTGGTCATGGGTATCCTTGGGTACTCGACGAACGGGCGCAAGACTTTTTCCTGTAGCTGTGTACCAATCATGGTAACGCCGTTGTACTCGAGGTACTCGAGCACCTCTGCAACATCCGCCGATCGGATATCTTTTTCTACCACCTGCGTATTCAGGAACCTAACCGCCACGATTCCTTCATCGCGCGCCAGCTCATAGACCTTCGCGACGGCGGTTAAGACGTTCGACAGCGCCGCTCTCCGCTCCTGATCCTGTCCGTATTCCATCGAGCTACTATCATCTAGCGGAGACGGATCAGCCCGTCATCCCCATCCTTGCCACAAAGATTCACAACACTACCTCCACTCACCTACGAGTATAACCAGATCATACAAAACCAACACAGCGAACTGTTCGGCGAGTTCCCTTGTGCAACTCGCGGCAACTAGGTTCTCGACCATCTCCGCGCCCTTCCCCCCATAGCGCCCGAACTTGGGGACTTTGGCCTCCGGAATGAGTATTCTCAACCCGGATTTATTTTCCCGCTTGATGAACGAGTGGAGCTTCGCCGCGTATCGCTCTGCTGGCGGTAGCCCGAATGTGCGCGTGTACGTGTTCGCATTGGTGGAGCGTGATGAGCTCGACATCGATGATGGCGGGGTAGTCTACCGTATGTGCGGGAATGCTGAGAATTGCGCGGCGGAGAGAGGATGCGGAAATTTCGATCTTGAATTCTTGCGAGCAGCGGAAGATCTAAACGCCCACTTAAGTATCGTATATTCATCCCACCGTCCCACCCAGTAGGCGATTACGTACTGTCGCACTCGTCTCGATTCTAGAAGCCGTGAGATTTGAAAACGCGCCCAGCCCAAAACTCGTCAGCTGCGCGCAGTGCCGCAGCGTTTACGCGGCCGTACAATGGCTCTGTGGTCGGTCATGTCTTGACTCTTGACTCTTGAGCGCACGAGTGGGGGAGAAAAAGCAATTCAATCACTGCAGAGTCTATAGTACTCGGGATGTATCGCAATTCATCATCCAATTGTAATAATTACTAGTATTCCGAAGCACAGCCCGTAGACCGCAGTCCGCAGCCCTCATTGCCGTGGACTGCGGGTGATTGGCTTCGACTCGGAGGTGTGCAACCAACTCGAGGAGAGGGCATTACGTCATTACATCAGTGCATCGGTGCACCGGTGCATCGCTGCGGCATCGAAGTGACTGGAATTTGATCGTTGGAGTCCAGTCGATAGTATCGGTGGTATGTATGCACTGTGCTACTGTCTACATAAGTAGTCCAGTATTAATGTTTGCAGGAAGGACATTTAATACCCCCGCACCGCAACGCAATTCGACTCATGATCCCATATTCGTAAGCGGTGTATCAGGATCGCATTGACCAGACTACAATCCGTCTCGCACTGAATACAGTGTTCTACATACACCAGTCCCAACCAAACTTGGGCATGGTCTGGTCGGGTCGGGATATGTCCCGATCAAATATTTTAGGTCGGGTCGGGTCGGGATAAGTCTGGCTAAGAAACAACATTTAACGTCGAAAATGCTTTAACGACCGCCAAAAACCGAAGAAAAATCGTGCGGCTGATAGAATCAACAGTTAACCTGACGTCGGCCAACCTAGGCCGACCGCACCTGGTAAGGTCGGGTCGGTCGGGATGTATCCCGACCAAATAAAGCCGCGGTCGGGTCTACTTAATTTTATCCCGACCGACCAGACCGGTCGGCCGACCGGTCTGGTCTATGTGGTAGCTCTTGACCGAGCAACCAAACATCGATCCGGCACAACTCGAATACATACAGTGTGGGCACCTTCGGACATCACGTTTCCTGTTGCTTTTCGTCTCAACAGTTTACTTGCAAGATTTAATCCTTTCCTTCGGACAAAAAGCCGCAATGACACGCTCCAACATGAAAAATCGAGGTACTCTCCCACCACTTTGCCAGTGACAGTCGGATACATTCCGCACAGACACCTCCGACTATTCTTGGTCGGATTCCTCTGTAGGCACTGCTGGTACCTGCAGTGACATCTGCGGTGCATCGGTGTCGACTTCATTATCGTAATCGTCTATGTTATCAATCTGGTACACTCCGTCAGATAAATATCCGCCCAGCTTTCCAAGAATGATACCGCATGGAGGGGGGGTGCCTACATCCCTGTATAGAGCACCAAGCAGAAGTTTCCGGAGCTGATGGGAATCGTTAGCTCGATGCCGCGTGGGACTCGGAGTCCGAAATGGAGATACGTACCACATCCCAGTGATCGGGATGGCTCCTGTTGCCGATGTCTTCCAGTCGCGAAGTTACTCGATCGCAGAACATGTCAGCAGTGACGAAGCTCAATAATCATTGATCGATTCGACATACCTGGTAAACAATCGATCCATGAACCCAGTTCCGTGTCGTTGTCGAGCTCCTCTATGAGCTCTTTTGCACCTTGATCGTGCCCAATGCGTGCGAAGTAGAACGCGACGGCTGAAGAGTAGGTCAGATATGCAGTCCAGCCCAGGTTGCGGCATCGTGGTATTACTGACCGTGGTGAGTTTTCTCGGATGCGGCCTGCAGCTTGGTGATGCAATTCCGGATGTTCTTCCTCAGCAGCCCTCTCTTCTCGCCCTCGATCTGAGTGCGCGGCCGTCAGCGGCACGGTCCATAACGGAACACAATAGGCTTACATTGCCGTCGGTAATGACCATGGTCAATAGAGGCCTCTCCATCTTCTTGCCCTCGACAAACGGTTTCAAGATCTTCTGCTGCAGCTGTGTGCCGATCATGGTAACGCCGTAGTACTCGATGGCAGCGTGTAGCTCCTCGACCTTGTCTCGCGTGACGTCCTGCCATTCGTTGCGGGTGTTGAAGAACCGGACGGAGACGATGCCCTTGTCGCGCGCCAGCTGGTAGATATCGGTGACGGCCTTCAGGACCTCCAGGAGCGTCGATTTCCGCCTACCCTCGTCCGCCAACTCCATCGACCCACTGTCGTCTAATCCCAACTCAATAATTAGGACTTTCACCAACGGACCAGTTCGGGCCCGGACATCACGACTCACCGAGCAGGATCACCAGATCGAAGAGCACGAGAACCGAAAATTGTTCCGCCCGTTCCCGAGAGCAGCCAATCTCAACCAGCGACTTAATCATGGCATCGCCTCGAGCCGCGTACCCATCAAGCGAGTCGTCCGGAAAGAATGTGCTTAACCCCTCTTTTTCGGTCTTGATGTAGTGTCGGAGAAGTTTCTTGCATCGCCCCTCTCTCACCGTAGTGCTCATCGTTGCCTCCGGTACGGGTGGTGGTCGTGTTCCGTTCTGCAGTTTTGTTGTCGTGCTAACTCCAACGGCGGCGGAGGGAGGGTTTTGCACGCGAGTTGGTCTTGAGTTGAAGTTGAAGATTCTCGCGATCGTGTATGTACTGTGTACGAGCACCCGGCAGGGGGCCGAAAAGTCCCGCAACGACGGGTTAAGTACCAACTAGAGACAACAGCCCTATCTCACCAGCGAACACTAATCGCGCAGGAGCAGTGTCGCAGTGTATGCGGCTCAATTCGGGCAAAGAAGTGTGGTACCCCGCCTTTCCCTGCGGACCCTTCCCTGCTGTTTCCTCAGGGATGTACTCTGCGAACGAGTGGGGGAGATCTGAGGGAACCCTGGCACACCGCACCGCATCCATGGGACTCGCATTCATCGTTTGTTGCGCACCCGACGTGGATGAATTCCTAGTGCCCACAGCTAACGCTGCGCTTGCTCGCTCGTAAACCTGGTATCGTGGGGGGGGGCGTCCGATATGGTGACGTAACCCTAGAAGTTGAAGGTAGATGATGAAGAAGTTGAGGTTGTATTGAACTTTGAAGAGCCATCCTATCTGGCTCTCCTCCGCTGCCTACAACGTTTGGTGTCGCCCCATCCGGCTAGTCTAGCTGAGACCACCATTCGGCTCAACGACTAGTCTCTCCTCCGCCTATCTTATCAGATCCTCCATCCATCCTGCGCACATATGCTCCTCCAACTAACTACCTTGCGATCTGCGCCGCCAAACTGTGTAGGGTGCGAGTCAAGGTTTCTGCGTAATACTATGTACAGTCCTTCTACTACTTGTTCATGCGTGCCTCCATAGTAGCTCTGCAGGAATGCTGTATGTACGGTACTCGCTGGCACAAAGCATTGGGTGCGGGCATCGCGGCACTTTTGACTTGTCGGCCGCAACCATCCAATTTTTGCTGGTGCATTTGCCTGGAGGCTGGAGACTGAACCCAGAGGCGATGGCGACAGGAGTATGGCCGCACAGGAAATTCCGCAGCGATGGACGGTAAGCCGGTTCCAATAGTGACAGGTTATAATTAAGTCTACTTTATCCGCCATCTCTGAGCAGTGAGCACTGGTGGCCCTTTGGGGCAACCACGTCCATGCATCAGACCTTCCGGCGCACTCAATTCCAGACACATTCACTCGTAGAAACTTGAAATTACATTTCGCAGACCGACAAACAACTCCAATAAAACGTATTGTTTGGAACTAGCGCACCCACGGCGATCCAGTCGCACACCCGGTATTCCCCCAACGAATACAGGGTTCCCAAATCTGTCCTTTGCTTCCACCGAATATTTACACATCTTCTTCCTCTTCGCCAAGGGGCCGTACTTTATGATGATCTTTGAGCTTCAGCACCTTTTCACTGGTGTCTATGGGAGTTTCGGCTTGTACGACGTCGAATCGGTCAATCTAGTCCACAGTCAGATGAATTCCCAGCATTTTAAGATCATAATGTGACATACGTCTGCATCCAGAGCTCCGAGAAAAAGCTTTCTTAGCTGGTGATGGCAAGTGTTAGTCGGATGACACTGGAAACTGGGAGGATGAGAGATGCATACCACCGACCAGTGCTCGGCAGAACCGTTGCCGACATCTTCTATTTTTTCGTTCACTAATCCCCTAGTTAGCAGAGATTTGGAAGCGAATCCAACTGATCCTACCGGGTAGACAGTCAATCCACTGGTCCATATCCTTGTGATTATCGAGGCTCTCTATGAGCTCCTTAGCACCTGGATCATCTCCGATTCTTGCGAACATGAACGCAACAGCTAACGAGGTCAGAAATTAAGCTCACGATTTGGTATCATTGCAGTACTGACCGTCCTCCGTCTTCGGCTTAGGGCCGCTTTGTAGACTAGTAAGGCAATTGTAGATATTTTTCTCCAGAACCCCCGAACTCTCACCCTCGATCTTGAAACCCTGTCAGTACAGTCCCGGGAAGAGAAGGACGAGCTTACAGCGCCGTCGGTTATAATCATCGTCAGTAAAGGCTTGGTCATCACTTTTTTCTCGACGAATGGTTTCAAGATCTTTTCCTGCAGTTGTGTACCGATCATGGTGAGGCCATGGTATCGAATTGCTTTGTGTACCTCGTCAACCTTGGCCTTAGTGACGTTTTTCCGGCCCTGTCGGCCATTGAGATATCGGACGGACATGATTCCCTCTTCGCGGGCAAGCTCGTAGACCTCCGCGACCGCTTTTAACAGTGTGTGTAATGTTTTCACCCGCGCGCCGTCGTCGTCGGTGTACATGGAGCTACTGTCGTCTGAATTGGGACCGCCGGTTAGTCCGTTTCCCAGGGAATGTGTTGCGATCTCACTCACCAATCAAAAGAGCCAGATCATACAGAACCAAAATTGCGAACTGTTGCGCCGTTTCTTTGGGACACTTCAGCTTGATTATCTCGTCGACCAGTCTCGCAGCTCTGGCCGCATAACCGGCGAATATTTTGTCCGGGAAGAATTCGCGCAACCCTGGTTTGCTGTCGACGAATTGATTGAGAGTATATTTGCATCTTTCCTCCGCGGATCCTGCCTTGACCGTCGGGTCATATTTCGGCGCGTCCGACTGGGACGGCGGCGGAATTTCGCCCGTCAGGGGTAGAACCGGCGGTGCTGGGGGGTTTCCTGGCCCGCTGGAGATCTCGGCCATCGAAGCCGTCTCGGATTGCGTCGGCATGTGTGCCTGCTCGTGGGTATCTGCGCTTGTAGCCAGTGGGGTGAAATGAGTTCGAAGAAGTGGGATACGCTTGGGCGTGGTGATGGCTATGAGTTCGTTCGATTCTCCCGACAACAAGTTGCCGCCAGATCCCACTTAAGTACAGTTGTCGGACCTGTGTCCAGGTCTCATATGAGGCTCCGCTCGACGCTCATTAGGTATACCCCGCCTTTACTATGACGTTGTGAGTGGTGTTGTCCTAAGTAAACGATAGGGGGAAAAGGAAAAAACCCCTTACACTTTACATGCGAGCCTCATGTGCATCGTATGAGACAGAGTCGCTCATCTCCAACCAGTCAGGTATTGAAGCACACTTCGTAAGGCGTTGGTCCATGGGGCTTCGGCGGAGGACACGTCAATGGTCTCATTTAGTATTGATTGCTCTGTTTGATAGTAGTGGCCGAGACGTCGAATGGCCAATTTCGTGTAAAACGAGAAGTTGCACTCCAGTTACACGTCTGCATAGGCAAGTCCAGGTTTCCCCGAAGCCGAACTCCGGTACAGAAGTCATGCTTCCCACTATTGGTAGAACGCCTGCAGGCAAGGGATATGCGGGGAATTTACCCCCACTTCGTAGCTAGCTAGCGCAGAGCCTTGCAGACTACCCCGCACGACACGATCTGAGTAGTTGCGTGCTCATGATGCGTCACGGAGAGGTAGTGCCAGCTAATTTCATGGTGACATAAGACATCCTCTTCGACGACACAAGGTTTCAGTTCCATTCTTAAGGATGAACTGCATCGTGACGCGACTTGTAAGCCTAGGCTTTCGCAGATTTGCATTCGGTCGCTAAAACTATTCGTTGTATCCCTTCGATCGGCGATTAGTTTAGAACCTTCAATTGGGCAACGGATCCAGAATACCCATTGGTCTTCCTGTATCATCGTACCGAACAACTACCGGCGGTCTCCAATAGTGGTAGTAAGATGTAGATGCGCACACGTACCACTTGGCGCGATCGAAGCCTACGTTCTGATAGCTCTTATATTCCGTAGCCGAGGGCGCAGAAAATGAGGAGAATGAAAAGGCTAGCGTTCTAGTTAGCTACTGCTCAGGTGACGTAGCTCGGCAAAGCGAACGGTGAAGTTGAGAATGACGGAGAAGTTGAGGCTCTGTTTAACCTCGAAGAGCCATTTCATATGGCTTTCCTCCACTGCATACAACGTTCGGAGCCTCCCGATTTGGCTGGTCCAGCTATAACAATCATTCGGGTCCGCCCAATCCGACTAGCCACTTTTTCTTATCATATATGTCTTATCTTATCGATCGCTAATCTTCTGATGCCCCCAATCTATCCTACACATCGATGCGTAGCTGTCAAGGCCGGGGCCCGATGAATAGCAGCGAAGATATTTAGATCGAAGGCGGGATTGGCAAAATGCCGGTTGTCATGGTCGACGTTGTCCTGGGCCAAGCCCTGAGCTCTCCCCCTGGAGTTCACTCTCCTCCCCGCCGTCGCCGTATCGCCTACTAAACAGGCTCTCCTAGAGTGATAAAATCGATGATGATGTGCGGGGAAGCGATGGTGAGACTTCTTCAAAGGTTCGGACGTACCACCCGCGGTGGTGCAGTTCTCCGGCCAGGGAGCGAGGCTCGATTGATCTCTATCGCTTCATGCTCATCGTCGTCGAATTCGTCGGTCGGGGAACTCAATCCGCGGTCGGAAAGAGTGGACACACACGCAACATGAATCCTGAAGCCAAAGTGAGCGGGGCATTTGGTGTGCCAACGCATAGTCTTGGCATTTTTGGAAGGTTGGTGTGGTTGTCGGAGGTGTGTGTACACATCGCTGCACGCATAGCGGTGGCAGACAATATCAGAGTTCCATCTCGAAACCTCTGTATAGTACAGTAGTCTAACCTATTTCATCTATGTAAGGTGATCCTTCTTCAGCCATCATCATAACCTGTACCCCTAGCGGATATCTTATCTGATCTGATCCGATCTGATCTAGGTAACCACTCTTATCTTATCGCAACTCTTGCGGTGGTAGACAAGGCGGGTAGCCACCCGAGTGCCGAGGAATCGGACTCCGAAATGGCTCGTAGAGAATACTTGTATATATGGATGCGCATCCATTCTAATGTATAACCCATCAGTGCAAAAGCAGGTACAAGGAAACCATGCTCTCCTCCGCTCCTCGCTTCTCCCCGTCCCCCTTTACCGCTCCCACGGCGGCCTGTAAGCTGCAGTGCTCTACATAGACCAAACCGGTCGGCCGACCGGTCTGGTCGGTCGGGATAAAACTTAGTAGACCCGACTTAGGCGTTAGTAGGCCGGGATATATCCAGACCGACCAGACCTTGCCAGGCTCGGCCGGCCTTGGTCTGCTGACGTCGGGTTAACTGTTGATTCTAACGTTTCACCTGACGAAACTCATCCAGCGATATCCTCACAACAGTGGGTTCCCGGCTGTTGATATTATGCATTTTATTGCCTTTTCCGGAATCACTGCTACTTTCCACTGTCATTGCTACTTTCCACAGTCCTTTGCATACTGTTCTCATTTCCTTCGTAGTTCTTTGCATTGTCCATGGCTTCTGTTTAAGCCTTCAAGCCCTCAGCCCAGTCCGGCGACCACTATTGCCGCATCCACTGTCTGAGGCCCGGCTTCCTCGTCGTCTACACGGACTTCTTTTCCTCTATAAGAAGTCTTCTCTTTCATCTCTCTTGTATCAATCCATCAATCAAGTCAAGTTTTTCTCTCAATTTCAACACCGGCGGAAAAACAAGTGCGAGTGATACGCTGTGACGCTGTACTTTTAGCGGTCAGTTTCCATTCGACTGTCTATTTACAGCGGAGGTGGAGCCCTGAGGATTGGTATCTTCGTCTGAAAGTGGATATTCAGAGAGAGTTTTTGTGGGTTATGGCGCTCTCTGTCATCTTGACTCGGTTCGACACGTGCCGGTACAACGTTCTCCTTCGGCCGACCTTCGTTGGTCCTTTCCCCCTTATCGCCGTACAGTACGCATTCACCCGCGGTCAGCCTTGCCCCTCGGCCGGAGCTCTACTCCTTCACACGGGCCCAACCCCACAGATCGACAACTAAAGCCGAGCATCGTCATCCGGAACGCCGGCAGCCAGCCAGCCGTCATGGTGCTTCGCTTCAGGTTAGCCACGATCGAAAACCGGATCCTCGAAGAAATTCGAACTGGCCGGGAACAAACGTGGTAGGTACCGATGTCGGGTATGCGAGTACATTGCGAGGATAACGAATCCCGTCGGTAGCGAAGGACCAATAGGATAGCGCCACTGCATCAGGATTCGCCAACACAACCCGTGCCAGCTAGCAGCCGGAGATTTGGTTCTCCACGTTTAGCCCATGATAGCGGGACGGGACGCAAGTCATCAAGCTTAGTCCGCCCCATAACTAAGCAGATAGGTAGCCTACCGGGTGGCGCCAATGTCGATAGTCTGCATTTGAGATCGCAAGGTTGAGAGCTATGTACCGCCGATCGAGACTTTCGTGCAAGTACGCACATCGGTACTCAAGTAGATCAATTGCTCTTATCTACCCAGATGGACTATCGAGACGGCAAACACGGTGCACGCAACTAGCCTCGGATAACATTCCCCGAGTCTCGTATACAACCCGAATGAAGTCACGGTTCGGTTGGTTGGTTGTTGACGGTCCGATGGTTTCGCCTCCCCTCTGTCTCGAACTACAAAATGACATGGTGCGGCTGAGTAGTATCTGACAGGCTCCGTGACGAGTATGTACGACGATCATGGATGCACCCGTGCATCCGGAAAATAAAGACCTTAGCTTGCATGCCGGTGCGCTCAGCGAATCTTCGCCGTGCAGATGTTTTGGAATCCAGCCGTCGAGTCGCAGAGACAGTCGCGGACGATAGCCGAGACAAAACCTGCGAGGCTGATCGCACGCACCACACAAGTTACAAGCTACAGCCGATACTACTGCTAGGTACGTTGGTAGTTGCCAATCCACCGAGGTTGGCAGAGTGTCGGATCGTCCGAGACAGCATTCACGGTCGGAATCGAAGAGGATGGCGCTGCGCCACCACCGCCACAAATTGGCATCGCCACACAATCGTCGAAAAAAAACCCCGCGAAAACAGAAAAGATAATTAACTTCCTGCAGGAGTACAGTGTCTCGGGCTCAACTAGAGCGGAGTTAGTAATAAGGGAGGCTGACGTAGCCCGGCAAGGGTAACGGTTGAAGGATGATGGAGAAGTTGAGGTTCGAAGTGCCATCATGTAGCCCTTCTCCGCTGCCACAGACTAACCCAACGGCGCCTAGAGTCAGATCCCCACCATCCGGGGACCTCAGTCCGGCTAGCCACTCGTCCTTATCTTATCGCATCAATGGCTATGATCTCATCCCCCCTCTCTATCCTACGTAGCGCTCCTCGCATTGTGGAGGCAGACAACAGGCGCGAAGGAAGAGGCGGCTTAGTGTTATCAGTTAGCACCGGAGAGAGGAGACCTTATTGGGACCTTTTATTCAGGAGGGGAGACCTAGTTGAGGCCTTGTGTTTGGGAGGGGAGACCTTGCTGGGACCTGATGGGACCTACGGTCTACCTATGTGTTCTGGAGGTGGGACCTGACGCAGACCCGATGCGGTCGTTAAACGTTAAATTGTTTCTTTTGTCACCGTTTCTGTTCTTCTTGTCCGTTTTCCGTTCTTCTCATCATCATCCCCATCATCATAGACCTTTCCAATTGATCACGTTTCTCGCACCCGTTTTTGGGTCTCTCAGCTGGTGCGCCGAGCCCGGATACGTGTAGGCTGGTTGACGAAAAGCCCCAATTTCCTATTAGTACTCTCGAGTGAAAACGATATAGAGGGCGAAGAAGAAAGTACACGGCGAAGTGAAACGATACAGACGGCGGAGAAGGACATGCACGGCAGAGAAGGATCATAAGAACCTCTACGAAGGAAGATACAGCTGACGGCATCCAACCTCTCAGTACCTGACACTGCACGCAACGATGTGTGGATGTTTCAGCAACGCACACACCGATAAGCCACCATCACTGTGACTGCGCCTCCCCCTCATGCGCCACAGTACGCCACACATAACTTTACTTTACCATGATATTGTCGTGAGGAGTATCACGAATACAGACCAGCTCCTTGACACCAACCTAACAGTATCATAGACTGGGAACTCTTGCTCTGCGACGCGGCGGATCATCTTTATTTCATCATCAAGATTCTCTCTCAAAACATTCCGACCGATTTGGGGCTGAAGCTCTACGTGGCCCGGAGCTCGGCGCGCACAACATGTATACCGGATTATGAAACGTGTTCGGGTGTTCAATCGCGATAGAATCGAAGTTTCGATATGCATTTAAATCACCAGCATAGCGCAAAGAGTAGCAGACAAAAGCACAAGCTATGTACATTCGCATGTCAAAGCGGTCGAGACTCAAAGATGGTGGTGTGGTGGGGGCGACGCGTCGATAAGGTTGAAGTGGTGATAAACTTTGAGCTACCCAGCCACCCAGTACCTTCAGTCCCATGTGCTGGTAGGTGGTTCTCTGTGCCCATGCCTGTGCTTGCATTTTTGAACCGTGCCGCCCCCGGATTACTAGACGGATTCACAGGTGGTTGGACTGACTGGGGATGTGGCGCTAGCGGTCTGTCCGAATCCGCACGAATCCGTCCGGGACTGTATAAAATCTACATACTTGGAGAATCGAGATCGACGGCCGTCCAAACGAGTAGTCTACATACATGCCTAAAACGAAATGCGCAGGTTGCCTATCCGCGGCGCCGCCGCGGTTTACCGGCGTGCACTGCCTGGCAATGTCACTGCACCTTCAAGATTCGAAATCGAATGCGTGAATCGATCGCTCGATACTTACGTGGCTCGTTCGACGTTATTGGTTGAACCCCACCGGGCCGAAGGAGTACGCCGCAGATTGGGATGTCTCACTCGGCGGGCACACGGCCCATCGAACGAACCGGAGCTCCCGCTTTACTCGGGCTCAGCCCGCTTAGAGGGATGCCTCGTTCGTTCGTATGGGAGTCATCTGAACGACGGGAAGAGCATTTGATTGTTTGCATTTCGGTAGCCTGTGAGAATTCGCCCTCACATATCCCGCTGGAGGCCTATCGCACGTATGGCTACGCCCCTCTTATTAGATGAGGAATGAACTTGCGCTGTCTCCGTTGCGTGCAAGTGGTGGACAGTATGCGTACTATCAACTGATCTTGTGCGTGTTGAGGCTGATGACTTGGAATTGAGGAAGCCGAACCACCGAGCTACGGGCGGAAAGGAGGCGAACCGGAAGAAGAAAGGCAGTGTCTCACCTTGGGCTGCGGAATCAGCGCGGTTGCCGTACCGACGTGAACCCATACTAGAGTAACAACAGCATAAGTAGTTTGAAATTCCGGTCGGTGCTATGATACAGCTAATAACCACTCTTCCAACATCTACTACAAAATGGCCGGTTTACAAGTCACTCCTCCGCCATTACTCGCGTCGACGGCGCCCGAAGAATTGTTCCGAAATCCACCTCCGCCACCTCTCATTGCGTTCGACGGCGGCGCCCCGGTTTGGTCGGAACACGACGGTGCAGACGTAAGACCATCCCCGACTGACTTCGTGCGCCATGTCTATCTCCTCCACCAACAGCCCCCCGGCTTCGACCGCGAAAGCCATCACGGTGCGGCAAATACCAGTAGTCGCACCGTCCATGAGCCCGAGAGGTTGGTGCTGGCCGAGCAGACGGCGAGAGCCGTGTACCCACCAAACAAAGGGTGGACAGATTCGCTGGGAGCCGTGCACGTTCTGTATGTGTGACTATTCACGATTAAAAACCCCGACGCAGTGGAACACTAACGGGGCGGGCAGAGAGTTCTGGCATAACCCAGTGGAAGCAGCACAGGGTTTGAACGGATCGCAGACAGGTCAGGGGGCCGGACGGGTCCCTTCGCCAAATCCTTCACCGGCGGAGCCACCGCACATTACCTTGTATAACTGCATCAATTCTCTCGACGCCGAGGCGGTCCCGGATACCGAATCTACCGTGCGCTCAACGGATATTACTATCCAGAAGTGGCTCGAGAAGGCCCCCCCATTCTCGGCAAAAAACAGATTCAAGCCCGAAATCTCCCTGCGCGCCACATTTGCGCCGGAACGGTTTCGGCTGATGCTGTCCCTCCCGCACCTCACTTTCGGCATAAATGAAGACCCGGCGGCGAAGAATTTCACCCTCGAGCAGTACCGGAAGAATATCGGCTTAGTCAGGTCGCAGGCCCTCTTGCCGCCGCCAGTCAAAAACAGCACTGCTCCCAATGGCAATGCTCCTGGTTCGGGCAGTGCGCGCGGGAGCGTGCATGGCGGGATTCCCGAGGATGCGGCGCAACAGGGCCAGATCTCCGTACACCAGTCGATGTTCATGGTGATCAACAGTGGTAAGTCGTTTACCGATTTTTGCACATCGCCGCTTTGCTCACGGCGCACTCCACAGACATGATCATGCTCTCGCGAACGGCGCCCAACGAGCAGTCCAGCGCGCTTCCGTTCTTTCCGTATCAGTGTCGCGTTGGTGCCGTGCACCTACTAGTGCACATGATCGCAACGGCGCTACAATTCTCGAACGTAGTAGTCCTCGACCACCTGCGGGAAATATCTCTGACCCTGGTTTGGATCCCCACACTCCACGAGCGGAACACAAGTCGTGACTGATACAAAAACAAACAAACAGCAGGATCGAATACAAATGCACATCTCGCGGAACCTATACGACATCAAAGACGAGGTGCTGCAGACGCACATGAAGGAAGGCGTGGATATCGGCGAGACGCTCGCCTACTACATCGCGGACCTGTGCGCGATCCAACACCTAGTCCGTGCACAGCTCGAGGCGCTCACAGAGCTCGCCGGTATATTCGCCAACAACGCACTGGACGCGTCAAAAGGGTACAACCAGAACATTGTGCGGCTGCCGCTGCGCCTACAGGAGGCTCAGCACAACCGCATCGTCACGGACGCGCTAAAGATGGTCATCGATGAGCGGAAGGCGTTTGCAGACCACGTCCTGCCACTGCTGGGCGAGGCTAGGAAGACACAGCAATACGTGAGCTGAGCCGAACTGTTCCGTGTGCGCCTGTGCCCCCGCTGATCACTCGTGCAATTGTGTGTAGCTCGGCGGAAGACACATGCACCTCGCTGCGGAAAAACACGCCGCGCATGCAAAGATGAGCGCCGAGTCGATGTCGCTGTTCACGATCGTCACGACGGTGTTTCTTCCGCTAACATTCTTCACCTCGGTACCCCCCCTCCCATTCCCGCCCCACCCCCTCCCCCCTCCCAGCTAACCCCAACTCGTCCAGTACTTCGCCCTCAACCCCGCCGAAGCAATCGTCAAGACCGAGTTCGACTTCTGGAAGTATTCGGGCCCGCCCACGGTCGTGTTCGCCCTCTTCACGCTCTACATCGTGCTCTTCAAGAAGTACAAGAGTGGTGAATACACCGAGGATCGCAAGGTTGTGCAGTGGCTGAAATCGATTTTCAAATGGACGCATTCCTCCGAGCCACAGGCGGATCCGGAGATGGCGCTACAAGGGTCGGGTGCGTTGCGAGGGGAAGGAACGATGGAGTTTGAAACACAGGACGGAGGGGTGGGTGGGCGGCGAAGTTTGCGGGGTTAGGTTGTTGGACGACAAATTGTGGGGAAATGGGTGGTAGACAAGGAGGAGGAGTACATGGAGGAGGGGGAATCGGAGGAAGAGGAATCAGGAAGGGCAAGGATGACGAGGAATTGGGGAGGACGCGGAGGACATGGCTATGGGAAAAACGAAGGAGAACCTGGGGGGAAAGGGATGAGGAATTGAGGAGGAGAAGGAAACGCGACGAAAATACCACCGCTTGAATCAGGAAGCTAACGAGAAGGAGGATGAAGGATACGCGGAACGGAGGCAATGTTGCTTGTACATACATGTTTTCATGTTACTACCTATACGATTATAATGAGTGGTTATCTAATACCTATGCCAACCATTTTATGCATTGAGCTGGACCATTGCTTGGCCGGTCCACTGGCCCCTCGCCCCTCGTACTCGTCGAGAAATACGAATCATATATGGTGATGCCGAAAACACGTGCCGATTTGTCAAGCGGTCGGGCGGGGGCAACCCACGCGGGTGCAGCTCGATACATAGGAGCACATAACTACGCGCCTCTTTCAACCTTCAGGTATCATCGGTTCGTGACTTTGCCCCGCCTTTAGTACCAGAGTCGCGAGTACCCTCTGCCGGGCCCACGTGCCAGTGCACGAATATGTACTCTACAAATTGCGACTTGCACCGATGTGCAACTTATGCACCAGCGCAGGCTTGCGCCGCGCACGCATATGCGGCCATTTTAACGTTGTGCTTTTAGGGTTTTGGTGGTGTTTAGGCTAGGTATGTACATAGAGTGGATATGTGCGTTGAGTAATTCAAGATGCATGCAGGCGGTAGGTAAGTGGCGTAAAGACGAGTGCACACGCCGATTATATAAACGCTGCTATAGGCCCACATTCGCACATGCCTGGAGTACTATATCATAGTAACTCGGCCGTGGAGAAAAGTATAGCACTGGGTGAGCTTGGACGAAATAATATGGGTAAATACTTGGCTACCTACTCTACCGTATAGTAGTTGCCTATCACCCATGCAAATCGCTCCGCAGACGCCGATGATGCTGCCGACTCGGTAATTCTGCCGTAGCTAACCGCGAGCGCGCTCTGGTGAAAATGCGATTGCGGGCGGTGCCATGGATCCTGTGCGGCGCGCGGAGTTGAGTCCAGCTGTGGCCGCTGCTGTCTCAGACGGCCTGCACGGCCTGCACGGCCTGCGCGCGGCCCACTGCACCTATAATAACCATGGAATTAATTCGGTGGATAAGGCCGCGGTTGCCATCGTTGCCGTGGACTTTGATCCCCCCGCGGTGGGGGCGGGATGGTTCGGTTACGAGTTGCGTGCGATAAGCCCCACCCCCCTCCCCGCCGCAGGTTTGGTCTGGACTTGTGGTCCCCCAGGGAGTGTCGGCCGCGATTCCACCGCTGATGGGGAATCGTGCATGGCGATGCGTGGCACGGGGTGCCAATGAGGTTTTTGTTGCTGGCCGCCGCCCGCACCAAGGATGATGATTGGATGTTGGTGCCGGACACAGCCATGTACGCGATGGTCCGATGCTTTGCGGCCGCAGAATCGCAGCCATGCTCGAACATACATACATACCTAGCTGCTCCATGTACCCGTAGGAAAGCGTGTAATACGTCCGACCACCATGTGTGTGCAATGATCGCGCCCATGCGGTAAATCGGTAAATCAGTGGACGAGCGGGGCTCGACAATCGAGATTGATGAGTGCGCCCCGGCATCTTGGAAATGCAGAACCCCGTCATTCTGCGGGCAATGTAGAGTACATACCTACCAGCCCTTGCTGAAGATATCCGGCGCCAACCCTGGGATGTGGAGAACGGTTATGTATATAGGCGGAGAGCAGCAGAGAAATCCCAAGTTGAGCGCGCGGCCGGCGGTCGGGAACGGCGGGGTGGGCACGGACATGTGGGCGTGTATGTAACTGCCATGATCCAATCTGGTGGACTGCGAAAATTCTTGATCACCGCGATGATGGTCCGCCCAAGGCCTCCTCGAACGTCTTGTTTTCTTTCGTGAGTATTCGTCAGTAACGCGGGCTGGTGCGGCGCAGTTTCTCATCGAAGTGAGTTGGGTACAGATTCGGGAATGCCGGTAGCGGCGAGGGCAAAGAGAAGGAACAAGTCGTGAGTCGTGACATATCTCATGTTGCGCGAGGCGGTCTGTCAGTACTGGTCAGTATCTGCTGAGCGAGTACTGGGAATGCCAAACACAGGCTGAAGTGGCGATCATTCGCCCGAAGCCTGGCTTGGGCCGCCGTGTCGTATTTGACAAGAAGAAGCTTCATACCAAAGACAAAGTTGACACCAAAGACAAAAAAGATGCACCATTTCGCTCTTAGCCCAGGTTGGTACTGAAGTACCCTCGACGGGTACGAGAGATGTAGAAACGTGATTCAATTGAGTAAAAGAGGTCTATGAACTTTTAGGAATATCTGTTATGTTGAATAATGTCTGATATGTTGAACAAGAGATGGATCGACAAGACGAGAAGAATAGTAGTAAAAGAAAACGCTCAACGGCTGCATTGGTTTCCCCCTCAATAACAGCTGGTCCCACCAGGTCTCTGCGAGGCCTCTCTCCCCAAGCACAAGGTCCCACCCAGGTCTCCACAAGGTATCGGCGGCCCACAGTGCCAAGAAGCTGGTCACGCTCCTCGCACGTGATGCTCACGTGTCACTCACGACACTGCAACCGAGCGCCTTGGTGATGCGACGAGTACCGGAGGGGAGGGACCTTGTTGAGACCTTGTTGAAACCTTGAATTTGGGAGGAGAGACGTTGCTGCGACCTCGTGGGACCTGTGTGTTATGGAGGTGAGACCCGACGCAGACCCGATCCGGTCGTTAAACGTGGAATTATTTCTGTTGCCACTCTTTATGTTCTTCCTGTTCGTCCTGCTTTTCTTCTCATCACCACCATCATCATTATCATCATCATCATCATCATCGAACTGCTTTTCAATTGATCCCTTTTTTTGACCACATCCGCTCTTGAGACTCCCGTATCCGCCGTCAGAAGAGCGGGCCAATCTAGCGTCGACGGGCATCGTCAGCACCACGATCGACCACCGGCCCGGCGTCGGGAATCATATCAAGATTCAAGACGATAACGAGGATAACCGGCGAACCGCATCAGCTGCGTGAGCCGAGCCAATGGGAAAACCCGCAGAACACGTCATGCTACCGATTCCGCCCGCCCCCCACACGACCGGTACCCGCAGTGGAATCCCGTTCTCCACTTTAATTTCTAAGTAGTCGGGACGCAGCTCATCGCCCCGGAGCCGCTCTGCTGCTGCTGCTCTTCCCGAGTGACTCGATTGTCGATTCGTCCATTTTGGGATCGCGGTCTGGGGGGCTACATATCGCCGCCGGGGGTTCGCGTGCCGATGATGCTAGGTACTGACACCGGTACATCAGGTAGGTACTCTACCTACCTATGTACTCTACATCCGTACGTAGCAGATAACCATCTACATCCCACTGCCACTGAGCGGAGCACAAGAATCTGCAGCGGCGGTGACCGTATTACTTCCCCGCTGCGGCTGCCCCGCCTTCGACAAATGGCCGCCGAGGGAGGACAGCAATAGTTTATCGCGAAAATTGCTGCCAGCTTGGACTCTGAAGAGACGAAAAGGAACCATTGCACCAGCCCGCAATCAGGATTCACGCCGAGCCGCATGGGTTTGGCTACGGCGGAATTGCCGAGTTTGCACTGGCCGCGTGCAACGATTGGTGCGCGACAGGCTATGTACATCCTGCACATATGCAAGCGCAGGGCGCCTACCTTAGCAGTATCTTGGTAAGTACTCACGTACGCGTATCTGAGCTTTTATCAGCCTAGATACGTACCGTTCTTCGGGCTATGTATGTAGAGCACATAGGTAGGTATTCGACTGCAGTTGATTGCGTACCGTAGTGCAAACGAAAGGACTCCATTCCGGCCCTTCATGCCGCGCGCATCTTCATTGAGCGACGGAGATCAGGGTCCGACGATGCGGCGAGATACTGTAAAATGCGGCTGAAATAGGGTAGAGTTGGTATTGATGCTGGCAAGGATGCAACCTTGCAGAGATTTTCGTGAGTTTCCCAAGCTCTGGTCGACCCGGTCACTCAGGTCGATCATCGCCACAACCACTAGTCCCGGTTTCGTGACGGAAATCATGGTGGTTGGGTTGCCGGGAAAGGCAACCGCCGACCGTCATCATCAGCCTCATCCCAGCGGCGTCGAGATCGCAGCCGAGGCCAACTAGTACCTAGCACCGTGGTGGTGCCCCGCCCCGCCTCCCCCCCCACCCAGGCTCGCCGCTCGCATCGGAGATCTCCGCCCGTCCAACGGGCCAAATAAATCTGAAGGGTCGCATACTGGTTTACTCAAGTGGTTGGAGAGAAGATCACGGGAGTCCCATGGCCAACAATGAGAGGACTCGGTGTGAAGGGCGGTGGAGATCTTTGAGCACGTCGGTCACAATGGCAGCCAAAATTGGCGGAGCTGAAAGACAGATCGCTGACTACTACCTGGTAGTATGGGTCCGAATCCGGAGACGGGGGAGTTGAGTAACCGAAGAAACCTGCATACCGTGTGGCTGGAACGCTATCTTCCTACAGTACTAGTAGATATTTACTAACTAGTACTACGGTGGGCACTGATGTCCGCGCCGTGCCGATCCATCTGTCTTACCGGAGCTGACAGCCTCGCCATCCAGCTAGCAGGTCACGCGTCTGGCTCTTTACGGTTCCAAATTGAATGCACCGCCACGGAGTTGCAAGGTCGACAAGATTGGATGAACGCCAATATGTCATCGAGGGTCTGCAGTGGCATGTCTCGCAGGGCGGCGAATACACGCCAGGATCACCGACCGCACTGGAACATGTTCACATTGGAATCTGGATGGGTTCGGTCGACCGCACGAAGGAACGTATCATACAAAGGCAGGTCGCCGCAGTCGTGGGTTTTTCTTGGCAGCCGACCATTCGAACGCGGGGGGGAGATTCATCCTTTTTTCTTCTCCTTTTTCTTTTCGATGCGCATGGATTCGCATTCCTGATTTCAATGGCCCGCGTAGACCCCATCGCTGCCGCTGGTTCGATTAGGACCTACAAAACTAGAGATGAACCTCCGCGATCGCTTTACGGTAGTGCGTACCATTGGACGATGGGTTAAACTAGTTCTCATCCTCGGGCCATGTCAAGGCTGAGCTAGAGAGGAACGACGGCGCTGCGATGGAAAGGAGACGAATCAGAAAGCGAGAGGCCGTGTCTCACCCGTGGCCGCGCAACAGACGCGATGTGCACATGTAGCTAACTACATAACTACCTGCTCAGATGCCCACTTACTTAAATACCTCTCGTATCCGCTTTTCGTTTCCGTCCGGAGTTCGTCCGTTGACTATCTCGAAATTATGGCCGACCACGCGCAGCAGTTCCACAGCGGAAACATCCCACCACGCCACGACGCCCCTGGATTGGACCGAGAAAATATCATCACTGCGCAGCTAGGAGGACCCGGAGCACCCGGAGCACCCGCAGATCCCGCAGCAGCCGGAGCAACCGGAGCACCCGGAGCACCCGGAGCACCCGCAGATCCCGCAGCAGCCGGAGCAACCGGAGCACCCACAGGATCCGCAGGATCCGACGCACCCACGATACTCACGTACCCATATCGCCGCATGCGGATCGTGGGAGGCCGGCCGATGCAACTGGCACTCCCACGGGCAGTTTCGCGAAACGAACCCGGAGAGGCAGTTTCGCGAAACGAACCCGGAGACTGCGTGCGGCATGTGTACCTGCTCAACCAACAGCCCGCCGGCTACGACAGCGACTGGTATGTATCGTCGTCGGAGGGGGAGCCGAGTGTCGCAACGCCGCATGTAACCGCAGTCAAGTTGTCGGTCGCTGCGCAGGTGGCGTCGGAGATATACCCACCGAGTGATGGGTCGGGAGATTCTTTGTTGCGTGTGCATGTTCTGTATGTTTTACTGTCCGCGCGCTGGAGACGGTGTGGAGACTGATGCGATAACAGTGAGTTCGTGCATGATCCGATAGACCCAGCCGTTATAGAACCACCCGCGGCAGAAGAGGACGCGAGCCATCCGGCGTACGTCAACCTGTATAATAACATCAACTTGCTCCCTGCGGAGATGGTGCCCCAACAGCAGTTGAGTGGTACAGATCAAACCGGGGCAACCAACGTTCCCAACCCTGCCCCTTGGGAGGTAGACGATCGGTTCACGCCCATTGTCTCCCTCTTTGCCATGCGAGAGCCGATGCGATTTCGCCTGATGATCGCGATTCCACATCTCACCATCGGCACGCCCGACGAAAGCTCAAATAACCATACACTCGAGGAGTACCGAAGATGCATTGGGGGACTCGCACCCACAACACCAGTCAATCCAGACACGAATCGAGATTCTCAGGGAGGTCAAATATTTGTGCACCGGTCAACGTTCATGGTGATCAACAGTGGTTTGTTTTCCCATCCTCACTCCATGGTGCTCCGCTCACGGCGCCTTCCATAGACATGATCATCATGGCGCGGACGGCCAACGACAAACAGTCCAGTCCGTTCCCATTCTTTCCACACCAATATCGAGTGAGCGCGCTGCACCTGCTCGTGCACATGATCGCGACGGCGCTGCAATTCTCGGCCCGAGCTGTCTCCGACAAACTGCGGCGGATATCCATGAACCTGGTGCGCGTCGATCGCATCACCACCCCCGGCCGCTGCAGATACCGTCGCTAACGGAAACTAAAACAACAGGAACATCGGACGCACCGGCACGTCTCCGCCGACTCCACCAAGATGCACTCCGATCAGTTAAAAAGATATAAAAAGGAGGGCGTCAAGATCGGCCAGGAGCTTGCCAGCCACATCGCCGACGTGGGCACAATACTGCATCTGATCACCACACAGCTGCAGGTGCTTGCGGACCTGGCGGAGATCATCGAGAACAGCGCACCGCACGTGAAATACAAGGGGTACAACCAGAATATCGTGCAGCTGCCGCTGCTGTTCCAGAACCGCGAGCATAACGTGATCATTCTCGATGCCCTGCAGAGCATGATGAACGAGCGGAGGAGGTTCGAAGAGCAGATTAAACCGCTGCTGAAGGAGGCGAGGAAGACGCAGCAGAATGTGAGATCCCTCTTTCCCGTACCGCCGTACTCGGAACGCCGGCTCCGAGTAGATCCCGCTATATAGCGCGCCCAAGACTGATGCCACCGGTATCTACAGCTTGGAGGAACACACGTGCGGCTAACCACGGAGAAACACGCCGCACACGCCAAGATGAGCGCCGAGACGATGTCCATGTTTACCATCGTGACGACGATATTCCTTCCGTTGACATTCTTCACATCGGTATCTACACCCGAGCTCGCCTTTCTCCCACCTTCACCCTCCTATTCCCGTCCTAGCTAACATTTGACACTAGTACTTTGCCCTGCACCCCGGCGAGCAGACCGTCAAGACGCACGCCGAGTTCTGGCAGTACGCGACGGTACCGACGTTTGCGTTCGCGGCACTCACGTTCTACATCGTCATGCTCAAGAAATACACCAGCGGCGAGTACACCGAAGACCGCACGCTGGTCAAGTATCTGAAACGCCCGTTCCGGAGGAGGATAGATAGGGGTCCGAGTGATGTTGAGGCGGGAGCAGCAGCCAGCGCATCACTGACAACTTTATCAACGAATACCAATCAGGTAAACCCATGACGGTAGTGTAAGTGGCCAGGCGACGATCAAGCCTTCGGGTTAGTTAGTGGTGGTTTATGGATGGTCGTTAATGGAGGGGGGAGATGGGGGAGAGGGGGGGTAAAAGAAGGAGGTCGGGGAAGGAGGATGAGTTCGGGAAAGGGAGAAGTACGGGAGAGAGGAAACCGGGAAGGAGGAGGAGTTCCGGAAATTGGAAACCGAGAAGAAGGAGGAGGAAGAAAAGGAGAAAAGGCGGACAAGGAGGAGGAGGAAAAGGAGGAGTTCAGGGCCAAGGTGGAAAGAAGGCAGAGGAGGAAGACGATAACGAAAGGAACACGACTAGGATGAAAGTAATGATAAGGGTGGGGTGGGGTAAGGAGAATGGCTTCTTTTACACGTGTGTTGATCTATATAAATCATAATGCAATAGTTATTCCCACGGACCCGACGTATTTCCAGAGCCATCCCATGCCTGCTTGCACTACTTGGAATCACCACTCGGCCGCGGATGCGCAGGCTTTCCTGACTTATCCGTATTACATCCCGCACCACTACCGGAGGCCATCGTTGCCGATGCAAGAGCAGGTCTTCAGTCCGTATGCTGCATCAGCTGCTAGTACTCTAGTAGGCGGCCCCGAGTTGATCGCCGCCGGCCGGCCAAACGGCTGCATCCAAACATTAAAGTCGTAGCATGGACTGGGAAACTTAGCCTCGACTCGCATGGTTCTGTTCAAGAATCCGTACAGTAAGTATCGATCTGTCGATAACCGGCGGCTCGATCGGGGCGGCTTTGTAGTGGACGATGGATGGATGGATAGATGGATGGACGTCAGCTGAAACTAAACCAAACCAATCATTGGAATACGGTACTCATGTGTTCCGTTTGTGACGGAGGGGGCGGGCTGAGTGTCCCGTATCAATGTCATTTGTCGCGGGGACTCGGACGGGCACATCTGCGGAGCGCAGGTGAGACACCGCCTTTCTCGTTCCAGTTTGCCTCCCGTCAGGCGTCCTTTCCAAAAAGCTTCGCAAATATTTCCTCGTTCTCTAGAGTAACATGGTAAATAGTGGGCGACGCGGAATCGACTGCAAGCCGGAATGCCAATTCGTATGTTCTTATGCACCGCTTCGCATACACAGTCTTCCCCTTTGAGTCTCTGACTGCCGTTCGAACGGTTCGTAGACGATAACGAAAGCCGTAATTTACTCGAACACCGCGATTGCTGCGGTTCGTCTGATGTCAGTGGTCACTGCATGTGCGACGGGAGTAAGACATGGAAACCTGCAGTGTCGGATTGGCCGGGGGATTCGTCCAATCACCTCGCTTGGAAACCGCATATCGGGCGATCATCAGCCCCCCCCCCCCAAAATGCCATTTTCAAATGCGGCACATACATACTCTGCTCTACTCTATAGATATCTACTTGTCGTTCGGAGACGTCTCCAGCTCAGGGGGGACAGATTGGTAAACTGCCGAATTTGGCATGCACGGGCTGGCACTTGAGAGCGGGGCGGCGGTGCGTTCTGGATGGTTACTCCGCTCTGCCAACTTCGACGAACCAGACTCCAATAGAGTAGTCAACGTTTCGCAGTTCGAACTGTCCGATGTTGTTCCCGTTGCTTCACGGCAACTACCAAGGCTTCCCCGCATCAAATCGATGATGCAATGAACAGGATCATCAGAGCCGTAAATGCATTCATGATGGCGGCGAAGTATTCGGCGGAGCACATTTCTACATACATACATCGGATGCCCGAAGGGGCGGGCGCATCTGCCTAGGCACATGCAGCGCGTATCTGCGCCGGCCGGACGTGGAATAAGCAAGGTCCAGCGCATCCGTGACCCGTGAAAGTACTTCGACAAAAACAAAAAAATCGTTAATCGACTACCTATTTGAGTCCCAAGCATTCCGATTGCTGCACAAACTCGGCACCTCCGCCGTAGGCAGCCAAATCTGTGCGCGGTGTTCCGGATAGAACGATGCTCCAGCCTGGGAGTGACCGGGTTCCTTGATGTTTTCGCGGTGACATGACCTCACCGATTTCTAGTTGCGACATTAAAAGGTTTACTTTGGACTTTCGACGTTGAAGAATCGTTCGGCGTGACATATGAATAGGAAAGCTTCGAAAGAGGGGGCAGGGTGGACCCTGACGGCGCTCCAAAGAACCGGGCAGGCAGGTCCGGAAACGTTGAGTGCGATGTTGGCTGACTCAGTAAGTAATTACCAAAATCACCATACTTGACATTTAGGGGCTAACTGTCAATCTATCACTGTAAAACTTTGTCTTTGATACCAGAGGCAGGATGACAGATATGGAAACCTCATTACAGTAGAGGTATTTCCTCTTACGTGATCCCCGTAGCTGCCAAGCTCTCACCGCGACGTCGTGGCACGGCCTGACGAAGCCACGATAACCCGGTAAAACCGTGATTCATTTTACAAAATTCACCGCTTTTGAGTTGTGATTGGATGAAGACATGCAGTCAGGCCCTCGGCCGTAGTCATGGAAAACAAGTGACAATTCGCAGCGCTAGTCCTAATTTACTTCTGTGGCGTGATCTACCCCTTTTCAGCCATGGGGCGACTACTATGTAGTACTTTGGCCATGTCGCGGCGGCGATCTGGCGCCGAACAATCCATAATCCAGGACCAGAGTACTACCTACACAGCGCATGATCAAGCCACAGAAAGCACACGACACGATGCCACGGTAACTACAACATCAATACCGACGGATTCTGCTGACGGATTCGATTACTTCAGTGGTGACGAGAGAGAGCTCCGGAGCCGTTCACGGAGGCCCGGGCAAAGACAGAGTAGCAACGCATCGACGGATCCTCCAACTCCGGCGGAGGGCGGGGGACGTAAGCTGCGTTTTCTCGGAGCTTTGTTTACCGGGAAAGATGCGCCGGTTTCCTCGCCGGTCTTGGATGACAGCATTCCAACACTTGCCCCTTCATCAACCGCTTGCGCAGCACTACCGGCGCCGGTATCCATCCTGACAGTGCCAGTATCCAGCCCGACAGTGCCAGTATCCAGCCCGACGATTGATTCTCTTGCTCCACCGGCTACCGCTATACCTTCTACTCCGGCAATTCCTTCTCCTACTCAGGAGATTGTTAGTCCTACTCCGCCGACTATTACTCCGCCTTCTAAGCTTGTTTCTCCTGCTTCTGCGACTGTTGTTCCTCCCCAGACAGCTATACCTACTTTGGCGACTGTTACTCCTTCTCCGGTGGCTGCTCCTACCCCTACACAAAGCTGGGGAAGGCGGTTGTAGTAAGGAATTGCTGCGTTTCGTTCAAACGTTGCGTTGTATATCTACTCCTCCGGCGATCGATTCCCCTACTCCGACGATTGATACTCTTACTGAAGCGGCTGTTATTCTTACTCCGGCGACTGTTGCTCCTATCGAGACAGCTATTCTTCCCACTTGGGCGATTGACCCTGCCGCCCCGACTGTGTCTGTTACTCCGACGATTATTACTCCGCCTTCTGAGGCCCGTCGTCCTGATCCAGCGGGTATTCTTCCTGCTGCAGCAATTGTTGCTCCTTCTGAGACAGCTATTCTTCCTACTCCCGCGATTGACCCTATCGCCCCGACTCTTCCTTCTACTCCGGCGACTATTACTCCGCCTTCTGAGGCTATCTCTCTTACTCCGGCGGCTATTCTTCCCATTCCGGCGGCTATTCTTCCCATTCCGGCGATTGACCTCGCCGCCCCGACTCTGCCTTCTACTCCGGCGAATATTACTCCTCCTCCAGTGGTTGGTCCTCCTACTGTGGCGGTTATTCTTCCTGCTCCGGCAATTGTTGCTCCTAGTGAAACAACTATTATTCCTACTTCCGCGATTGACCCTGCCGCTTTGCCTCTGCCTCCTTCTCCGTCAGCTATTCTACCTACTCCGGCGATTCAACCGTCTACTCAAATACAGAGCCCGCCACCAGTCTTGACAGTTCCCATACCTATATGGCACGTCGATGGCACATCTTCTGGCGATACTTCCATGGTTGAATGCGATCCGAAGATACATCTAGAATTCAACACAGTCGTACTACCCAATATCCAGCAGCTGATCAACAAATCGTTGTACAAAAAAAAAGCATTTTTCTGCGTCGAACTCGTTATGTGCGAGGACCGACCAACCGTGTTGATAACGTGCAGGAGCGTACGAGATATGAGGCGGCTTATTGCAAAGACGAATTGCATTGACCAAAGAAAGTTCAGTGTGAAGTTCCTGGAGGGAGGAGTGAGCTATGCCGCCGCGCCGGGGGGGAGCAATTTATTTGGCAACGGCATGTATCGGAGTGGGAGTGGGATTCCGATATCGGCATATCGTGGTAAGAGGACTCTGGGCACGGCATTGCTCGGAGGCTACATTGAGATTGATGGACAGTATTTTGGACTTACGGTTTCGCATGTGTTGGATGAAGAAACGGAAGACAGCGATTCGGGCGAGACGAGCGATCAGTCAAGCGATAGGACAAGCAGCACTAGTTCTTCAACACGAATCTCGGACGACGACGACGACGACGACGACGGTGATCGGAGATTGAAACCGCGCGTCACGGAGGACCATATCGAATTATCGGACATCCGCATTTCTGTTCGCGACGACCATAAAATGACCGCCGTGCATTGCGCGTCGGGTAATCGTGTGAGCAGATCTGCAAACACCGGCGTGGACCACCGTGATGCCACTTCATATATCATGGACTGGGCACTCATTTCGCCGCCGCAGATGGTAGGTGCCCACTTTCACCCTCCGAATGTGTTCCATGACGCGCAAACGGACAGTCGAGGCTCGGACGCATCCCATCCCATCATTTCCACGGGGCACCTTGCCAGCAAAAGTGTAAAGATTATCATGAACGGCTCGGTATACTGCCATGGTACTGCATCCGGTGTTCCTAGCCTCGTGTCCCTTCGGAACCAGCCTGGCCTCGGATTGGTGTTCATGGTTATGACGAGTCGTGAACTTGGTAAATGCGCTCATGTAATCCAGCTTTTGAAATGAACAATTGCTGACATCGGCAACTGCTGTCATTAGCCCGTGGAATGTCAGGTGCCTGGGCAGTGGACTCGACTACCTCGGAGTTGTTGGGATATCTCCACGCAACATCCACCTCCTCGCCATGGGCGTATTTCATACCGATCATTGAAACCTTGGACGACATCATGGCGACTGTCTCGACAACACTACCCAGCCTTCCCCACGGCGGTAATGAGGGCAACGAGGGTGGCGGCGCTGGAGAGCCCTTATATTCATTACAGAGGGAACTGTGGGAAAAGTGGTTGTCCGAGCAGGGGTTTACCCGCGCCGGCAGTCAAGGAGAAGGTGTGTTTAGCGAGGCGTCCCTCAAGCGTAATAGCCGAGCATCATCCGAGGGAAAGAACGATATACACTCGATCCGTTCCATGAGTTCGATCCTTCCGACAACTGATAGCTATCTCGTTCCCTTTGAGCGGACTCTTCTGGACACTCGCGTGTACAGAAAAGTGAAGCGGAGCGGGTCGATGTCCTCCTCTGATAGTAGCGCTAGGAAGGGTGACGGGTGGTCCCAGCTGTCGGGGCTGAGTCTGTCCGAGATCTCAAACATATCGGTCGTCAATCTGAAACCAGTCATTGTTGAGCGACGAGCGAGCATGCGAAGATTTACCAGAAGCATTAAAGAAAAGCCACCCTCCCCTCTGGTGTTTCATAAGTCGGAAAAACAAGGAGGAGGAAAACGACGAGAGGGAGAGAGATCTTGAGTTTATTTTAGGAAGACGACGGGTATGATATACTCCGGCACTTTGGTTTTCAGGGAGACTCCCGGGGGTGAGGGAGCCGCTGGCATCGGCTTTCAGGAGTGTGCTTTATCCCACGGGCTTCATGTTCGATTTCCGTATGTAGCAATTTGCCAATTGGAATGCTTTCGATCGGGTAATGGCATGTTTCTATCACAGGGAGATGCAGCGCTCGACGGGTGATCCTGTCGGAGATGCGGAGTGGTCTGGCTTAAACATGCCTTGAATTGAAACTAGGGCCTAGAATACCTAGGGTGTCCGTTCTTTCTGTGGGATCGCCCCGAGAAGAGACGCAGTTGGTCGGGCAGAGGGTATGAGGTAGGTAACAATGACTCCAGGACCAAACCTAAACCGAGCGCCACAACGCCCCACCTCCAAGCCACACAGGCGACTGTCTGTCACGTGATTGTGGCTCGTACCAGAGTCACTTCACACTGAGTCATCAGGTGCTTTCGTGATTTATGCCATTACGTGATGAGAAGTGCGCCATGCTAGGGACGGTAGGATAACTATGGTGGATAAGATCATAACGATCGATAAGATGAGATGGCGGAGCAGGCTAGCCGCATGTGATGGTTCCCAATTGTGAAGGAACGACGCTATGCGGTTTTGGATTAGTCCGTAACTACCAGCGGTGCGGGCCATAAGATGGCACTCCGAAGTTGAATAGAACTTCAACTTCTCGATCATACTTCTTTTCAACGTTCTATTCTCGAGCTACACCATTACTCCTCCATATTCAAACGAAATAAGTACTTCTGTATATTTTCCCAAGCCGAGACATCTAAAAATGGAAACATCCAGCAGCTCAGCAACTGATTCTCAATTTCTCATGCCCGAACACAATCCCTAATAAACAACCCCCACTCGAAAGTCTTAACCCGATCATTAAGCCCCACCACCTCTGGGAACGCTACACCGCTCGGGACAAATATTTCCCCGCCTATACCAAAGCTCGTGCTCAAACACAATAAGTTTCCCAGTCCGGCCATAGCTGAACCAGTGTCTCTCCATTGATGGTTATCGCGACGACGTTGGCGCCACGGTCAATCAGAATCTTCATCTGTTGTCGGCGCTGGTGGTGCGCAGCGATATGGAGCGGCTTGCATTGGCCAAGCCACGGATATGCGCACCGCGCTCTAGCAGAAGGCGTACGGCGTCGACATGACCTTTCGATGCTGCCCAGTGTAGTGCAGATGCGCCACCATTGGTTTTGGCCTCGATCTTTGCGCCGCGGTTAAGCAGATTCCGCACAATATCTACATGGCCCTTCCGTGCAGCGTTGTGTAGTGGAGTCAAGCCTTCGTCGTTCGTCGCCTCGATATCCGCGGCGTGGCTAAGCAAAATCTCCAGGGTATCGATATGGCCGTCCCGCGCAGCTGCGTGTAGCGCAGTCCAGCCGTTCATTGACACGGCGTCGATGTCGGCGCCGCGGTCTAGCAGAATGCGTACAATCTGGACATGGCCACGTGATGCAGCCCAGTGTAATGCTGACGCATTACGATTCGTCATGGCATCGATTTTTGCGTTCCACTTGAGAAGATTATCTGTAGTTTCCGCTTGCCCTTCCCATGCAGCAAGCAGCAGCGGAGAAGCACTGTCATTATTCTCGGCCTCGATGTCCGCGCCGTAGTCGAGCAGAAGCCGTACAATAACGACATGGCCACGCGCTGCAGCGAAGTGCAATGGAGATGAGTTTTCATAGTTCTTCGATTCGATGTCCGCGCCGTAGTCGAGTAGAAGCCGTACAATAACGACATGGCCACGCGCTGCAGCGAAGTGCAATGGAGATGAGTTTTCATAGTTCTTCGATTCGATATCCGCGCCGTAGTCGAGCAGAAGCCGTACAATAACGACATGGCCACGCGCTGCAGCGAAGTGCAATGGAGATGAGTTTTCATCGTTCTTCGATTCGATGTCAGCGCCGCGGTCGAGCAGAAGCCGTGCAGTGTTTGCATTGCCACGGGCTGCAGCTTTATTTAGCGGAGAGAGATTTCTACTGTCCTTGGCTTCAATATTCGCGCCGTGGTCGAGGAGATTCCGAGCAGTGTCCGCATGGTCCTTCCGTGCCGCGCTGTGTAGTGGAGTTACGCCTTTATCGTTCGTCGCCTCCATGTCCGCCCCGCGGCTAAGCAGATTTTGAACTGTGTCCACGTGACCATTTGAAGCAGCAATATGCAGCGGAGATGCGCCACGCGTAGACCTAGCTTCCAGATTTGCTCCAGAGATCACCAACCATAGGACGGTATCAACTCTGTCAGCACTCGCGGCATGATGCAGCGCAGTCATACCCTCATCATCCTCGGCGTCCTTGTCGACTCCTAGCTTTTCTATGTAGAGCGCAACAGCAATAGAATCGCCTTTCCTTGCAGCGATGTGCAATTGCTGGACCAGTTTCGAGTTTCCGGTCGAGCGATACCGAAAATCAGCGATGGCTGTAGAGCCGCCGTCCGGCATGATTGGCAATAACCTAGGAGACGACAGAGCTTCCGGGTTACCGTCGGGATTGACAGACGAATATAGGGCTCCAAGCATAAGCTTTTGGACCTAGTAGTAGAAATTATTTGCTTCATGAGTCATAACACCAAGTACCCGGGGAAGGAAGAGATACTTACCACAGTCCAATGAGCTAGCTCACCGCCACCGATATCTTCCAGCCGCGCATCCACTCGATCGACAGGTCAGCAAAACCTCCCCGAAGCCAAGCCCATTCGAACCTACCCGGTAGACAGTTAACCCAAGATCTCATTGCATCGTCGTTTTCCAGCTCTATAATCTGCTTGGCACCTGCATCTCCTCCAATCCGTGCGAAGTAGAAAGCGACGGCTGAAACAGTCAGATATCAGTCTCAGGTATCAGAATCGTTGTACCGACCGTCTTCCGTTGTCTCGTGACCGGCTTGGAGCCTCAGGAGGCAGTTGTATATGGTTCTCTTCAGAAGGCCCTTTCCCTCGCCCTCGATCTTGAACTGTGGTTAGCACAGTCCCAGGGTGGACTATGATGAGCTTACTTTGCCGTCGCTGATGACCATGGTCAATAGAGGCTTCTCCATCCTTTTGTTCTCGACGAACGGTTCCAGGATCTTTTCTTGCAGCTGTGTGCCGATCATGCTAACACCGTAGTAATGAATGCCGGCGTATAGCTCCTCAACCTTATCCCGAGAGACATCCGACCACCCCTCGCGGGTATTAAATAACCGGATGGCCACAATTCCCTCCTCGCGGGCCAGCTGGTAGATATCCGCGACCGTTCCCAACACTCTGAATAGCGTCTCTTCACGTTTGCCACCATTCTCGGCGTCCATCGAGCTACTGTCGTCTGATGAAAGGCGAGCTTAGCCCTATTCTTCTCGGCGTGGCCAGTTCGGCGATACAAACTAGGTACGTACCAAGCAAAAGCACCAGATCGAAAAGCACCAAGACCGCAAGCTGTTCGGCAATCTCCGGGGGACATCTGCGTTTGACGAGCTTCTCGATCATCGTCACGGCTCTGGGCGCGTACGCAGCGAAGCTGCCCGGAAAGCACGTGAGCAGACCGGGTTTGTACTGCGCCGCGTATTCTTTGAGCCTTGCAGCGCGTTGCTCCACGGCCATGGTCATAGTTGCGGGCGGAGTAGGCAGGTGCGATTCCGTGGAAGAGCGTGAGTTAGCCGTGGTTTGTAGGATTCGCGCGGCGAGATGGCGGTTCAGGTGGCTTTCGATTGCAATAGCAAGAGGTCCCCTGGCCCTAGTTAAGTGCTCCAGATCAACCTACTAGATAGTGTATACGGCTCAGCTATGAAGCCTCTTCCTGCGGGCGGGCTACTGGGTCGGTGTTAATCCCCCAGCAAACTTGAGTACACTTCACACCTATGAGTTCCTCCGGATCGTGCATGAAACCATCGCTCATCTAACGCCTCCATCCAGTTATAAATAAGCACAGTTGCCGACGGTGTCAGTTGATTGGCTTGGAGTTTTCGAGCACCGCCGCAACGGAGGACACGTCAACGTGTAAGCAAGTGGAACCTACATAGGTGTTTTCTGGCCCGCCGGAAACAACAAAGACGAGTTGATGGTGTTCCAGTCCACAACCCAGCTTCGCACCAAATTCAAATACCAAAACGATTAAAACCAACAATACTCTCCATATCCAAGCAAAACTATTTTAAAATCCTTTTTATTGCCGTAGGTGCAGCTACAGTGAGTGCTGAGGGATTTTCTGGGGCGTGGGGTTTTCGGCATTCTCCGCCCCAGAATGCGCGAAACCACCGCTTCCACCGACATCACCAGCTTCTCATGAGAGAATTGAACTTTGCAGCTGAATCTTCAGACACCATTCAATTCTTAGATTTCTTCCTCCAATCTATCCTTTGGCCAGATCGTCGTTTCTCGATCGAGCTCCCCACAAGCGGTATTTTGGTGTGCAAATCCAACCAGAATGATTCCAGCGTTTTGGCGCTAAACGGAAGCGGAAGTCGCTGGACCCTATTAGTCACGCATGAGTGACTGATGATGATTTCCTCAATCCTCTGCACTTTCACGCCGTTGGCGAAGTTCTCCCACGACCAATTACCGCTTACCTCGGTCTTCCATTCGGACCCTAAGCCAGAAATTGTGGAAAGTAAAAGGTCGTAAAAATTTCCTGTGTGATAATCTCACGAACTTCCGTGTACCGCGTCACTTCCGCGGACCGGGTCATGAACGATCACTTGCTATGTCGAGACACTTCCGTTATCCGTTCTCACACGGAGGTGCCGAGCGGCGGCGTGGGGCCTCTATCCCAGGTATCCCCGAGCCTTTCTGTATATATACCTTCCTCTCTGCCGTGTCTGATACTCAATACACTATCTCGCGATACCACTTTTCTTGACACTGTGATTTTCGCGACGCGCGGGTGATTAGCTGTGAACTGAGCTCGTTTTGCTGGGGACTAGTCTTACTTGCTTCCACTGTTGGTGGATACCTTCAGTAGTACTCCCTCTTTATCCTCTGAGGTCGGCAATGTATTCTGTCCGCCATGTTTAGTGATCCACTGCTATTCTTCCGTTGCAACCGCGCCGGCGGTGGTGCCCTACTATCAGAAGACAAGTGAGAATCCATCCGGTCGGAACATTTTCTCTCACGCATCCACGCGACTTAGGCCTTGACTACTGGTTGCAATCGCCAAGCGGCGAGTGTAGGAATACGCATGACTAACTATCAGGCATACAGCCATTTTTTTCGTAGAGTTCATCGGGCTGTATAGATACGTGCATACGTGCCTAGGAAGATGCATAACGACAGCCGATCCTTACACAGCGGGTACCGTATCTACTCTTTCATAAGGCGAACACCATAATCGGGGGCTTCGTGACGATGTTGCTTGTTATCACGTCATGATCACGTCCAAATCGCGTGAAAGTCACGGGTTAAGCACTTGGCTCCTTGTCGTTTCTCGCCTCATTGGGCTCGACGAGTGGTCCCCGTATGGCCCCCAATAGGAATAACAAGATGTAGATGTACATACGCGTCTGGTAGCTGCCACTAGAGGCTGCGTTTGCATTACAGAGTGGCTGGTAGCCACATGGCCACTCTGCAGTGGGAGAGTCGACACGACTCACACCTGGATGGGTTCGGAGAAATACTGATTTTATTGCAAGTCCCATCCACGACCTTCTCATTCAAGCCGCCAACAATTCCATAAAGCCTCCTTCGCCCACCAAAACCAGTTCATCAAAGCGGCGAGAAAATTGCTGTTTACGGCTGCCTGCGAAGCCTACTGATGTCAGCCACCCGCCCCCCATCACTGATACTACTACTGGGTAACATACAATTTCATGGATGTGCGGAGGTAGGTCGTTCACGCTCCCCAGTGTTTCCCTGTCCCTCTCCGGAGGCGCGACGGCCGGTGAATCTTCCGCTTCCAAGGTGTCGACGCTCATCCTGCGGTTCGCATTGGCGGCGAGTGAACTAACATCTTGCGGCGGGACGAGGTCCGTACTAGGATTTCTAATGGCGTCTTGTCGATTGGCGTCTCGCGATCTGGCAATGTTCCTGGCGCCACTGCGCGGAAAAGAAACTCCGATCTTGGGGGCGAGTCTACTGGCACCAGCTTTCATGATCCTGATCCTGTAGTTGGTAGTGGTGCTGTTACTGCTGCTGGAGTAATCGTTGCTCAATTGGTTGCGCGAGTAGTCGTAGCTCGTATTGTGACTTCCAGTGATGTTGTGTGAATTGACATGTCCTCCTCCTCCTCGTCCTTCGTCACCGGTGGTTTCAATACTGCTCCGTCCGCCGCGCTCGAATTGCCAGAGCGCATCGTTGCAGTCCGGGATATGAAGACCCGACGACCCGATCGCCCTGGCAGCCTCGTCGCAAAAGTCGTGCTTGAATATCGAAACTATGATGCCTCTCTCGGCTTCCGACAGCTCCTTCGCTCTGTTTCCGTATAGGTCGCCCAGAGTCATCTGTAACGACTGCGACCGCGACCGATCGTTCTCCGGTAGAAAAACCTAGCGGAAAAATGGTCAGCACGAATTGAATCCTCCAGGCCTCCCGCACCCTTTCGCGAATTCGCACGTACCCACTCCCGAACAAGGATCTCTCGGTCCTGCACGTGGTCGAAGTCATAGGCCTCGATACGGCCCCCCATGATGGCCTCCGGCAGCATGATCCAAATCATGAGGATAACTTTCACCACCTTGCCATGGCCCTTTCTGAACCAGTCTCGCATGTCGGCAATCATTTCCTGCCTGTCCGGCAACCCACCGCACTCCACGACCAGGGAGGGAAAATCGGCACCGATGGGGACAAGGTAGACATCCTGTATGTCTCGCTTGCTACTGGTACATTCGCGACTTTCCATGCCCGGGACGGAGAAGACTACCGTACATTGCAGTCTTTGTCAGTAGGTCTAGGGATATGACAGGTTGCGAAAGCTGAATACTGACGGAATCCAACGCTCGTCATCAGATTGTCCCTGTGCTGCTCCGTGATGCCCTCCTCCTCTACCCAGCGATTTTTCTCTCTTTCTAGCCACGCCACGTGAAAGTTGTCTAGTCGCGGTGCTAGTCGGATATCGAGATGCCTGATGCGGGCATCTGGTAAATCCCTGGGGGGCAATAGACAGCAATCCTTTGGGCTTCGGGAGATTTCGTTGATTTCCCTCGGAGGCGCGTTTGGGTGGTGGGTTGCTAGCCCTTGGGGAGGATTGTTCTCCACTTCCGGTGGCCCCGTGGACGGCCCCGTCGCATCGCAGGCATGATGGTCTGCGGCGGTACCGTGTGATGGCGAAACATCGCTAGGAGCGGTATGTGCTGGGCTTGCTGAGCGCAGTGGTGGATGGCGATATTTGTCCTCCTCTTTGATGCTCGAGGTGTGATGTTTAGTCGGAAGGACGTGTGGGAGATCCTCCTCTTCACGGCGTGTGCTCAACGACCGGCTATCGTCGTCTTCGACGTCGTCACAGTGGTTACCTTCCCCATATGGGCTCATTTTATTCCCTCCCTCGTCGTCGTCTTCATCGTCCTCAAAGCGCGGTTGGTCATCGTCCTGATGGTCAATCTGGTCACCGTCAGATGAAGTTTCTGCGCTTCAAGCATAATACGGAGATGTACCTCTGGAAGCACAGCTCCTAGAAGAAGCCTTCGGAGCTAGTAGTAATGTTTGTTTAGCTGGACGGCACGGGGAGCTCGGAGGGGGTGGAGGAACAGGAGACATACCACCAACCAGTGCGATGGACCACTACCAGCGATATCTTCTAGGTGGCAGTCCACTTCATCCAGAAGTCAGTAGAATTCGCCAAACGGATGCATATCAACCCACCGGGTATATTATCAATCCACCTGCCGATTTGTTGATGGTCATCCAGCGTCGCCAAAAAGGCCTCGCCGTCTCGGTTCTCGCCGATTCTTGCAAACATGAAGGCGACAGCTGAAGAGGTCAGGAATCGAGTTCGGGGTTGTGGGATCTAATACACGGACCATGCTCTGTCTTTTCCGGATCGGTTTGTAGCCTGGCCAGGCAGTTGAGGATGTTATTCTCTAGAGTCCCCCTCCTCTCACCCTCAATCTTGGAACTAGGTCAGCACCCAATCACAGCGTGGGGCACGATGAGCTTACATTGCCGTCGGTTATGACCATTGCCAGTAAAGGCCTGGTCATCGTTTTCCGCTGCACGAATGGCTCCAAGACCTTTTGCTGCAGTTGTGTGCCGACCGTGCTGAGACCGTGGTACCGAATATTGGCGACTATCTTATCTACCTTCTCCGTGGTGACGTTTTTCTGACCCTGTCGAGAATTGAGATATCGGACGGACAGAATTCCCTCTTCGCGTGCCAGCTCGTAGATTTCTGAGACCGCCCTCAACACTGTCCGCAACGTCGATGTTTGATTACCGTCGAATTCTTCTAGCAATGAATGACTGTCGTCTGATCGATTTGGGGGACCGGTTAGTCCGTCTTCCTAGGGGAGAGGGCAACAGCCTCACTTACCAACCAGAATGACTAGATCGTACAGGACCAGAACGGCAAACTCGTGGGCAAGCTCCAGGGGACAGCCTCGCAGCTGTAGCTCGACGACCATACGGGCGCCTCTGGACACATACTCGCCGAAATTCTCATGCGGAAAGAAACAATCGCGCAATCCGGGTTTTTTTTTCTCGACGAATGTGCTGAGGGTGTATTGACATCTGCCCAACATCGTACGTGGGTCCCAAACCTCTTCGAAGTCTGTCTGCATTCTCCCGTCGAGACCACAGGCTCCTCGTTCAATGGGGACAGTGGTGACGGCGGTGGCGGCGGTATGCTTCCTTACTGGCAGCTAATTCCGGAGATAGCGATTGAGATGGGGCGTCATGTGAGGAACAACGATCCCTTGTGCGGGTTGGTGAGCGAGTTTTCTATTGACTGTTGGGAAAACTTTTCTCCTGGCCACACTTAAGTAGATTTATCGTACCGGCCGGGACACCCGAAGAGAGTTGTCAGTAGGTATCAACTCTAGTACTCCTCCGCTACCATGCCAGCGTGCACGCGATTGGTCCCCACGTAGAAAAAGGAGAAGCTCACGCATCACTTGCGTGCCTTTGGTGCATCACGCACGATACATGAGATGTAGAGTACATCCGCGCATCTGGATTCCGACAACGGTGCAAAGTTCCGACCAACAGCATGTCCAGACTTCGTACATACGAGCTCCGGTCGTCTTGAGGGGACACGTCAATGCCGAAATACGTGCGTTCGACGACCCACATATGCTAGTCGAGGCCGCGGCAGAGGATGGCGGATGGGACATTCATACCAAATACGATGTGTACATGAGTCACTCGGACGCAAGTCGGAGTTTCCCCGATCCCAGCGTGCGTTGTGCAGCATATGTATGGCATGCACGTTCGACGCCGCGCCTTGCAGACACGTGCAGAAGCACAGTGGGCTGTGGGTTGGTGCGGGGTAATGCGCGAGACCTGAGGCTGGGCGCTTCCGTTTGATCTTATCGTCAATGACCATGATAACTTCCGTGCAGATCTGTGACTGGCCCGTGTACGCTCGATCGTTATGGATCACGGCATGGTGTTTCGTAGCGCGTAGCATCGTGGTTTATCCCGCGTGGCGGATGGCGAGCTTGAGACGGTGAAGGCCGTGTGTCAGCACTGGTATGATACATGGAGAGTTGATATCCAACGATGTGCTTTCAGTTACGTGTGGTTCTTTGGGCTTGGTCGACTGTTAAGTGCACGATGAAGTGACAACCCAGCAGCGACCATACCGCCCGCATGGTAACGGAGATCAGGGTCGGATTCGCGCAGGTCGGAGGAGCTTCGAGGAAACAGAGCAACTGCCAATCGCCCCTGTACCAGCCGTGCGCCCAATGGTTTCGCGGGACCTAATCGAGGGGCTAGAACCACGTTTCCGCGGAGTACTGTCCTCTTCAACTCCACCTGACCGCTGTCTCGGACGGTCATCGAATACTCACAGCCTCGACGAATGGCGTCCGGCCGCCGTCGTGTACCCAGTGCAAGCGTAGCAGTGCCAGTGGTTCGGATACGAGCTACGTGCGTGCAGCTCCGCAGGGTTGGCCTCGACTTTGCCCGTGGAGAGTCGTTCGTGATTGGCTAGTTCTCCTACGGGCCATGGCCAGCCAGGATGTCGGTTTGCGAGGGCTCCTTGCCGCCACTCCAGGCCGACAGGCGTGAAGGGGGAGCACAGAGGGTATAGCGAAGATAGGGGTTGACCGTCTATTCGAGGGATGATGATCAAGAAAGAAGAAGAAGAAGAAGAACAATGGGACCTTGCCGTGCCAGCAAACATTAGTTCTCACCACCGTTGATGCCTACTACAGTACTGGGACAAAAAGGATTGGACAGTGCCGATTTTACATCAAAAATGGCCATTTTCAACCACCGATACAACCACAACGTATCGAAAAAATTCAGAGACCATTAGGAGACCTCTGTAACTACACCGACAACGATATGGGAACTCCTCACGGAGTTCTGAACTGTTGTTTTGGAGCAATACCATACGGGGCAAAAGTTTATGGTTGCCAAGTAGCTTTTTGTATGGGAGCCCCTCTCTCTCTCTCTTTCTCTCTTTCTCTTTTTTTATTACATACAAGATGTAATGTCACTTTTCAACTCCTGCACAATACAACGTCGTACAGCCCCAGTCCGCGAGGAAAGTCTTCAAAGTTTTTAATGATGAAGAAGCTTGTGATTCTGACGCTTCTGTGAAAGAGACGATTTTTTTTCGACCGGTAGAGGGTCTGTTTTGGTTGCATGAAAATGGTCATTTTTGGTGTAAAACGGGCTTTGTCCAATCCTTTTTGTCAGGGTACTTTACTAACCACATTCGTTTTCTCCTGCCGGCAGCCTGAAGGCTGAGTCATCCTTCACTTCCTCCTCTCGCCGACAGCTCCTCCTCTCGCCGACGGTTACTCCTCTCGCCGACAGCTCCTCCTCTCGCCGACGGTTACTCCTCTCGCCGACAGCTCCTCCTCTCGCCGACAGTTCCTCCTCTCGCCGACAGCTCCTCCTCTCGCCGACAGTTCCTCCTCTCGCCGACAGCTCCTCCGCTCGCCGACAGTTCCTCCGCTCGCCGACTGACAACTCCTCTATCGCGTTGATCAGTTCATTACGAACATGAATGTATCAAAGATGTGACTTTCGCATTTAGTGTAATTTACAGTACAGTCACTGCGTGGATTCCCGACTCCACAGCCGGTAGTTAGCGTAAGGGGTGTCACGTGATATCACCGAGTGATATCTGCCTTGTACTCCCTCCGTCACCCGAAAACAAAAACAAAAACCGGAAACCGGAAACCCCAAAATCTGAATACAAAGGTCTTTCAACCGGGTTTAACACGGAGCTTCCCCTCGATTCCCCTCACCCATTGCATGGGCATAGAAGTTGACTAGTGACCATTAGACCACGTGGGGTTTTTTCCGTGCTGGATACAGGAATTCGATGCTTATACAGTGGTGGGAACGGACAAGCTCCCCGTCAGCACGCCAATAACTCGACCGATACACGGACGTACCGGTATGTGATCTTTACGACTGCCCGCTGTTGATATCTGGACACGGCGTGTGAACTGTACTTTTCACCGCCCAGACCGGGAAGTGGCCTTGGTACTTATAGGTACTTGCACGTTGAATCATTACAGGTATCGGGAAGTCCGGAGCGGTCAGTGGCAGCGCAAACATCGCCATACGACTAACAAAAGTAATAAGGGAGCAGCTCGAGGTCAATGGGCTTTAGTACGCGAACCTCCTATACGATTCGGTCGTGTGTAGTCGATTTCAGACATCGTACTCCGCAGCCACTACTCGTCGTCACCGTACGTCTTACTACCAGCACCACCGCTCCATGACCAAAATTGTCAGTGCCAGTATATTATTCCTCGCAATTACATCCCCACCGCCACCTCGCCTCCACAGTCATCTACCTACGGCGTCCCCTTCCCCTGCCGCCGCCGCCGCCCGTAGTCTCAGTCGGCACCGCAGTATCAGTGGCCGTCTCAGTGGGCTCGACCGTCGCAGTATCAGTATCAGTGGTAGTGGTAGTAGTGGTAGTCTCCGTCGGCTCGACGGTAGCCTCCGTCTCCGTCGGCGGCGCCTCTCCCGTAGTAGTCGTGAATCCGCCCCTTCCAGTCCCGCCCCCACCACCCCTACCCCCGCGTCCGCGTCCCTTCCCGCACGTGCCGCGACGGCGGTATGACGTCCCACGATTGGCGTGGTCCCGCGCGTACTCGGCGAAATAGTCGTCGGAGGCGGCGACGATCGGCGCCGGATCTGCAACGTCGCGTTTACTGCGTCGGGGGAGTCAGCGGTGTTACTTGATGGGATGGACGGATGGGGGAAAGGGAGAGTACGGGTTCTCGGGCTTTTGCGCCACGCTGAGCGCGGCGAAAAGGAGGACCGCCGGCAGGACGAGTGTGAGGTGCGTGAGGTGCATGGTGTGATACTGTTTGCTGTGCGAGCGAGAAGTTGTTTCTTTGGGGGGCGACGACGTCTGGTTATAAGCACGCGGAGTATAGGGGTAGCTATCACTCGCTCGCTCGAGATTGCTACTCGTGGCTAGTGCTCTGCTGTGGCTTTCCCGGCGAAGCTTAGCTTAGCTTAACGGATAGTTAACCGAGCCAATCGTGAGGAGCGGTTTGCGCCTCCAACAGCGATAGCTCGGATCTGCTACGGGAAATCTTTGAATGGTTGGGTCACTCATTAATCAGTCAGCCCTGTACTCATATCACCATAGCACTTTCCAACCGCCATCGAGTACCGCCGACTGCTCTGTTGATATTGTGGGATACGTTCTGGTATCTATGCCTAATCCAAAATAACTTGTTCTTTCTCTATTGTTTGTCCCTTTGCATCGTCGCATATATCGTCGCATAAGCAGCCTTTGTTGCCCAACTTGTGGCTTCTGAGTTCTCATCGTTGCCCCTGGCTTCTCACCAGAACAAGCGTCTTATCTTCAAGCCCTCAGCCTAGTCCGACCATAATCTAGCATATGATCTGCAATGAAGCGCCCAATATGCGAGGAAGCGGGGAGAAGAAGTCGCGGCAAGAGAGAGGCGCGTGCAGAGCCGAGCGAGATGCAGTACCAGTAGTAGTAGCTAATATGCGCGCCGACGGTGTGCTGCGTGTGTGGTCAGACGCGGTGGCGCATGGAGAGATAAACAGAGGCCACCGGAGGAGGAGGAGAAGCACCTTGTGTATTCGGATGGATTGGCGGCAGAAACATCCCGCACACATATCTTCCGTACCCGCTCGGACGTCCGGGCACGCGGATATCGGCAGCGGAATCGACTGCGCGGCGAGAATGGCGACGTTGATGATGCAGTAATCCTCCCAGCCCACGCTCCTCGGCAACTACGTTTGTCCGTATATCCTACCCGCTGGCCACTACCGCGGCAGCAGGAATGGAGACGGTGATCGCTGAAATCGAAAGATGCGGCCCAAGGATGTCGTGCGGGAGTACTTCGCAATCAACTAGAGTAGCATACCGAACTCGAGGCAGGGCACCTCTTACGGAGATACCTATGAGCGCTATCAAGCTTCGCTCCCAACGGCAGGGATGGTACCCGATCACGTATCCTTTCTAGCTTGACGTAACTCTAGAATAGAGATGGGGAAATGAAGAATGAATGAGGATTTGAAGTTCTATTCAACTTCGACGAGCCATCTCATGGCGAAATGAAGAATGAATGAGAATTTGAGGTTCTATTCAACTTCGAAGAGCCATGTCATACGGCTCTCCTCCGCTCCCTACAACGTTCGATGTCCCGCGATCCGGCTAGTCTAGCTGACAACAAAACCAGTCAGATCAACCCATCCGGCTAGCCTCTCCGTCTCCTATCTTACCGGATCCTCCATCTATCCTACATGTTTTCCTCTCATAGCAGAGCGGAGCCGATGAAAGGGTGTATGTAACATGTTATCTTTCCCGAGAGTGTTAGAATCTAGATGTTGGACCGGCGAGCACATACCCATACAACATCCTCCCCAGCATTCGAGAAACATCAGAATAAACATATCGATCCACAGTACCCCTGCCGGGAGGGTCTTACCGCAACGGTACCGAGGTAGGTATTCAATACCCGGTTCCCGGGATCCACCCAGAGCGCTGGGAGTCTGGGAGGGCAACAAGGAAGCAGGTCGGCTTCGGCCCCGAGTTCGCATCTTCCCTCAGCGCTCCCCCGCTGTTGGCGAACCGCAGGTCCCGCTCCGATCCACACGGATGCACGGCGGATCTGAGGACGAAACCGTCGACATTCCCTTGCCATCGGGTCGTGCGGCGGATAGAAGCATTGCGGTTTCACTCGAATCTGGCATGTTGAAAACAAAACCGCGACACGAGGGGTAGGATCGTACCTCGGTACATGGTTCATGCCGCGATCACTCGCGGAAAACTAACTACAGACTCCTAGGACGGAAAGGAAGACGGGTTTAAAGTACGCTACGTACTATAGACTGTATGGACTGCATGGACCGCCGCCGACCCGCTTCCGCCAGATCCAACTCGCAACAATGACCCTTGCGGCCGTTCGTCCCCAACTGGCAGTTTTGAACCTTGCTATTGTGCGTCGTATTGCCTGTTCCGGTGTCACTGCTACTTCTCTTTATCCTCAGTCCCTTCTCCTCGTCAGATATGCAGTCTTCATGGCCTTCCTGGCTTACTAGCATTGTCCTGGCTTCTCACCAGAATCAACCTCTCTACAGTTTAGGCCCCCAGCGCGAGTCCGGCGACGGCGACGGCTATCGTCGCATCCTCTGTCTGAGGCCTGGCTTTATCTCATTGTTTACACGAGCTCGTATCCCTTTATAAGCAGTCTCCTTTCTCATCTTCTCGTATCATTATATCAATCAAGTCAAGTTGTTCTCCCAGTTTCAAAAAGTAGCAGCATGCTGGCGCCGAGTGCTAGTTCATGTATAGTACCTACTTCCAAGCAGACAACCGTCCGCGCGGACTGCGCAAGGCAAAGCCGCTGGAGCCTGGAGCCTGGAGTCGCCGAAGGGACTATCAGAGAGCTGACAGTGCTCTGGTATCGGGGTGCGGTGATGTGTTGAACGGCCCTCAAGTTAGTACTTGATAGAAGTGGTGGTTTCAGTCCGAGGAGAAGGCTCATACCGTGAAATATGAGATCTCGCAAGTTTGCATGGTTACATACGAAGTCTGCGACTCTGTGCGAGATGTTGTGAGCAGCGCACCCGTGATGGGGAGCAGCTACGGTGCCGGAGATGTGATATCCTTCTGCTATGGCAGTACCCGCATCTGGTGCCCCCACTCCCCCGCCTCCTGGTGAGGGGCGTAGAGACTGAGGCGGATTGGTGTCTTCCGTGAGCGCCGAAGATTGGGGAGACCTAGTCGGGGCCTGGGTGGGGCCTTGTGGGGACCTGGTGGGACCAACTGTTATGGAGGAGTTATGGCGGAGATGCCCAGTATTATCGAGGCGAGACCCGATATGGTCGCTCAACGTTTAAATGTTTCAACTTTCTGCTGTCACTATTTCTGTTCGTCCGGCTCGTTTTGTTTTCTTCTCATCATCATCATAGCCCCTGTCACACTGTGTATCGTGAGGCCCGTCACCCCAAGTCATCACGCCGTGGACGCACAGAATCCCAATGAGCAGCGATATGTAACACCAGTTCTAAAATCCGAGGGCGAAACCCACCGATAGATCTGCCGGGCATGTGTCACGGTGTCACCTACCCACCTACACGGACGCAGACGCGGGACACGGGATTCCGGAGGGTAGATAATCCGAGCTCGCTTCTCGGGAGTCGGAAGCGGTGCTTGTGCTTGTGCGAACGGTGAACCGCAGTGTAATCCAGTCATCGCTCGTTGTTCGCGGCTGGTGCTGGTGGTACCTGATACCAGCCGGATGCGAAAAGGAATCGACTGAGGGTGGGACCGAGAAAGAGGCAGGCCATGGGAGACAGAGCTGGGATGAAATCGGATGCCTCCGGCCACGCGGCGTGAGAAGCACGACCGTACACCCACTCCCATCGCGCTCGGAATCTCGGAGCGCAGAGAAAAACCCGAACCCAGGCAGCTGGAGCGGGGGACCCCACACGCTCGCTTCCCCGGAATATTGAATACCCACCGGCATGGCCAACTTCCCAGATGGGCATGTGGGGGAACGTACATACATAAAATCTGGCAAAATTCACAGCTGCATCCGACCTGCAGGCAGGGAGGGCATCAATCAATCGATCAATCAGTGCTGGACGTATCCGGGCGGATGAATAAGAATGACGCGTACATGAGAAGGTTTCCGGTATACGAGGCACGAGGCACGAGGATGGCGGCTGAACTGCGTGCGTGCATGGTGGCGTCGTACCTGCATGGTGGCGTCGCGTCAGCGGGACTGGACGGTGGACACCGAACACCGAACACCGAAGCTGAATAGCCGCGAACGGGCCCGTAGGGACGGCGACGAGAGCCGGTGGTGCGAATCGTGATACGGCGAGAGCAGCGGATGCAGAGGTAACTACTACCTACCTATGGGGATCCGCGAACGGGAAATTGCGAAGATGGTGGGATTCGCGCCTTGTGGGTTTCCATTGAGATTGACGGCCTTCCTTCCTTCCTTCCACAGCCCTGCGCTCTCTCTGCGACAACGACGTATCTAACTACGACACCCGCCGATCCGGATCCCCTCGATAGCCCGAGCGCCCGAACCCCCAACCCGGCCCCGTCAAATCTGGCATGTAATATAGTGTCCGGAACCCAGCTCCTTCGATTCCGCGCTGCACTCTAGCAGGGCCGAGACCTGCGGGCAAATAAGCGTTTCACACCAGCTCGATTTCCCCACGCGGTCCAGACACACCTCCGCTTAATATCTAGGCGAGTAGAGTATATTTCCCCGCAATGTATGTGGGGACAAAGTAGCGGGGCTAGGGAAGACATGGGCAGGGGCCGGGGGTGGCGGGGGTGAAGAATGCCTCGGTGAGTTTATACTCCGTAGTCGGTTACGATGCGATTCGGACAATCGCCATGACACCGAGCCGAGCGAGCGATTGACAGCGGAGGGATTGCAGAGACGATGGGTATAAAACCAGGAGGAAGGACCGGCATAATCTACATCCTCCACTGCAATTCTTTTCGCACTCCTTCCCCGACGATGTTTTTCCACCTCAGTTCGGTATTCGTGGCGGCCACTGTGCTGCTGGGCGTCGTCTCCGCTGCGCCTAATCCAGGCAAGAAACAGTACATGCGCAGAGCTGGAAGGACCTCGCCTCCCACCGGATGCACAGTCGTGCGGCAGTCAGCTGGAACTGGGGAGTACTCCACGGTATGTGCTGCGTGTCGAAGCGGGTTAAAGTGCGGTGGCTGATGAGAACAGTTCCAAGCAGCCGTCAACTCGCTGAGCACCACTGCAACCGGGACTCAGTGCATCTTCATCTACCAGGTGTGCATCCACCATCCTTGAATCCCCGCGGCAGATACTGACCGGTTCTAGGGAACCTACAACGAGCAAGTCTACATCGCCGCGCGCACCGCACAGCTCACCGTCTACGGCTACACCACGGACACGAGCACATACACGTCCAACACCGTGACTATCACGCAGGGGCTCTCGCAGGACGACGTCTCCAGCAACGACCTAACAGCGACACTTCGCGCTCACAACGTCGGGCTAAAGGTGTACAACATCAACCTCAAGAACACACGGGGCAACGGGAGCCAGGCGCTCGCCGTCTCCGCGCAGGCCACGCAGCAGGGCTACTACGGCGTGCAGTTCATCGGGTACCAGGACACGATTCTCGCGAACGAGGGCAACCAGATCTACGCACGCTGCTACATCGACGGCGCCACCGACTTCATCTTTGGACAGCGCGCGCGCGCTTGGTTCTATAAGGCCGACATCCGCATCAAGGGAACGGGTTACATCACCGCCAACGGAAGGGATAGCGAGAGCAACGTGAGCTACTACGTCATCACCGACTCCGACATCCAGGCCGCGCCGGGTGTCACGATCGCCGCCGGCTCTACGTACCTCGGCCGCCCGTGGAGGAACTACTCTAGAGGTCTGCAGCCCCCCAACTCTGCCGTGCTGGAAGCAGCTAACACATCTGCAGTCGTCTTCCAGCGCACCTCCATGAGCGCCGTCGTCAACTCCGCCGGCTGGGTGCAGTGGAACAGCGGCGATCCCCGCACCGACAACGTGTACTACCGCGAGTATCTGAACACCGGCACGGGTTCGCAAGGCACCCGGGTACGTCCCCACTATCCCCACTATCCCCACTATCTCCCATCTCCCATTCCCCATTTCCCGTGCAGACTAGTACTGACACCCCCAGGCCTCGTTCTCATCGCAGCTCACAGCACCGGAAACCGCCGCAAACGTGCTAGGAAGCACTTACACCACCTGGGCAGATATGAGCTACCTGTCGTAATGGCAGCAGCAGACTGCACAGACTCCTTTCGGGGGAGTTGTACTTGTAGCGCACCAAAAAAAACAATTTTCCGTTGCCGTCATAAAAATGAGATGATGCGAGTGATAGACTGTGTGATAGTGATCGTGACATGTCCGGACAACAGCTGCAAGTGGAGTGAAACCCAGTGCCCACTCCAGTGTCCATTGCCAGCAGTGGCGACGGAGATCCTCGGCCTTCACCCTTCATCCTTCATCCTTCATCTTCAGTCTTTGTATAGGTACTCGCTTACGCCGCACGCCACCGGTGACCGAGCCGATCGAGAATCTCCAATCGCGATATCCCAGATTCCCAGCATCACGACTCGCGAGCCCGAGCCCGAGCCCCAGCCCGAAGCGACCAAGTTCGAGCACTCCGCACTCCGCACTCGCGGGTATCCGTTGAGCATTCGGGCTTTCCGTGGGTTTCTGTGGGTTTCCGTCGAGACTCGAGAGGTGCCGAGTGCGCTGGAAGTCCGGGCATATTCCGCCCCAGTGTATTGATTGTACTGTCGTTACTTCGTGCGTATGTTCGTGAATCGTGATCTGCCGTGGCCCGTGGGTGGCGTGGATACGGTACTCCATACTCGATACTCTGTGATTTTTCGTTTGGGAATTGCTAGGGATTGCTGGGAGCCTGGGAGAGGTCTCCGGTTATAGGTGGACGCACCTCGAGGACGAAGAGTATGAGGATTGCAGCTCGCCGAGGACTCTACAAAGCAATAGGATCGTCGAGTGCGAGTTCAAGTTCCAATCGCGTGTATTGCGTGTATTGCGTGTATGTATTCAGATAAACGGATGCATTCCTAGTATCCCTAGGTAGGTATAGTATTCCCCACCATCTACATCGACGGCAGAAGCACAGAAGCAACGAAGTCGGAAGAACTGCAAGTCTGTCGAGTAATTTCCAATGGACATCTCCATCCCCATCTCCATCCCATCCCCGCCCATCCCCGCCAGCAAAAACAAAACAACAAGCAAAAAGCAAAAGCAAAAGCAAGAACGCCCTCCCCCCACAATCCCCCTCCCCCCTCCCCCTCCCTGATCCCCAGTTCGCAAAGCATTTACCGTCCCGGATCCGCCCAGGCCTATCCCATCCCACCATCTCGTCAGCCCTCTCATCCCTCTTCACTCCCCACCTCCCCCCGCCTCCCTTTATACCCCCCCGTTAGACGGAGGAACTCACCAAAGCAGCGCAAAACCCGCCCGTCAGCCCGCCAGCAGCAGCAACCACGCCGATCCATCCGATCCCCGGCGCCCCCGACTTGACCATCCGCTCCGCGTGCGGGATGCAGTGGCCTTCGCGGCGGAGCTGCTGCCGCATGGCTGGGTTCGATGTCATCAGGCGCGGGGCCAGGCGGAGGATGGGGATCATCGCTTTTCTGTTTTTCGGTTGAGGGTGAGGGTGAGGGTGGAGAGGCGGCGGTGAGACGGTTGAGGGGGGAGCAGGAGCAGGAGCGGGACAAGAAGGCTTTTAAGCACGTCGCACACCCTCGTCTCGTGCGGGGGAATGCTGAATAATGTGTAATAACAAAAATAACGGAGTCCTGCAAGTTGCTGCAGCCAAGCTCTTTTTCCGTCCTGTTGTGCTGTTGTGCTGCTGTTGTGCTGTGGGGATGGGGGGCACTGGGAGGAGGGGGAGCACGTACTCCACTCCACTTCGACCGTCGAGTGGCAGTCTGGCAGCCCGGCAGAGGCAGATCCTCGATGGGCCACATCAGCCCACCTCTCTGTGCTCACATCTCAGTGCTGATAGATACCCCGGTCCCACGCACATCCTCTCGACTTTGCAGGGAGGTTGCAGGGAGGTTGTAACTTGCATGTATGTAACTTATAACCATCGAGATTCGAGAATGGCTGGGGTATCGCCGGATGCGGGAGGTGTCCGCTGTCGACTCGGGACTCAGGAGAGTGCAGAGTGTGGCAGGTGAGACTGTGGAGAATGTGGGGTAGACTACCCACATAGGCACAAGGTGGAGTACGGGGTACATAAGCCGCCGTCGCCGTCGTTGGTGGCTCGTCTGCACAGTGGGGTGTGGCATGGGTATGTGCCGTGACTATGCGGGGGCTGGAGGAGTGCTCGCGGACTCGCGGTCGCAGTCCATCGAGGAGGGCCCGTATACCGCACAATAAAACCGTCGCTGGAGAGCTTTGTATGAATGACTATCGGTAGAGTACTCTATGGGGGTGCCGTGGAGGAGAGCCGTTGCGTCGCGTCCGAGCTTCAGCAGTAACTTCTCCACCACCGGTAGTAGTGAGAGTCGCATGTGAAGGAAGCCTCGAATATCTACTCGAGATGACTATTAACCACCACAAACGTAAGCACGGCCCCAATATATACAGACTTCACGATTCCCGTCTACAGAAAACCGCTTCTTCGCGGATCCCTTCTTTTCCCTCCTTCCGAACCATTCGGAACCCCTTCAGAGAACGCCTTCCCTAGGAACCCCCTCTCGAGACAAGGACCGAGCGCACAGCGGCACCACTCCCGAAGATCCGGCAGCAAGTACCAGGATTCCCCACACTGCGCCTTCCCAAACCCAATCCCCGCCGTCCCAAACCCTGACCTTCCCCCCCTCTCCGCAAGTCTCCAACTGTCAGCAACTCTCACTCTCAGCAGCTCTATTCAATTCACATCACAACACGTCAAAGCAGATCACATCACATTCCATTCGCACTCATGAGGGAAAAAAAGATCATGGTATTTCAATTTCAACAGGACCAGCACATCCGCCATCCCATCACTGCAAGCCGAGCAGATCCAATATAAAGGAAAGAAAAGTGAAAGAAAAAAACCCAACCCAAATTAACACCTTAACCCAACCCATCATGTTCCGTCCTAAGCCGCGGCCGCAACCTCCGCCTCCCTAGCAACGACCTTCTCCGCGGCCGCAAACGGCTCAATCTTATGTTCCGGCTTGACACCGACGCGTTCCTTGGGGAGCATATCGACGAGCAGAGGATTCGGTCTTCCAACCCTCGCCGGAATAATCCCCGCCTGCTCCCTCTTGTACGTCTCACAGTTGTCCATGTAGGCATCAAAGAGGAACGCGGAGTCGAGCGGTCCGCCCTTCGCCTCGGGATGAAACTGCGTGCTCATGATCGGGCGGGTGCGGTGGATCATGCCCTCGTTGCTCCCGTCGTTGAGGTTGACAAAGTACTCCTGGAAGTCGGCAGGGACCGTCTTCATGTCGACCGCGTACCCGTGGTTCTGCGACGTGATGTGGCAGCGCCCCGTGGTCAGGTCGAGCGCCGGGATGTTGTGGGCGCGGTTGCCGTACTTCAGCTTTACGGTCTTGGCGCCGGCCGCGAGCGCGAGAAGTTGGTGCCCGAGGCAGATGCCCATGATCGGGCCGGAGTACGTGTCCATGAGCTTGCGCAGGTGGTGCACGGTGGGAGAGCAGTGAGTCGGGTCGCCGGGGCCGTTGGAAATGAACACGCCGTCGAAGTGGTGGGCGACCTTGTGGATCGGGTAGTCCCAGGGGAAGACGGTGACGGAGGCGCCGCGGGCGACGAGGGAACGCAGGATGTTCTCCTTGACGCCGCAGTCGATGACGGCGACGTGAAGGTCGCCGGGCGACGATACGTGGAACGGCTGCTTGGTGCTGACCTTGGCCACCAAGTTGATCTGCTCGGGGTCGACGAAGGCCTCGTCCTGGTCGGCGTCGTACTCCTCGCCGATGGTGATGCGGGCGAGCGACGAGCCCTGTTCGCGGAGGAACGTGACGATCGAGCGCGTGTCGACGCCCGAGATGGCGGGGATCCCCTCGCGCGCGCACCAGTCGCCGAGAGACTCGATCGCGGTCCAGTGCGAGTACTTCTCGGCGTGGTCGGCGACGACGATGCCGGCCGCCTGGATGTGCGGGGACTCAAAGTACTTGAGGAGGCCGGCGTCGTCGCGGACGTCCGACGGGACGCCGTAGTTGCCGATCAGCGGCTGGGTGAAGACGAGGATCTGGCCGCGGTACGACGGGTCGGTCATCGACTCGGGGTAGCCGACGAGCGAGGTGGTGAAGACGGCTTCGCCCGAGATGGTCTGGCGGGCGCCGAAGGAGGTGCCGTGGTAGACGGGTCCACCCTAGACACGGTTAGTTCCACATAGCACAGGCCCTTGTGCTCGACGGTGACATACCCTGATGGTGAAGGTAGCACGATCCTTGATGGTCTTGGGGGTGCTGGCGCCAGTCGCCTGGTGGGCGGTGTTGACAACGGTAGCGAGTCCCCTGCGGGCAAACGCAGCGGAAGGCTTGAAGCCCCTGAGAAGGATCTGTCGGGAAAGCATTGTGTTTAGGACGAAATCGGGTGGAATTCTGTTTTCGAACGAAGGTGTAGTGTGGCGATCGGTGTGGGTAGCGTTTTAGTTTGAGCTGTTCTTCCAGATGTGGTCTGCGCAACTGTCAGTGGACGAGGTCCTTGTCGATGGAGGCATCATCGTGACGAGCATACCTGAGAGGTAATCCTTCGAGAAAGTCAGCACGATCGATCACAGATCAAAAGACAGAGTTCCCTCTCCCGCAGAGTGTGAAAGGACGGATGCAATATGAAGCTGGGGAGGAACGGGGTTGAAGAAGGGAAGCCGAGCAGATAAACGAAAAACAAGAGGCGAGAAAGAAAAAAAAGGTGAAAAGAAGGATCACGGAATTGCCAGCGTGCGGCCACTAGCCCGCCGTCTAGTGCGTTCACTAATGACTCCTCCTCGAAGGCGGGGAAAGGGAGCGGACAACATCGATCGGGAGACGGGTGCTTGATGATTCACGTACCTGAGAAGTGAAGACGGTGGGAAACAATCGCATGCGTGCAATCCGTGTATGACCCTTTGTCACGGTGGGTATTCTCGTATACGAGAAGAGGCGGGTGTGGGGGGTGCTGTTCGGTGGTGGTGGGGTTCGAAGTGCGGAGACTGCTTGATGCTGGAAGAGGGAGAGAAGGAGCAGAAGAGGAGAAGGAGTTCGGGAGGAAGACGATCTTATGTATCCGACGATCGATCAATCGGGGTTGGGTGAAGATAGCGAGTTTGTTTTTTTTTTCGTCTTGGTTCCTTGTCGGGCGACCGGGATGGGCGAAGTCAGAAAATTCTGTTGGGTCGAGATGACGACGGCGAGCACGAGGTGGAGAAGAGATCTAGAGCACTGCTAGGAGGATCACAGCCACAATGCGGCAGGATGTCGCGATGGATGCGGCGATCAAGATGAATCTGGTTTTCTTTCGGGCTCTCTCGAATGCGAATTGCGGTTGCGGACTGGCTGTCTGGCATGTTTCGGCGAAGGACTGCGGGGCAGGAGAGAGCCGCATGATAAGATTGGCGATGCGATAGAGATATCAGATGCCGCGGGCCACGCAAGATGCACTCAATCAGATCGATCTAATCTTATCTGCGCCGGCCGCAGCCTCTCACTCGCTCCCCACCACGAAACCGACAATCGATAACTGTCCCCATTGAAGCGCAATCCCAAATTCAGCCCTCTTCCCCACCCCTAATTGACCCCAAATACCCCTCCATACAGCGATTCATCCATTCTCACTTCGCCTCCCCCACTTGCGCCCATCGCCTCGCGCGCCCGCCCCCCTGTCCCCGCCTCCTCTCCGCATCGTCCACTCCCCTCCACCAATCCCCCCCCCCACACTCCGACTTGAGGCTCAACTCTAGCCAGGTTACAGCCCCGTCGAAACTTATACCTCGTGACGATAGCTGCCGACCTCGGGTTTCTGCTGTGTTTCGGTTCTCTTTTCTTTTCCTTCCTCTTCGTGTGTCTGCCAGTCAGCTCGCTCAGCTCTTTTTTTTTCGCCTGTTCTTTTCCCGTCCCGTCGCTCCTTTCCAGTCCAGTCCCAGTAATCTCCATCATCCCCACGAACGACGACGACGACGACCACCAACGAACAACCACCCAACCCACCAACCCAACCAACCGCCCCCATTCCCGCCCGCCCACCCGCCATCATCCCATCCTCCGTACATCGCCAATCCACGCCCACAGCCACAATGGACCGCCGTCCCACTTCCGTCACCCCCTCCTCCGCCCGCGGCCCCGCCAACAACGCTCCAGGCCCCAACCCCCTAGCCGCGCTGGACTGGGCCCTTGGCCTCCGGTACCCGCCCCCTCCACGCGCCCCCGCCCCTCCAGACTAACACCGACCTCGCAGCGTCCGCCTAACCACGATCCTGGACGACCACATCTCAGGCACAGTGTATGCCTACGACGCGCACACGTCGACGGTGTCAGTGATCACGTCGAGCACGCCGTCCGGCCCGGGCCCCCACGACATCCGCATCGTCAAGGTGTCGTTTCTCAAGGACGTGGCCGTGCTCGCTGTGGCCGCGCAGCCGCGCAAGGGCTTTGCGGGGGCCGAGCCGAAGATCGGGCGTGTTGGGGGTCCCGCGCAGAGGGAGGGCCTGGCTCAAGCGGAGGAAATGAAGAGGCTCGCGAGAGTCGGCAAGGGAGTCACTAGGGAGGGCCAGGATATATTCGATGCGTTGAGCAGGACGTGAGTGACCTCCCGATGGAGGGGGGGCGTGGGCTAATAGGGGCACACAGCATGCCGTGTCGTTGGCATGAAAAGCAGATTGTGGTGCTCGACTCGGTCATGATCTCGGAGCCGTATGGGCTGGCGGAGGTGAAGGGCAACGACAGGAAGGCGGTGGATCGGGTCAAGCACGTGGTATGTTCAGTCCCCCACTTCGAACGCCGCGCGGAATGCGATTGTGACTGCACTGCTGACACAACCCCAAACAGCTCGAGGGCGAGAGACGGAAGCTGGAGACGGGAAAGAGGATGGGGACACCGGTGTCGGCGGCGGGAGACAGGAAGGGCGGTTAGACGGATTGCTCGTCTTCACTTGTTGCTACCTATATCTACACGTGTTTTTTTTCTTCCACCTCGGTGTCTTTCTATGGTGGTTCTATGGGCTGAACTGTACTCTACAACGCAACCGAACGATGGCTTCGGGCGCAAGTGATGTCGCTCGCGAACGGTGGTGGTTGACGCATAGTGGCCACGCTCTCGCTTCGCCTGTCTGCCTGCCTGCAAGTGCGGCTCTGCGATAGAAGTTTACCCTGCAAACAACCTGCCCCACCATGCCAAAGTTATCCCCCACCACCCATCCGGCCCGCCATCCAGGTCCCACCTCCAACCTTCCGCTCCCCCACCACTCCCTTAGCCATGGACCCTGCCTGGACCGACGCCGACGCAGCACTCCTGCACGCGGCCTCGACGCACGACATCGCCACACTCACCGCCCTCCTCAAGACGACCAGCGCGCAGGTGCAAACCCCCATCACGCTCACGACGCCCCTGCACGCGGCCGTCTCCTCTCTGTCCGCCACCTCCCCCCCCTCCGAATCTCTCGCAGCCGCAGAAACGGTGCGCTTACTCCTCCTCAACGGCGCGATCTGGAACGACGTCGATGCGAATGGGGATACGCCCGCTTGTATTGCTTTCCGGGCGGGAGGTGCCGGTGGCGCAGGGAGCGCGGCCTATCAGTTGCTTGTGGAGGCCGGCGTGAGGGCCGAGCTGATTATGGCTAGGTTTGGAGTGTTGGGGAGTGATGATGATGATGATGATGATGATGATGAGGACAGTGGGGACGAGGGGGAGGGGGAGGGCGGGGAGGCGCTAGATGGGGGGGAGGGGGATGGGGGGGCACAGGGCGGGCTGGCGGATGGGTTGGGTGAGGGAGGGCCAGAGGATGTTAACGCGGAGAAGTATCTCGCGAGCAAGCTCGTGTATACAGGCGAAACACTGCTGGACGACGAGGCGAATGGTGTGATGATGCAGTGGGAGACGGGGATTATGGTGAAGAGTGTGGAGATGTTGTTGCCCAAGGGGGAGGTGGGGGAGGGTGGGGAGCGGGAGGATGGGAAGGTTGGCAGGAGCGTGCTCAATGTCGGCTTCGGCATGGGCATTGTCGACACCGCGTTCCAGGAGCGGCTCAACGCCGAGGGCGGCGGCGAACACTTCATCGTCGAGGCGCACCCCGACGTGCTGGCGAAGATGCGGAAGGACGGGTGGATGGACCGGGCTGGTGTCACAGTGCTGGAGGGCCGGTGGCAGGAGGTTTGTATCCCCGTCCCACCCTTCCAACAACCCACTCACACAACCCCCCACAGGCGCTCCTCCCCCTCATCTCCTCCGGGCGCACCTTCGACGCGATCTACTTCGACACGTTTGCGGAGCCGTACAGCGCGCTCAAGACTTTTTTTAACGAGCTCGTAATTGCGCTGCTCGCGCCCGACGGACGCTTCGGCTTCTTCCACGGCCTCGGCGCAGACCGTCGTGTCTCCTGGGACGTCTACACTCGCGTCGTTGAGATCGATCTGCTCGATGCTGGATTGGAGACGTCGTGGACGGAGGTGGAGATTGATGTGGAGGATGGGGAAGGGGGGGATAGGGGCAAGGGAAAGGGGGTGGTGAGTGAGAAGACGTGGAAGGGCGTCAGGAGACGCTATTGGGATGTCGGCGGCGTGTATCGCCTGCCGGTTTGTATGTTCTTGGGGTAATGGAGACTGTACTGTACATAGTCAACGCGAGGGTTGGATTGCGCACAAGTCACTCGATCACTAAAAGTACCGATCAGATGGGAATGGCAATATGCGTACGACATTTACGCATCATACCCCACCTGAGTAGCTGATAGCTGATAGCTATACGGAAGCGTGCAGATCGTCGATGCTGTCCACACCACCACCACCTTCTCCTTTTCCGCATCCACCTGTATATAACGCCGTGGCCATCCACCTCCTCCGCCTGATCTCTTCGAGCACTCCTCACCACCATATCCTCCTCCCTATATCTCACTCCACAACTCCACAAAGAAAAGAAAAAGATGCCCTTCCGCGCAGCCCTCACCCGCTCACTCAGACAACCACAGTCCTGGGCACTCATCGGGATCGCGATGGCCTCGGGCGCGGGCGCGTACGGGTTTACTTGGATGCTTGTTAGTCCCCTTTCCCTTTCATTCTTTTCACCTTAGAGAGTAAACTGCTGGGGGGGATGGGGCTGGGGGGGCATTTGGGGGGAGGTGGGAGGGGGGAGGGAGTGGACTGGGGGGACGGCTGGAGGGACGGCTGGGAGGAAAGGGCTAACACGGGGATGGGCCGACAGGACCAGGGACAGGGCGAGGCGAAGAGGTTTAAGGCTGAGCATGCGAAATAATCTGGCAACTGGGGAGGGGACAATTGTAGCGGGGTAGGGCGGGCTGCTGGGTGCGGGGTGAACACTCGAATTCGAATAAGGCGGAATGCATTTCCGGGGAGCGCGTCTTGGTATTCGGCATGGTGGGATCGGCATTGGTGTCGGCAGTGGGAGTTGGAGTGGGATCGACGTGCTGTACATACTGCATGGAGAATCACTCGTTCCGCCAGGCTTTGGCGAATGGAAGATTATGGAATGAGGCCATGGTGGCGTTACACGGGACGTGGGGTCTATACGGGGTACTTTGGTTCTCGAAAGAAAGGTTCAGATAAGTACGGAAGCAATAATGCTGTCGTCGGTATTACGGATCGGGCGGGCGCTGTGTATGCAGATGCGGCTGACCCGCTCAGCTCTGTGCATAGTAAGTGCATGGCTATTATCAGATATCAAATATCATACCTGTCGGCTGCCTATGTGGGAGGGGGAAAGCCGATCAGCGACAGTGGATAATGTCTCTCTACCTGCTGCTGAGCATTCGAGTCCATGTGTATCGTGTACATACGGCGGTAGGTATCAGCTCGGATGTGCAACATGCAACATGACTGATCATAACCGCTCACTCGCCATTCTAGGTCGAGATGCGAGTTCGAAATGTGCCATTCGCGAGTCGCAGCCGGCACTTACTCTCAGGATCTAAACGAGGTGCAATGCTAGCACTGGGCGGGTTGTGCATGGTTGAAACCGCGGATCAAATGTGGGAATCACTCATCACTCAGCACGCGCCGGGAGCCGCGGAGGGCAGCGAGTGCTACTCGGTGTCGGTATCTTTCCTCGCTGTCTCTTCTGTTTCTGAACCGTATATACCCTCAGTACTGGCCTTACGATACCCGGCTCTCCAGGCTGAACGTTTCGGCGCCGCCGCTCGTGAAATATGGTAACCACCCTGCATGCAGACCGGGAACGTCACTCGAGTGATGAACAGTGAAGTAGTGAGCTTCCACGGTTTCCATCTGCGCCGCTAGGCGCAAAGAGTGCAAAGAGAGGCAATGGGGGCATGTCGATGAGGCGGATATCGCTTGTTATACATGGCCTCTAGGCGGGAACACGAAGTATGTACTGTAAAGTTCCTGAACTCGGAGAAAAGCGGTTCTGGCTGGATGCTTCTTGAGCACCTTGGAGCTGCGGCGGCTTGTTGTGGGTGCCGGTAGAACAGCGGCGACTCGTGGACGGTTCTCAGTTCTGTCAATCAATACTTGAAAGTTCGGAAGAGGCATCTGTAGCTTCTGCTATCGCAGTAAGGGCGATGATATGTGTGCAAGCCTGCCAGGCAGAACTGGTATTTCATAAATGGACCGGCCACCAGACCAAGCGACCGGCTCCCTGCCAAAGTGACTGGATATACGAGGTAGCGCAGCCATTGGTATCTTCAGATCACTCGTGATATCAACACACTACACTGCGCCAGCGATTGAGCCTACTTTTCGCAGCTTCCGCGCTAGTGTCAGAGCGCTCCCCCACTACAGTTTGTTTCCCTTCACAACCTTTACTTCTCTTACACTTCACACGAACCTAAGATACTCTCTGCTCTTCCTGTCGACACAATCGGAACCGACTCTTACCTCTTCTTCTTGACTTCCACCTTACCACCTCACCTCTTACACTTCACGAACCTGAGAATCTGAGATACTCTCTGCTCATCCTGTCGACACTTTCGCAGCCGACTCTTCGCTCTTCTTCTTCACTACCGCCTTACCACTACCCCTTCCGTTCCTCTACAGACGATCACCAGTTACCCTCTAGAAATCGTATTTACACGACCGAAATTAGCGGTCAATCCTTCGTCACCACCATCGAAATTCATCTCTGCTCATGTTTTTCAACATCATATAGTAAGTAAGCACATCCACCACAAGAGTACGTTACCCATTCCCCAACCCGAACTTAGCAAACGAACAACCCGCTGACGAAACCTCCCAACTCAGAAGAATGTCTCCGACAAGTTACTTCGCCGGCCTCCGTGCCATGCTCAACAACACATCCAACCGCCGCACAGTCGAATCTCGCCGAGCTGAAATTGACAATGACGACGACGAGGAGGTTTCCTGTGACGCCCTGGAGTCGCAGGAGTTGCGTTGTGATAGCGATGACGACGACTACAAGAACCACCAGGCTGCCACCACGGTTACCAAGGTGGCCGACGATAATGAGATTATGTCTTCCCCTCACCAACCGCCACCACCACCACCACCACCACCATCAACTGCCGATGTTAATGAAGACAGGCAAGACGACGACGACGAGCTCACCATGGTCTCGCCCCCGCCCCAGGCAGCCAGAATATCCACCGGGGCTGGTGTACGGGGTGACGGCGCCACGTGTCCAGCGCGTATCAACGGCCAGCCGGTTTTGCTTGCCTTGAGGACGACGTAATTCTTTGCTTTCCAGGCCGAGGTTTCTTCTTCTTCTTCTTCTTCTTCTCTCTCTCTCATCACATACCGAATAGACGATCAACCTCTATATCTTTTCTTTCGTCTGTATGTACTCTCCTCTCGATCGCACCTCCGGCCGCGAGAGGTGTTGGCGAAAGATTAAGAACCGTTCGCAAAAGAGGAATCGAGGTGGTGGAAAGGACATATGATTGTGACAGCAGTGACGGTTGCAGCAGATTCCAGACGCCGGAGCCGCTGTGGAAGCGGCGGCTGTTGAAACTTGAATAGCGACACCACCGGCGAACGGGACACAGCGGAGGGATAATCGTGAGCGAGCAGCGGGGTCATGGGGCGATGTAGACCGTTATGGCGAGTACGATTCACATCTATATGTGGTTGATTGCTGGCAGGGGTGGATGCCGGGAATGTAGAGTAGAGAATCGAGATGAGTAGTAGCGATGCCGTGTGGTGGAGCTGGTTTGGGAATGTGTATATTGAGGCAAGCCCCAGGGCTGGCCGCTGACCAGCGGAAAGTCCGAAGGTGTTCGTGCGTTCGGGGGGAGGTTCGGCCCGCGGTAATATGCAACATCAGTCACCGGATGTAGTAGCACTCCTAAATGATGACGTGGGTATTCGGACAGGTTGGGTGGTAATAGCATGGTGGCTGTGCGAATATCCACGCAACGATCTGGTAGACTACACGATCCTTGAGATCGTGTTAGTCGGGCGGATTTGCTTCCACAGCAAGTAACGGTGAGAGATGGGAACTGTGTCAACGGACAATTACAACGAAAACAGTAGGTACAATGATCTACCACGGTACAAAGCCAATGGTCAATTCGTCACACTTTACCCTCGATGGAAAATGAATAGGAAGGATTCTCTTTTAACCGAGATAGAAAATGACTGGCAACATCTTATTTATAGAGACAGGCTGGACAGAATGCCACATAGCCTCGTTGGTCGCCGTCCCTCTCACTGTCTGCAACCTGCATAATCTTCACGACCGCAAATATCATTCCTGATCCCTTCATGGTCATGTTTTCTGGTGATGACGAACGTACTATAAAGACAGACTAAAAAAGATATCCGCCTGTCCGCCGCCCCTCTATCCAGCCGTTGCAGAATATTCCGAATCGGCAAACGATAGTCGGGATTCTTAGGCATTGTGTGGGTGATGTTTGGTGATCCATCTCGGCTGTTGATAAGATGAGATGAGACGCGTACGATAATCTCCACGTGAGATATGCATGGCTAGGATGCTGCTCACGGACGCGATGAGTTTTGCGCCCCGCTATTCCTCACCTTTCTCGCGATTCAGCCCGCCATCACCGCGACCGAGCGTCCTACCTCCCGGCCCGTCGTATGCGCAGCGATGCGTGGCTTACACGAACTCCGTCATCGCGCCGTCCATCTATTCGCAACCAGGTCACGTTCATCTAGTCCTACCTTGGCATTGATGCCGTCTACACCGCCGAAACGAAGCTGCAACTGACGTCGCACGATCGTTCCCTTCCGAGCCCACCGTCGCCGAGATGATGACGAACCTGCAAAGTCAATGTGGCCGACGCGGGCCAAATCCGCAAGCTCGCGTCCAGCTAGTACAGTGAAATCCCTGAAGGCTTCTGTCGGACGTTTGCGATCGCGACACTTTACTCGAGCCGTGACGCCGCGTCACGTCTCGACACCCACGCTCGATACCACTGCCGCACCTACCTAGGCGCCTGCCGAGCTCGACCGCCTGAACTGCATCGTCGCGCCGCTGTATGCGGGTATCCGATCGTTGCAGCTGTTTCTGGCAACTATGCGCCTTCGAAGGCGCATCACTACCGTACCGTGGTACGATCTACGAACCCTACTTCCTCGATGTGTTCGGAACGCCAGGGCGCCACCACGATCGGGTTCAAGCAGTCCCTCTACGGGAACGATACTTCCTTTCCCCGACCGGAACATTTGAAACGCAGCTCGTGCACGCCGGCAGATGGTCGGTCTACTATCTACGTGATCCCGATGGCGTAAATCCCGGAAGAAAGGGCACTCCGCTCACATGTTGCCACCGCCCAGCTCAAACGGTAATGCGTCGACGGAGAAAACCTTGTCGACAGCTGTGAGTAAGGCGGATGGGGCGCGGATCGCTGCTGGGGGTTCTGCATGCCAAAGGTGAGGGGGAAGCAAGCGGCGATCGTGGAGATTGCGGTCACGTATATGCGGGCCGTCTCACGGTGGAGGGCTAAGGATGTTGGCCAACCGCTGGGGTTTGGGTGCATCTGAGGGCGGCGGTTCGAAAAAAGAGATCAAGGCGGAGATCAAGGCTTGTGTGGATCTTTTGCACCGCGCGCGAGGCTTCGAGGGCTGGTTTTTTGGAAGGTCCGTACGCACATTCATACCAAGTGATTACTGCGAGTCTGCGACATCGAGCGTTCAATATTCGGTTCCTTAGGCAAGCATATCGGTGAAGGCGGAACATGGGCGGAGTCGGGCAATCGCTGTTGATTGCGACTGGGATATACAAAATAGACAAAAGCCCGGTAATAAAATCCATCAGATGAATCATCTTCTTTTATTTACTTTTTGTGTTCAGGGCAGTCAACCGTCCATTCCGTCCGTCTTTGAGGTTGCCCGAGACGGGACGGAATTAGTCGGGCCGAGGAGAACAAGGACTATATTCTTCCGGGCTGGTGAATTGTGGACGGATACCATAGGGCCCGGAATGGACTGGGACACTAGGTAGGACACTGCTGGTGGCACGGCGCCACACAGCGACGCCAGTGTTCGGACGTGTGTCTGTGCGGCTGCAGATCACAGTGTCTCTCACCGCACAGAACTTTCACCCAATCCTCGTTCCTACTTTTAGCACTGTCTACTAGTCTGAGCCCAATCAAATTGTTTGACGACTCTAAAAATACTGCTGAATGCTGAGAATTCTGTTCCGTTACCGCTACTAGGTATAGCCACCGCGCGACTACTCCGTAAACCAGTACCGTAGTCAGCACAGCACGCTAATGCTATCAGGTACCTATAGGTACCTGTCCGGTATCCGGGCATTTTATCCCCCGGACGGGACGGATCATACCTCTGGAGAGCCTGCCGGGGACGTACGGACGGTTGATCGCCCTGTTTGTGTTCCATCATTGCTCAGCCAGCACGACCGCGCCCGCACAGGGGCCGGCAGATAAACCGCATCGTCCTCAGTAATGGACAAATCTGCAGACTTGGTTGGGTTCTGTCCGGGCTTTCGGCGAATACCGTACATACCGGTAGCAGTTTGATCGCCCTGCAAGGCAAATCTTCAAGGCAGGCTTCCCGTAATAAATACTATCCATATATAGAACCGGTACCCATCTTACACGCTGCTAAGCTTGCTCGTGATGGAGGCTGGAATAGACGGACGTGGCAACACTGCAAGAAATTGCCGTAACTCACATTCCCTGGCCAACTTGGCGAATCCCGAACGAGCTTTGCACCGCGGGCCTTAGTACCCGAGGAAGGAATATAATGGCCACTGAGTCGCCTAAGAAGTGTGTCTAGAAAAAGGGTCGCGGAGTCTCAGCGTTCCTTTCTTCCCCGGATCTTCATCGTTTGCTGAAGGGAAGGTTTACTCCATCATTCAATGTCGAAACGCACGCCCTCAGACCACCACACCCAGAAACCAACGCCGGCAGAGAGGCGCCTACCGGCAACACGGCCCGAACAATCGCCAACACCGTCGCCAGCCCAACAGAGTCAGGTTAGAACACTCCGGTTTCCGCCATCCCGCTGGCTGTCACGAAGGATGATTTCAAGACTTACCTGCTCGGACCGCTCGGATACGATGGCTTCCTCCTATCGATGGTCCAGCCAAGTAACTATGCGGTGGCGACTGTTACTCTCACGAAGGGGGAGCCGGCAGCTCTTTCAAGCTGCAACCCCGGCAAAAAAATCTACCCGTACTATCAGGAAACTGCCCTGGTCGTCGACTGCGACTTTCTCGGTAGGACGCCGCTGTACAGCGCATCAGAGTCGACGATGAAGTAATGCTCCCGCCTTGCGCGTGCCGAATCCCGATTCTGAGATGCTGATTGAGCGTCTAGCATTGTCGCCGTAACCAGCCCCGCTGGCCACGCATATGGATCCTGGAAATCTCGTACACAACCTCACATGTGGTTACGGGACTTTCTGCCGCCCGATCTTGATGCCCAAGGCTATCAAGTGAGAGTTCTCCCTTTTACAACTCAGCTCTGATGGAGGGCACGAATACACCTTCCATTCAACACCATGCGAGAACACTTCTCAACAGTCTGGCCGGCGAACGTAATGCAGAAAATGTGGGCGCAAGATGTATGCGATTTGCTGCGAGCTACCGCTAATAGATCTACACAGGAGCGGCGCCGTTCGGTCATCTTCATAGGCCATAGTCTCGGCGGTCTGGTCATCAAACACGTAGTTAGGCAGCATCTCGCCTCTGTTGCAACTTGCGCGTCATTGATCCTTACACTCTACAGGCACTCGTGGATGCATCTCAATGAAACAAAAAGTATGACAATGGTCTAGCCATCCTGGATTCGTGTGCTGCTCTCTTTTTATTCGGAGTCCCCTGCTGAGGACTCCCCATCGACAATTAGAGGACCTTCGTGAAGAACCAGAAGAACGAGTACTTCATTATCGACGTACGACAAGGCTCGGACATCCTACTGCGGGACTATCGAGTTTTCTTCCAGTGCGTCAAGCTCAAGCGCTGTCAGATCACGTCGTGCTATGAACGCAGAGCCACTCAAGGCGTGGTTGTTAGCAGCCTCACCGGACGCTGGACAAAAGGTGGCGCGATGATGCGGGTCGTTACGCAGGAGTGCGCAACCTTCTGTTTCCCTGCCAATGCCATCCACATGCAGCTCGGGATCGATGTCGACCACTCGAACATGGTCAAATTCAGCGACGGCTGCGATCATTGATACACCACAGTACGCGACAGACTATCGAAGTGTGTCCGGAACGCTCCGGGTATCGTCGAAGCACGTTTGCAAAGCGCCGCGAGGGGAAATCATGATGGTATGTACGAATACTGGCAATACTTCCCAGCTTGAATACAGGCTAGTGAACTGCGAGAAAGGGCAAGGCGGAATGATAATCAAGCTGGGACAAGGCGGCCGGAGGGGCCCACGTTTGCTTTCCGGGTATGTGCTACCGATGCTGATACACTTTACTAGGGTCCGGGAGTTCTGATATACTTGAATGGATATCCACGATTCCATACCTAAGTCACCATAAGCGTATCAGCGAAGGGCGCCATAAAGGTACTGGCGAGTGGCTCTTTTAAAGGGAGGAGTACTGTGATTGGAGATCATCGGATGTTTCGATGTTGTTGCTTCTACGGGGCGATTCGTAAGTTTCCGTGTGCCTCTTCATCAGGAAGTACTCTCGTCTTATCAATCCGTCTAGCTGGAGCCGGCAAAACATACCTTGCACCAACAGTCATCGACTCTTTGCAGGGTTCGACGTCAGAGAAATTAGGGTACTTTCACTGCCATCGAGCCGAAGAAAATTGCCGACAACCCGAGAGTATCCTGAACACGCTTATCCATCAGTTTGTTCCGACGGAAAAAAACCAACTTTCGACGCCGATCGTCGATATCTACCATAAGCGAGAACAGCAAGGACAAACGTCTTCGCGACTGAGCTTTATGGAAAGCCTGGAGCTCCTTGTTCAACTCACTGATATCCATCCCCAGGCCACGATCTGCATTGATGCTTTGGACGAAGTCGAATACGGAATCCCGTTGCAGTTGTTGACGTCGCTGAAGCACGTCGTAGAGCGATCAAAGAACTTAGTCAAGATCTTTGCGACGACTGGAATGGACACCGACATCGTCCGGCAGTTTGAGATGTTTCCCAGAATTGACTTGCAACCTGACGACAACGTCACCGACATCAAGCGGTTCGTCGAATCGAAAGTTCAAAGCATTATCGACGACAGGCTACTGCTTGATGGCAAAGTTGACAGTGAGCGCAAAGCTGAAATACGCGAGGTCTTTTGTAAACGATCAAAGGGAATGTAAGCGGGCCACGACGACTCCAGATACTGATGACTGTTACTGATTCGTCGACAGATTTCAGCTTGCCGCGCTTGACATCACCGAGTTTTTCTGCGACATGGTCACACCAAGGGATGTAAGGCGTAGTCTGACGTCCCTTCCTACCACCTTGACGGAGGCCTACGGAGAAATATACAAGCGCATTCTGTCCCAGAAAGGCAGCGCTGCTCGACTAGCACTGAACGAATTCTGATGGATTCAATATTCATACGAACCAGTTCGATCTGAGACCTTGCTTGATGCAATCACGGTCGAGATTGACGACTCGGGAGAATTCTCGCATGCCGCGGTGCAGGCGAATGCCTTATTGAAGGTTTGCCAGAGCCTGGTCGTTCGGGACGAAGGTCTGAATGTTTTCTGGTTTGCACATCTTTCCGTGGATGAGTACTTGGAGACCCAACTGCCCACGGTTGATTCTCATGCGGAAATCTCGAAAGTCTGCCTTTCATTACTCTGCAAATCCAGCTCTTGGGACGACTATGACACAAATCACCAAGGAAGCGCAGTATGACGACCGACACCTGTTGTTATACTCGGCAGTCTTCTAGCCGTGGCATATCGCTCGTTGTCACGATGCAAGCAGCAGCAGTCATATCTTTACACTTCTCTGGGATATATTCGAATCGGGGAATAGCCATCAGCGATGGCACCGCTATCACGTTTTGTGTATCCACGTCAACTACCCAAGAGACATTTCCTAGCAGCGATCGAGAGCTCTGCAGAAAACTAGTTGCGATGTACTTTTCACCATCTGCGTGTATGGGTTAGCGCAGAAGTTGGTCGCCATATTCGATTCCGACTTACCAAAGACGGCCCGCATAGATCAACTACTTCATCAGCCATTCTTTTTTCGGGGACCTCGACGTTGCCGGAATGCTCATCGACCGGGGAGCCGACATTTCGATCGTCGATAAATGGGGACAGATGCCTCTGCACATAGCCTCGTACCGAGGGAACGAAGCAGCAGTGTTCTACATAGTCCAGTCCGTCCGTCCTGGGCCTCGGACCGGACTGGACTGTATCTCGGCAGTCCGTCCGGGAGCTGTGTTTGGACGGACTAATCCAAAAGGTTTTGAGGTCAGGACGGACTGCAGTAGACTACAGTCGACTACAGTCCAATGCCAAGAGATGGAGAAAAATGTTTTCGTTCAGTAATCGCAAAATCACGGCCAACTAAGACGGAATAGAAAGCGAATGGAAAACGTCACGTGATGGAAAGATTCCACACTAGAATGTCACGTCATAGGGAAGAGTTTTTTCTTGCTTTAGTTTGGCGTAATCTCGCGATTTCTAGAAGAAAAATATTTTTTTCATTTCTTGGCATTGGACTGCAGTCCCCTCCATTACTCGGGATCCATGGATGAGACGGACGCCTCTACACTTGGCTTTATATGCGGAATACGAGACAGTAATCCGACTGCTTATCGACTGGGGAGCCGACGTCTCGGCCGTCAATCAAGACGGATAGACGCCTCTGCACCGTGCCTCGGAGACAAGACATCAGACAGGAGCCCAACAGGACCATCCTGTACTAACATACTACCACTCGTGATTGATCCTTGTCTTCATCCTCAGTTGATACACGGTGTTTGGGATCTCAGGATTTATATTTGGCGATCGAGTCGCGTGTGATATATCTGCTCGCCGATTGGACACACGAGCTAAGACGTTCGAATAAACCCAAAGAGTGGCAGTTGAAATCGGTCTGGCGAGGAACTGAGGGGAAAACTGGTTGTCCTGCAAGCTAGAGGTGGAACCTGAAAATGCTTTCTCAATTCTTGAAACTGAAGTACGGACATGGGATATTGTCAAGCTCGAAAGAAGGTAAACGAACTTGAGGGGAGAAGAAGGGGAGGCAAATTCCAGGAATAAGAGCGATAAGTCATGACTAGCAAGACGAGTGATCCGGCATGAGTCTTGGGCGAGCCAGTTCTAATGATTACGACCACTGCACATGAACGTAGGCGAGAAATGTGTCAATTTAACTGCCTTCTTTTCCTCCCTTCTGTACTACCGACGACCCTGCTGCTCCGCCGCCAATAAACCACCTCCAGCCTCCCGCGGGCAACTGGCACTCTCCGACTTCTCCCTCCTCAGTTACCAAACCACCAGACGAATCCACAACATGACGACCCTTTCGGCGGCAACTCAGACCAGCTTCACCCAGAAAGAGAACGTCAAGTCTCAAGTTGGTAAGCTTGAATAGCTATCCTTAGAAAAATATTGCCACCGTGGTCAAGAAGTAAAGCTGACCATCCATCCTAGTTGCGGTTATTCGCCGATTCTTCTTCGGTGCAGACATCTCCAGCCGTCACCACAATGACATTGAGATGGGTTCCGTCAACGCTGTAGTATTTTCTCGCGGCCTCGTCATCCTTTCCAGCGCTAGATCACCTCTAACGTACGCACCAAGGGCCCCCGCTTTCGCAACAAGCAGACCTTGCATTCGAGACTCCCGTGTATCGCGACCACGATCTTCTGCCTCGTTATGATGTTTGGGGTGGGTTCGGTCATTGTTCACTTTACCGTGAAAGGATAGTGGAGTCGGATCGGATGGTGTGAAGAATCGGGCGTTTGAATCCGAATCTTGTTTCATCTTACATCGTCCTTACAGTGAATACTGCACAGAACATCCTTATGTGTCCTCGCAATTGTGAATAGGCGATAGAGTAGGAGTAGATGTGAGGTTGGTTCCACTGATTCCTCTAGCTTCGTGATGCCATCACTTTACAGCACCGTTCCTGGGAGGTGAAGTCGTGAATTCCGCATTCACATGTATGATTTCTCGAAGGTTCAATCCAACCGCTAGTGTCATTCTGCCACCGCCTTCTTCCACGTTGTATGAATTTAGTAGACCTCGAATTTTGCATAAATACATGACTATTAACAGCGGGGTTGATCTTGTTGTCTTGGTATTGTGGCTGCCATACACGTTTTTCGGTGAACTTGCATCGAGTCGCGCTTCATGGCGGAGATCCCGTGTAACGAATGGCGCTTAACTACCTTCAGTTACCGAGCTACGTAGAGTAGCATGCGCACACGCGCTGTAGAAAATGACCTCACGATAAGTGGGTGATGTTGAAACTTGCATCTAAGATTAGGGCTTTGGGGACAGCTTCATACCAGTGGCGGTTTTAAAGCACCCCCAACTGTTGCCTTCCTCTCCACTTTCTGCCGACAGCGTTCTCTCTCCTTTCCTTAAAATATCACCCTCACCCTCTTCAGAATAAACCATAACATCATAACCACCACTCATATCCGCATCAATGGCGATTTTTTGCGTCATCATCAAAGCCCACTTGTGTATGCATACCTGATCCTTGCCCCCATCGACACAGCGTCGGCACAAGCTAATTACATGCAAACTGGCATGCTTCACCCATAAGCCTCGGCGATGGCGATTATCAAGAAAGAGCCGCGCTATTTCCGTGGCATGTCTGTGCGCGACATCGAGGCCGGTGGAGGCTACAGGTCGTCGAACCAGAGGCGTTACCCTAATTCATTCTCTGTCGTATGCTCCATTCCACTTCCAGTGCCGGCTGTATCTACGAACTAACCGTTTGACTGAACGACAGATCGATTACCATTATGTGAATCAAGCCTGCTACATGGATGGTCAGCCAGATGGCATTCCTGGATGTCGAGTAGTAGGTTCCCATCATCTTCCGTCTCCTCTGGGTTCATGCTGACGAGCAAAGCCCCGCCCCGGATTCTTCATTCGCCACATGGTCCACGTGATGGCGTTGGTGATTTTCCTGGTCATCGTCACTGCCATTGTCGTGACCATCCTCGTCTTCGGGCACAAAGACTAGCCATTGCGGTGTTTGTTCCTACCTCTACGAGGGTAGGCGTTGGATCGAGGTTACTGGGCTAGATATGCGCGTATTTCTGCGGGGGTAGCGTTACTAGAACATCACTAAATCTTGACGAAATTGCATGAAGTAAGGGAACCAGTAGTCTTCTTGAGATGGGGCTTGACGTATTTCTTCGTTTGGCCGATTGTTCCTTGCCTTGACCATTGTGATATGTAATAATGCAACGTCCAGAGTGTGGTGTACGTCTTACCGCGCTCGTCATGGTTTAGTCGGTCGAACCCCTTTGGGCTTTAGAGGCTTTGGACAATGGAATCCCTGGCCACATACCTGTACCATCCCTCACAATACCACCGATATGAGCGTCGTTTCTATCCTTGTGCTCCTCGTACGCCTGGTGGTCCTCCATCTCCTCTGGCCACGTAGATCTCACTGACTGCGCCTGTGATCGGACTGTCATCGCTCTCCCCCGCAACGTTTACATGCCCGTGTCGGCAATATAAACGTCAATCCTGAAGCTTCTTGCCATGGATAGGAAATCGCATCATGCTCATGTGATCCAAAATCCAATTTACTTTTGTATAGAAATTGGTTTCAATTGCTGTTCCCTGGGTGCCGCCGAGCATAGGAACTCGTCGGTTGCCGCGTATTGCAAACCTATGCAACCGCGAGCCTTCAGGACCTAGAGACTTCAAGCCTTAGGAATGTCTAAGCCTGACAAAGAGTATTTTCTTTTTACCACGGCCATGATCTTCGTCAAGGCTAATGGCTTCCACTCGTCGCCGCCGCCAATATTCTCTTGCTTAGTACCAACCTCGGGAGTGGCCATTTCGTGTCGTTGCAGAAACAATTGGTGTCCTAGAGTTCTCACAGAGAGCGGTGAAAGCAATGTCCTTGGGACGGAGCGGTGTAGGCACTGCCTGCGAAAGGATGAAATGAAGGAGGACTCCTGTTGGCGGGAGGAAGCGAATCTGTTTGGTAGGGAGCATCAACGTTGGCGAGTCCAACGAAATCGACTGCGTCTTAGTCGTCTCCGTCTTGGTCGCCGGCTTCTTGTTCTTCGTCTCTCCCTTTGATCATCTACCGACTGATGTAGTGCCGTTGGGGGCCATTGCAGACTGACATTCACATCGTTTACCCAAAGCGTCAAGTATCTTTAAGTTATCAGGTCAAAATGCACTTGGAGCCATAATGTTTTGCTGAAAAACGATAATTGCAATGGAGAATCGAGAGGAGGTCATACCCTACACATGCTTCCAAGTTCCTACTCAGTTGAAACTAGAGCCTGCGCTTCGCCAATGCGTTTCTGAAATAATAATAACCCGCAACTGCCGGTGGATAGCACAACATATTACTTCGTTACCGATTAATATCCGAGACTGGAGCTCGCCGCTACCGTTTTTAAGTCTCTTGTTTCTTTGTTTTGGTTTGGTGGTGTCGTATTATCGGTGTGTCGAAATATTGATGGTGAGGTCGGTACGAGAAGATTGATGATGGGAAAGGAAGAAGAAGTCGAATAACGGGAGGGGGGGTGGGGGCTACCAACAGAATTTTCAGAGTCGTCAAACAGGCTCAGGGGAGAGACACGTGCTGAAAGTAGGAATGGGGACGGTGTGAAGGTTTAATATCGTGAGAGACTCTGTGAAATACAGCTGCACAGCCACAAATCCGCACACCGGTGCCGCTGCGTGGCGCCACGCCGCTTGCATTATCCCAGTGTCCCAGTCAATTCCGGGCCCTGTAGGGTATCCGTCCTCATTTCTCCAGCCCGGAAGACTGTAGTCCTTGGTCTCCTCGTCCCGACTGATTCCGTCCCGGACGGGGCAACCTCAAAGACGGACGGGACGGACGGTTGACTGCCCTGGCACATACACATGAGTTCTAGCCTGCCGGGTAAAACTAGTATTCTATAAATGGACCGGCCACCAGACCAAGTGACCGGCCTTCTGCCGAAGTGACTAGATATACGAGGTGATCGGACTGTGCGGCAATTTCTTACGTTTTCACTAGGCAAAATTTTCCGGATATATAGCCGGCACCATACACTTAGTCGCCAACCGTTTCCACACTAAAGGTTTCCGGGCCCCGCGCTTTTTGGACCTGGGACGGAGCCCCAATCGTTCGGCCAAATCCTCGGCCCAGACGGGACGGCGTCGCCGGGCCCCAATAGTCTTCCGTCAGAACGGACTATTCCCAGGCCTGCTGCTGCCTACGACCACTGTTGTGAGCTCGATGTGGGTTTTCTGTTGCTGGTCACTCAGCTCCTCCAAAGAATCATAACGAACTAGAGACCCTAACAAGGAAATAGGGCTACAAAGATGTGAGAAATATGGTGATATAAAGGAATATGGTTAGATTCTAGGCGCTCAGAGAAGACCACAGGCGAGTCGGAAGACCGCCGGCTGGCGGGAAGACCACCAGCAGGTCGGCAGACTACCGGCGCCGGAGGACTCTCGGTGCCGGCAGGACATCTGGATAGTTTGTATATATAGATGTCTCTTCTGCTTGTAATATTGTTAGTACAATCGATCATCTATCTTCATTCAACAAATTGCTTATGAGCAAATGACCTGCGCAGCGTTGACCGAGTGATGAAGCGACAGACCATATCACGTGGACGGCGCGGGTTGTAACTAACCTAGGGAACTAGCGGTTTGAAAGAATACAGAAACAAGAGCAAATTTCTGTAAGAGGGTTAATCACAAGCGTAGATGCCAAGCTTTAACAATATTTCATCTCTTCACCCACCCAGTTCCCAGCCTCAGTTTCCTCTACACCAACACCCAACAACCCCACCATGACGCCTGCCTCCCGGCTCTCCGCCACCCTGTTTGACCCTTTGCACAATCCGATTTATGACGTTACGATCCTTAGTAATCAGCCTCGCTATGCTGCGTCCCAGGCTGAAGTCGTCAGTGTGCGGCGTTCTTAAAAACCGAAACTAACTGCAAGACGCTAGTCGAGGATCCATCTCCCGAGGGCTCCTCCGTGGTCCCCCGCAGCCACCCCGTCTACTCCCAGAATGGCTCTGCCGAAATTCCCGAGTTAAAATTGATGAGTAAGCATACCTGACAGCTTCCGCTCCATCCATACACACATATCCTGCCGGAACGCAATGCTAACACCAACCGTTAGTCAGAGACACGTTTCTTCCGGGTGGTACTCCAAACCGTACTGGAGTTTTGCGTTGCAACGACTCCAACGGAGCTTCCGCTGCTCTCTGCTACGACTCCAAGACTGCGGCTTTTCCTCCTCGCCGCATCATCTCGGCCGTATGCTACTCTTCCCTGTCTCCGCCACCACTCTGAACTGAACTGACGATTGAATTCAGCGTGTCGCAACCAAGCTCATGTGCCGCCATTACCTCGCCCTTTTCTGGATTGTGCTTGCTACTTCTGGCGTTGCCGTTATAGGGGCGCTAGTCTACCTCAACTTCTAGTGTGTGCATCAGCCGTCCAAAGAAGATGCGGGACTGATAGAAATCTGAAAGAGAATACAAATCCGATGGTTTAGGGTCGAATGTTGATATTTGGTAGTTCCGTGCAGCGATGTGACTTTTTCGATGGTCTAGAATGTCTGCGATTGCTGATTAGGACCAGGGACGAATAGATAGACTGACTATATTGTATCAATTCTCATTCTTCTCATCGGGCTAGAAACGCATTTCATACAAATGCTCGTCCAGGCCAAGAAACACTAATCTTACGTATGAAATATCCACGACGTTTGGTTTCTAATACCCGCACGGCCCGTCAAGGCCCGTCGGTGACATATACAACAGACCGTACATACACTACAGAGCCTTCGGGCTCTTGCGCCTTCCGACGGACATCTCAAAAGTTTACAGTTTGCATCACTCGCTGAATACTGTCGTATCTCACTTGCTAGGAAAGAATGCTGTCGCCATGTTTGGCAATATGTTTTCTGTGGTTATCTCGAACCTTGGCCTCCGATATGAAAGATAATTGTATTTTAATTGTTTTCCCTCCCGTTCAGGGAATAATATGTGCGCCAACCGTAAGAGAGAGAGAGAGAGAGAGAGAGATCTTCCTTTTTATTTCGCATGCAACCTAAGAATCTAGACTATGGCGAACCGTCGCACTCCTTTCCTGCCCACTCTGGCCGGCCGGGGGTTGAGACCCCGTTACCAGACAGCACGATGTAGCGCCGCTGCCTGCCTGCCAAACAAATAAAAAAGGAAATCGCACCAAGAGAATATCACCACATATATTTCTTTCCTACCTACTTGCACCGGCCGCAGAACAGTACCCTGCCGGAGTGTGCCACCCGTACATAAACAGATTTGGCAAATTACTTCATAGTCGAGTGATTACCTGTGCCTAGGAGTAATCTAATCTATCCCTCATCTAATCCTATCATATTACATCTTGTCGCACATCTCGGGTTGTCAGACCACACTCACGGAAGACAGTTATAGTTATTTGCATGATATCAAAAAGGATCGGTTTCTGTTGATCGGGAGGCTTAGGCTTCTGTGGCTGCTGGAAATTTACGTTAAAGCCTACCAAGGTTCGATTTGTGGAAAATACTAGGCGCGGATTGAATTCATGCTGTAGATGGTTCCATCTACGTTGGAACGTCCATTCCATCCACGCCATACTACTTCCTTCGATGTGAGATTTGGGACTCCTGTGACGCAGCTCTTCTAACCTCGTATCTACCTAAATATCCCGGCCGTGCTCTTCACTCTTCACGGGTTTTCATGCACACACACGCCAGACGGAGTTGTCCTAAATGAATGAGGCAAGAATAGGAGAATGCACAGAGAGAGGAACGGAAAGAATGGCATTGAGGTTACAAGAACAAAAGACGGCGAATCAGGGAAGAAGACAGAAATTGAAGATCTCTGGACTCTCGAGAAACATTTCGTTCATTGAAGCGATGGAATCTATGGCGGTCAGTAAACACAGAACAGCTGTGCAAAAGGAGTACATACTGGATCCTCCTGGCCCCGATGACAGACAGACTACCACTGAATATCCTCGAAACGCCATTCGTTGCTCATCATGTGCGCGAAGCGCTCCGAGACTTCATCCACCCAGGTCTCTTCTTGATTCTTGATGCGCATGGCCATCTCCGCCAGACAATTGACACACGGATCCCTAGCCCCCGGTATCTCGATCCAGGGAAAGGTGCGACGCAAGATGTCTTGGGTTCTCTTTAGGCAGTGGGGTTGTAGGTAAGGGGCGGGCTCAGCGCAAGATGCTGTTTCCTCCCTCCAGAGAACCGTCTTGCATGCGTAGTTGGTCTTCTGCGAGGCCATATATTCCCAATGGCGCGTACGCAGCTCTTTTCTCATCCGATAAGCTGTCTGACTGGCGTCTGGATTGGCCAGGTGTTGCATCGCGAGACGGCGTGCGTGCGCTTTGCGCAGAAGGTAACCGTAGTCGGCTAGTTCAGCTTGACGCTGCAGACTGCGTGGATTGACGAAGTGACGACTGCGGGCTGGAGGTGATTTCTTTTGCGTACGTTGCTCGGTTTCGGTCTGGTGACCTTGTTGGGAAGACAGGCAGAAATATTCCGGGGTCTGGATGGTGATTTCATCGAACGTGTAGAACGATCTCTCATATCCTTGCTGCTGTCGCTGGCGTTCACGCATAGCACCCAGTGCTACCGCTCCCTCGACCGTTAACTCGACACCGAGACGACGTACGTCCTCCGTCCACTCAGTAAATATGTGTTCGACCATTTGCTTGTGTCGTAACAGACTCTGTTCCGTCACGGTTGGACGCCCGCTCTGTCGGTAAGTTCTGTTCGTACAGTGCTCGACTCCGATGGCGTGGCCATGTTTGCAAAGTCGAACGTTCGCCGCGTTGTTGGTGGGCTGCAAGAGACGTCTATTAATTAATATGTGGTAAGTCGGGTCTATTGAACAGGTACTTTACTGACCGGTTGGTGCGCTGTCTGGTTTGCTTGCAGCTGGTTTCCGGGAGCTACATGGGTAGCTACGGTTCTATCCATGTGCAGGATACTTAGACGTAGCGCGTCGACTTCACTCACGTGCTCGACAGTAGGATGAATTAGTGCGGCTGTCGTCGGCATCTGTACGTGAGCGAGATGGTAGGCTTCCTCTCTCCTCTGGTGTTCCTCGCGAGCGAGACGGCGTGCTTCCTGTCTCCTCCAGTATTCGACAGCGAGTCGGCGGGAATCGTCACTCCGCACAATGAAACCGTAGTCGTTCAGCTCCATCTGCCTCAACCGCTCTCGTCCCGTGAGAACTCGGCGACCGCTTAGTCGGGCGTATGTGGACATTCCGTAGTCGGCTCCGGTGACGTTGCCTCCGTTAGGATTCCTCGGATGCTGATGGTTTCCGGGAGCAGGATGGTGTTCCTGATCGTGCGTTCCACTTCCGTTACCGCTGCCGCTATCCATGACTGGCATTCTTCCCTGGATCTTGGATTGTTGGTCGCTTGGTCGAGGTAGGATAGTTTCCGAGAGAGATGCGGCTTCGCTTGTGCTGGTGTTTGGATGCGCGGTCGAGGCGACGATACAGGGAAAGAGGATGTAGGAAGGGTGTTTTGAATCGTAGTCAAAGAGATGACCGGGTGATGTAAGTAATTGTGTATGATTCCGGAAGATATCTTGGTGGAAACAAGGTGGATCGATGTCTGCTTTTGATGTGGTAGCAAGAGGAGGAGTCGGGTTAAAGATCGCAGACGGTTGCGAGGGGTAGGAGGGTGTGGGTCTTTTGAAGGACGTGGATACCCTCCCAGAAATTCAATTTCTGATTTCAACTCCTCGTACTCCAGTCTTCCCAGGACCGACGTTCAGTAGTTCATCCACATCCATTAAATGACGGTTCCACTATCACCGATGATCGTTTAGAACCGATCTCCACTCAGCTCGGACAGCAAATTCTCAAATTATCGTGCTCACGGTGATCCGTTTCTCTGAAATGTTGCATCCGTGATCCAGCTTGGTTTCGGCTGCTCACAACACATTTTCTACTCGAATAGCGTGTAGAATATTCGACCAACTTTGCGACCGAATAGCATGCAGGATGTTCGACACGATTCCTCTTTGAATAGTGTGCAGGATATACCATACAGATTCTGTTCGAATAACGTGCAGGATATTCGTCACAGTTTCGGATCGAATAAGTTGCTCAGGAGTCAGCATATTGTGCACAGACATCTACGTCTTTGTTTTGGTATCTACAGCCCGGCCATCATCACACACAGACCGTCCATCGCTGTGTGTCGCTGTAGTATGTGTGAAGCCCTGCTATATGCAACGTCTCGCACGCTCTGCAGTTGCCACTCATACCGTCACAAATGTGACTCCCGCATACCGGCGGATGAAAGTTTTAACTTTCCATAGCCCGCCCAGCCGCCATATGCCATTTACATAGGAAGACTACCATATGACATCGAGACATTTATTCAGGTGACATTCAGGAGTTCCTGCTTCTCGAAAATCTGCGATTTAGCTTTCCCCATACGCTCAACGGCAAAAATAGCGAGTGCATGAATATGACCGTGTGAGAGGTTACGAAGTTGACATTCACTATTTTCCACGATCCCCATCCCGTTAGCCATGCTCTAGAAAGGCTTTAGGTGAAGAGTTTCATTACAACTCTCTCTCGTGATACCTCACACCTCTCACAGCCAACATGCTTGCGATGTCGGTTTGGAACGAGGAGAGTCTTGTCGATTTCTGTAGTTTCTGGGTACTACTAGTGTGGCAGGTAAAGAATGCCATGTGCAACACTTTTTGAAGGATGAATGTCAAACTGCAAGCTTCATCTACGTTTAGAAAACCTCCTCCCTCTCGCCAACTTTACACACCATCCTTCCCCCAACCACCAGCCGAACGAAACCTACTACATCACCACCTTTCAGAACGATATCTCCTCCTGCCCTAGCACACTTCCTATGCTTCTCCATCGTCGACCTTGAGAACCTCTTCTCCCCCTGCAGCACTTCATACTACAGTTTAACCCCTTTTGTTTTCTACAAAGCCTTGATTCAACCTACTTAGATATTCTCGAAAGATGAACAACAATCAGTCGCAGGGGTTTTATTCGATAGAAACTAACCTCTTCATCGTGGCACCGTGGCTCGCGGCACCTGGTGTTCCCACTTCAGATGCAGATCGTATTCTTCCGGGATGTGTAAGATTCGTCACAAGAGCTGGTGGTCCTGCCGATCTCGTCTACGAAGGGATTCCGCTCTTCGGTCCCGTCCCGAATGCTCCTGCCCCGGCTCCAACACCCACACCCAACGACCCAGGTAAGCTCTTTACCACCCACCAGGCGAGCAACTGCGAGGCCGCGTACATCGTGCATAGCGTCAGAGGCAAGTTCATGTATCCATTCAGTGCTAATCAGATGTGCAGTACTCGCCCACAATGTCCCGGCTGATCATGCTCCGAACCCCGCTCCAATGGCCGCACCCAACGTCCCAGGTAAGCTCTTCACCACTCACCAACGGAACAACGGCGAGGCCGCGTACATCGTGCGGAGCTTCAGAGGTAAGGTCATGTATCCGTTCGGTGCTAATCAGATGTGCAAAACAGCTCTGGCCGCTCACGTCCTGGCTGCTCTTGCCCCCGCTCCAACCGTGGCACCCAACGCCCCAGGTAAGCTATTCAACACTCACCAGGACAGCAACAATGAGGCCACGTACACCGCCCCGAGCTTCATAGGCCAGTTCATGTATCCTTGCGATGTTAATCAAATGTGCAAAACAGCTCCCGCCGCACCCGTTCCCGCCGCCATTCCACCAATTCGAGCCGCCACACTCAACGCCCTGCTTGGTAAGCTCATCACCACCCACCGGGAGAACAACGGCGAGGCCGGGTACATCTCGCTGAGCTTCAGTGGCATGTTCATGTTTCCGGTCAGTGCTAATCAGATGTGCAAAACAGCTGTGTCTTTCCTCCAGCGCCCGTACCCTGACCCCGACACCCTCAACGTCAAGAAGCTGAGGGTGTTCTGTACCGTCCACAACATCGGCCTGAAAAGGCGCGATTTGAGGGAGGACATCGTGGGGAAGGTGCGGGAATGGTTGGAGGATCACTAGAGCAGCATCAAATCCGCAATGGATGAACGAGGGACCCGGAGGGAAAGGTAAAACCAGGAGGAACAAGAAAATAGGTGCGGGAGCTTTGGTCAGGAGCATGTGGCGGACGCCGAATAAGACTAGGAGATTGAAAATGCGGCGTAAGTAGATTGGGGTAGATAGATAATTCAATGGCCAAATCACGAAACTACGTGTTCGCGGACCAGCGGTCCAGAGATGCGATCCTTGAGTTTGTAGGAACGACGGATATGGGAGGGAAGCTCTGCCAGATTTGGACGACGAGGAGGAGGGGAGTGAAAAATCGGCGGCAGAGCAAGAGTGTTCAGCAGGACACTGTTTCCGGGGCCGGTGCAGGGAGGTGAGGAGCGATACATGATTGTCAGGTCTTGCAATATCCTACGTATTTGTGTGGTTGGAAGCGGCGTCACATCCTGCTGTCCGGCCCGAGTTGGGAGGAAATGAGTGCGACGGTTCGCCATAGTCTAGATGGGCTGCATGCGAAATGGTTTGAAGAGCACAATCTCTATCGCAACCCACGTGGTGGCACGCACCGTCCACCAGCGTTCACCTCTATTCCGCCGACAAATAGACAAGCTCCCAGCATCGTCCGTAGTCCATCCATCTTCGATGAGTGGCACATACACGACCAGATGGGCGATAGGTCACTGATCGATTGATTGAGTGATTGTTCATACAGCATGGAACCTGAAGGTTATGGCCGATAGAGATATCTACAATACAACATTGCAACAAAGATATTCCATCACCAAATCCATACAGAAATGACAAGCTAAATCCCTTCGCCTCGCAATATTTTACGGTGTGCCTCCGAACAGGCTCGGGTTGTCGGTTTTGCGCTGTAGCGGCGCGTCGTAGCCCTCCTCTTCTCTAAAAGGTACCTCCACTCGGTACTACCCTCAACATACCGAGTCTAGCGTACACCGCATGGTGCACGAAAGGAATTGTCGTCTCGGGGTTTGCGTAGCTGTCAAGGCCGGGGCCCGATGAATAGCAGTGAAGATATTTGGATCGAAGGCGGGATTGGAAAAATGCCGGTTGTCATGGTCGACGTTGTCCTGGGCCAAGCCCTGAGCTCTCCCCTGGAGTTCACTCTCCTCCCCGCCGTCGCCGTACCGCCTGCTAAATGTCGGTGATCTGGTTTAATGTCCTTGGGCATCAATAGACCGAGTGGGGACGGACGGATGTCGTAGGACGGACGGATAGTATGGGACGGAAGGATATCGTGGGACTTAGTTTTTTCCTACTATGTAACTCTTGAAATACTCTCTCTGTTGTCCGCTCTCTTTGTTCGGTATCTAGCAATCACATCTCCATCTTTGTCTCACTCGTTCGTCTGCTCACATCCGCTTGAAAAAACTAAACAGGCGTTCCTAGAGTGATAAAATTGATGATGATTTGCGGGGAAGCGATAGTGAGACTCCTTCAGAGGCTCGGACGTAGCACCCGTGGTGGTGCAGTTCTCCAGTCAGTGACCGAGGCTCAATTGATGTCTATCGCTTCAAGCTCATCGTCGTCGAATTCGTCGGTTGGAACACTCAATCCGCTGTCGGAAATAGTGGACACACACGACAGATGAATCCTGAAGCCGAAGTGGGTGGGGCATTTGGTGTGCCGGCGATAGGTCACTGGGGCGCTGGATCAATGTTGGGATCATCGACCGAAACTCGTCTGCTCGCGACAGCAGCGTTGGGACACCAGGCGCCCCCTCACTGCATGATGAAAAGGGTGATAGAACAAAAACAATTCTCGGAGATCACCGTCCAAGACATCTACTCCATAGCTCTGACTTCTCCGCTGCAGCCTTGTTCCAAGATTGGCAAAACCCGTCACCTTAGCCGAGAGACTTTCTTTTTCCACGCCCGGGGTCCCGACTCCCGACATACGCTTAGCGAGCTGGCTTCCAGTGCCCCCCGCACCGTCCGCGCTCACCACGACGTCACCGCCACAATGCCCCACGAAATAATCGACTCGCACATCCACCTCTTCACCGCGTCCGACCTGCCGCACCTATCATGGATGACCCCGTCGAATTCGCTTAACGCCCCGCACTCCGTCGCGGAATACACCGTCGCATGCGATACCGCCCTTACAGACGGCTCTGATACCTCCGCTGCCAGCCCAGACCGCACTTCCATCGCAGGGTTCATCTTCGTCGAGACCGACCGTGCGTACACGCTTCCGCTCGAAGCGACCGAGGAATGTCTTTCCCAGCCGCTTGCCGAGCTCAGATTCGCGGCCGCACTGGAGGGCTGCTTGGCTGTTGTACCGTTTGCGCCCGTAACGCTCGGTAGAGACGGGATGGAGAAGTGGTGGACCATGGTGGCAGAGTCCGACAGGAAACGGGTGTGTGGAGTTAGGTACCTGTTCCAGGATAAGCCCGCGGGTACGATGCTGCCGGCAAACGTGGAGCAGGGAGTGAAGTGGGTGCTCGAGAAGGGGTTGGCGTTCGATCTAGGCGTGGACTTTCATCGTGGCGGAGAGTGGCAGAAGCACGAAGCGCTGCGGATGTTGAAGGGAGTGTTCGAAGGGGCGAGCGACAAAGGCGGCTGGATCGTGTTGAGTGCGCATTCCCTTCGCACCTTTGGGAGAGGGAACATGCTGATATGGTGTGTGGATAGATCACATGGGCAAGCCTGACATGACCATTCCTAGCGAGGCGGCGACATCGCATCCCACATTCATCGCATGGAAGGCCCATCTCACCCGGATCGCGGCTTTCCCGCGGGTGGCAGTGAAGATGTCGGGCGTCTTTTCCGAGCTCGATACGTCCGCCGGGATGTGGGAACCGGAAACACTGGAACAACAGGTTCTTCCCTGGGTAACCGCCGTCTTCGAGATCTTTGGAGCCGATAGGGTGATGTGGGCGAGTGACTGGCCGGTCTGTAACATCGGGTATGGAGGCAAGGAGGGGGCTCACCCGCAGTACGCATGGAGCTGTTGGCGGCAGGCGACATTTGGCATTCTGGGGAGGCTGGTTGCACGAAAGAAGCTCACCGAGAAGGAGGCGAAGGATGTGTGGGGTGCCGTTGCTAGGAAGGTTTATCGTCTAACATGAGCGGGAAGTTACAAATGAAAGCTACTGCTGTTAACCGGAATTCAACATATTGTATTCCCTCGCGTGTACCACGATTTGGGACCTTACCAATGATAACGGAGGATCGCGTACGTGTGTGACCATAACAGCCACTTGTGACCGCAGTTCTTGAGTCTTCGTACCTGACAATTCTAGCCCTCGTGCTACGCGGATACAAACATGAGTGTAAATTCTCCAACGTGCATATAAACGCAACGTTTCCTAAAACCTAATTTTCACCGCAGCCGATCTAGAACCCCAATCCTTTATATAACCTCCCTCCGAGCACTTTCAGTGCGGAATATCCTCACAGCTCCACCGCCGCCAATCCCACATCCCCACAACCTCCAGTATGCTCTTCCCCGTCCTCACCGCCCTCCTTCTCACCCTCCCAACCATCACGGCGCAATGCATCCCCAAATCCCACCCAGTTTCAAACACGATCTCGACACCCTTCGCCATTGAAGTACACAACGCCTCCTACCCAGATCTCCACGACCGCCGCCTCAACTTCTGGAAAGCCGGTGGCGGCGATAACCACCTATACCTCTCTCCCGCCGGCGACGCCGTGAGCAACCACACGCTCGTCGCCGGCGTGCTGACGAACTCGGAGTGGTGGTTCAACGGCGGCGTGACAATTCGCGCGGTGATCAATGGCGAGGTTCCTCCACCCCTGCCCTCATTCCGTTCTTTCCCTCCTATCCCACGCAGTAGGCTGATCACTGTGGAAGCTAGTACACCGCATACGACAACACGACCAAGATCTTCATGACACAGCGCGGCGATCCGCGCGCGTTCTTCAACGTCTTTGATGGCTGCAGTCCCACCACTGGCGCACCGCAGAAGCTGTTGAAGCTTGCGAATGGCGGCGATGTTTGCGTGAGGCTGGCGAGCGGGGAGAGGTATGAGTTTAGGTACTCGGGGAAGGGGAATAAGAAAGGTACGTGTCAATCCGAGCAGACGCGCGGGTAGGGACGACGGGAGAGGCAAGGGGTGGATGCTGACCGGAGCCGGGGAGGACAGCGGCCGCGGGGTATGGGTGTGTTACGGTGACTTTGGGGGTGGTGCCGTCGTAGCGGAGGCAGCGGCGGCGAGGAACGCCGGGAAGGATGTAATGGAATTCTGGCCCGCCTATAAGCATGGAAGACTGTAACCGGGGATTAGGAAACCGTTTTGAGCGATTTCAAACGTGCAGCCACACCGAGTGAGATTTCGCGATACGATGTGGCGCAGTTACCTGGCAAGCCACAGTCCTGCATTTGCACTAGCGCAGCAGATCCGCTGGCACCATGTGCGTGCTGCCACCTCCGTGAGAACTGTCGAGAAGAGTGGTATCGCGAGATAGTGTGTAGTGTATCAGATACGACAGAAGGAGAGGCATATATACAGGAATGTTCGGGGATTTCTCGGATAGAGGCCCCGTTCACCACCTCTGTGAGAACGGATAACGGAAGTATCTCGACATAGTCAGTGATCGTTCATGACCCAGTTCGCGGAACTGACGCGGTACACGGGAGTTCGTGAGATTATGACCAGAGCGGATAAAATAGATCGGAGTGATCTCGCATGACGCGGTGCAACGAAGTTCGTGATATTATGACAGCGGGGCGTGCATTCTTCAATACCAACACCGAGACTCTCCTATGTCCGCCTTGAACAACGGTCTTGAGCATCCTTACTCCCTTCACAGTCTTTCCAACTCTTATTCTTTGCATCAAATTCGTTTCATATCTCGCGCACGTCTCCTGGAGGTCTGGAGCACCCAATGCCACCACCCCGATTCCGCATCAGCAATGTGCAATTATTGCCACACCGCCAATAGCGAAAGCGGAAGATGAAGGATACAAAGTTCAAAAATACCATTCATCGGCCACAGACCAAGGTCGTTGAATGGTGTAGTCCGCCCGCAGGCCTGGGCGGACTGCCTCCAGACTCCCGGGCAGC